CTCTCAACCCCTTTTCCTTTACAGAGAGCTTTCCCTCAGACCCCGCCTCCTTTCCACTCCTCACTAAGAGGCACCACGCTTCCTCCCATGCAGAGAGATATCTCCTCCTCGTGAGGACTTGCCCACGCAGCCAAGGGAAGGTGGGTCTCGCCCTCATTGGAAGCCAAGCAGACTCTCCTCTCGTTTGAATTGCAAAAATGACGGTAAATCCCACCCATCCCAGCACAGGGACAGCTCGTGTGCTTTGGACATTTACCGTGACCCCGGCACCCTGCTGAGTGTGTTACATGAATTGATCCTCACAACAATCAGATGAGGAGGGTCCCATCACTAACACAGTACCCAGGCACGTGGTGTGTAAATGCCGAGGCCAGGATTCAAACCCGAGGCTTGTGTCCCCACAGCCTCGCTCTGAACCGCTGTGCACGCTGCACACCTTGCCGCTGGAGCCCTGGTACCCTGAGCTACACCCGTTCCTATGTCCCGGACTCTGACCCCTTGGCTTTCTCACCTTTGGAGTCATACAATACAATACTACAGTGGTTCCCTAGGAACAGAGCCTGAGCCTGGAGTGGTGATTTGGGGCAGGTGATGTATTGAGGGAGCGCTCTCAGGAGGAATTATAAGAGAGACAATATAGAGTAGAGGGGAACAGGATGGGGAGGTGTGATTTCAGAAGTCTTGCCTCTGTCTGACCCAGGGGAGCTCTGGAGTGTGAATTGCATCAGAGTTTATCCCACTCAGAGACAAGGAAGCTGGGTCCTCACCCTCATCAGACATCCTCACCTGCAGCTCACACCTGAATGGGTGGGAGGGAGGACATAACCTCCCGGGCAGCTTCCCAGAGCCAGGGCAATGCTCCAGAGAAAGGTGCAGCCAATACCCACAGCACCCAGGGGATGGTGCACCGTTCTGGTAAAGGGGTCGCAGACAGTGTGCCCATAGCATCTGCTACAGTGGTGACTGCAGAAATAAATAAATAAATAAATGGCATATGAGCCACACAAAACACACCTGCAGGACCGTTTCATCCAGCGCGGCTGTCTTCACCCTCTGGACACTCCCAGAATCCAGGTCCAATGAATGAATGAATTAGAAGTCAGTGTGTCCCCTGCAAGACTGTCCCCGCCTTTTTTTTGGGAGGGGGGGCCTCGTCTGCACGGCACAGACTTAGTGGATAGCCAACATCCACCATTCTACCTCCAACTATTGTCTGAATGACAGCACAAAATATTAACTGAAACACAAACATGCCCTTTGGGGTTTTGTTTTGATGGGCCACTGCTTCCAGTGGTGTGAGAACAGGCAATAAGAGTGGTGGACATTTTTTAATTTTCAGCACAAAAGAACGTTTTGGCCCAAGGTTACCAAAAATTGAAAATAAAAAACGAAGAGGGCAACCGCTGAGCCCAAACCAGCGTATCTGATTGACAGTGTGTCTGACAGTCACATGGTTCTGTCACAGCTAAAGGGGCTCGGGGTGGGGGGGTGGGTTCTTCCCTGGCTCCGCCAATGCATCTGAAGTGGGTAGCTCTGGAATTGCACCAATATTGATTTTTTTTTGTTGCTTGTTTGCTGTGCAGTCTCTTTTAAAAATAACTGAATCTAATCCTGTTGGGGTCAGCATAACAGGAATGTAATCATCTGTTCCTGGGGATAAAATGAAATCTGGTCCAAAAAGACTCTCCCAATGTTCTATTTCAGTTTTTCGGAGCAGGTTTTCGGCTTTAACGATAAGTGGAAGTCTCCGTTGTGATGAAGGTCTTGCCGTCTCCTGTGGCTCCGACTGTCAGCAGCAGGGCGGCCTTCCTGCTCTCCTTTGCTTGTTTCCAAAGAGACCTCTCGCTTCCCAGTTGTCCAGGCATCCTTGTCACCTGAGGTGTTGTTTCTCCTCAGGCCTGCGGATCTGCTACCGCTTTGTGTTTTTCCTGTACAGATATGCCCATATGCTTTTTTTTTTTTAACATCCCAGGGAGGGAGCACATGTTGGATGCGAGAGCGCTGTTGTGAGGGGCAGCGATCCGCAGACCTCCCCAGCGTCTCTCTGACCCGGGTTGATGTATTCTAGTAAGTGGTCTGGACCGTCCTCTGCTGGTTTTCACTGTCCCTGGCTGCCCAGGCTGAGTGCTGAGTGCTGCCTCATACTAATTGTCAGCGTCAGTCCTTACCCATCATGTTGCCATGCCTACCCATGGTGGGTTCTAAATCTGACTATTCATTAGAATCACCTGGGAAGACTGTAAAACATCTAACTCCTGTCCTGGCCAGTGTTGCTTAGTGGTTGGAGAGCCAGCCCATGCTCTGAAGGGGCTGAGGTTCGATTCTCAGTCTAGGGCACGTACCTGGGTTGTAGGTTCAACTGCAGCCCCCAGTTGGGGCTCGTGTGGGAGGCAACCAATCGATGAGTCTGTCTCACATCGATGTTTCTCTCTTTGTCTCTCTCACTCTCTTCCCCCTCCCTTCCACTCTCTCTCAAAAAAATAAAAAAATCAATTGAAAAACTATATCCTCAAATGAGATTAACAACAACAAAAAATCTAACTCCTGGGCCTTCTCTGAGACCTGCCGAATCAGAATGTACCCAAGGATGAGGTTCAGGAATTTTTATTTTAATGAGCTCCCCAGCACCTATCCCAACACGGGTCCTCTGCCCAGAATGGTGTGGTTTCTGCCTAGAGACATCTGGCCTGGAATAAGCCAAACAGAAGGCCACGGTGGAAGGTGAAAAGAGCTTTTCCACTCTTCTCCAAGGCCACGGGCGGCGGATGGGGAGAGGGACGGGGAAGGGAGGTGCAGAACAGCCACATTATCCTGCATGCCACTTACCGCTTCTCATTCAACCATCCATCCATCCACCCATCCATCCACCCATCCATCCATCCATCCACCCATCCATCCATCCATCCATCCATCCATCCATCCATCCATCCATCCGACATGTATCCGTTCAACCAGACGCCTAGCAAGCTCCTGCTGTAGGTGAAGGACCCTGTGTTATGGGGGCTCTAACGTGGGAACGGCTTGGGTCCTGCCCCGCAACAGCTCACAGTTCTGAGGGTGGTGCTAAGCCAGGGTTTTCCCAATGGGAAACTGGACTGTTCTCTCTTCTTAAAAAGAACAAGCAGGGCTCAGCTCAGAGCCTCATTTTCAGCAGGCAAGAAAATAAGAACATTGTTTTTGCCCACCATATTTATTTTTCTAAATGTGGTAGATAAAACTGGCTTTTAATTTGTAGTAATTATGTAAAAACTTCCCTTTAAAATACACCTATCAATGAACACCACAGTGTGCTATCGCTGCATACTCATTTGAATGGTTAAAAAGCAAAGGACTGAATACCAAGTGTAGGTGAGGATGTGGACCAACAGGAGCCCCCCTGCCCTGTGGGTGGTGGTGTAAATGGTGTAAATCCACTTTGGAACACTCCTTAGCAGTTTCCTTTCCTGTTAAACATACATATACCATACAAGCCAGCTGTTTCCCCCCTAGGAATTTACCCAAGAGGAATAAAAACATGTGTCCACACAAAGACCTATAGCAACTTTATTCATAGTATTAAAAGCTGGTGCCCAGCTGCTGTGGCTCAGTGGCTGAATGTCAACCTATGAACCAGGAGGTCAGGGTTCAATTCCCGGTCAGGGCACATGCCCGGGTTTCGGGCTCAATCCCCAGTAGGGGGCATGCAGGAGGCAGCCCATCAATGAGTCTCATCATTGATGTTTCTATCTCTCTCCCTCTCCCTCTGTGAAATCAATAGAGATAGAGATAGAGATAGAGATAGAGATAGAGATAGAGATAGAGATAGAGATAGAGATATAGAGATATATAGATACTTAAAGCTGGAAACAGCCGAGGTGTCTGTCATTAAGAAAATGGATAAACACACTAGTCAGCTATTATTGATCGGTGATTAAAAGAACAGATTACTGCTCTGGCAACAACATCTGTGAATCTAAAAGCATCCCAGTGTTCTGCCCAGCCAGTGTGGCTCAGTGGTTGATCATCGACCTGTGAACCAGGAGGTCATAGTTCGATTCCAGACTGGGAAGGGTGGTCAGCAACCTTTTAGGAGAAAGTGAAAGTCAGTTAAGATTTGAGCAAGTCCCTTCTAGGCCTGCTGGTCTAGGATTTGGAATCAAGAGCCCACCCAGCTGCTGACTTGCGCCAGCAGGTGTGACGGTGACTTCCCCGTGAGTTTGTAGATTGTGATGAGGCTGAGGAAGCCCGACCGTGCCCTCCTGTCCCAGATGGAGTCCATCCGGGGCCTCAGCCTCCACCAGCTCGCCAGCAGTCTCCGCGATAGAATCCCCTGAGATTGACCTAAGTGATTTTGTTAAGTAAGTGCAAAGCCAGAATGGAATTTTTTAAAATAGCATTCTTCTCTCTGCACTTACTTACATTCTCAAACTCATCCCTCATGTACTCAGCCAACCACTCACCAGCCCACAGTTTAACGAGTGCCTTCCATGTGTCAGGCCCTAGACTAGAAGTCATCTCTGCTCTCAGGAGGCCGCCCATCGCCTCCTGGGTCCTGGGGGACTGAGCCCTTCCTACCGTGGTGCCTTCTCCATCTGCCCCAGGCCCACCACCAGGGTCAGGTCAAGGTTAGCAAGCAGAAAGGGATGTGACAACTGGTCAAGCTTCACATCCTCACAATAAAATGCTCCAATAAATGATGCAGCTTAACATTGAACACGGGGGGACACATCCAGATTACCCGAAGGATGGCCAGAGCCCCAGGGCCTCCCAGAGCTTTTTATAAGGTGGAACACAGACTCGATAGGCTGGGGAAAGAGGGGTTGGGCCTACAGGAAGTCGATCAGTCTGGTGCCCTGCCCTGCTTGCCTGGGGCAGGGAGTGGCAGAGTGCTGCTCTTTGAGAAAGGCGCCCTGGAGTGAGAGCCCACTTGTTCGGGGCACAGTGGTGGAGGGAGGAAGACGGGGTTACCGTGTTGTGATGACTGTCACAGCAGTGATTCTCTACGTTTCATTCACTCCCAGGTCTACCCTTGTAGATGAAGATACTGGGTCTGAAGAAGGAGAGCACAGAAGAGCAGAAGCGCCCAAGCTGATCAACTCAGATGTACGGTTTCCTTTGCCTGGGGCGGGTTGGCAGGTCGAGGGCCCTTTCCGTAAAACAGAGGCAGAAGCAGATCCAGGAGCAGAGTGGCAAGGGGGCGCTGGGGTTTGGCTGTGACGAGGCTGCGAAACTTTATCTGAGTCACCTCGCCAACCAAACACCCACAGAGCCAAGACCTGAGTGAGAGCCCAGACACCTCAGCCAGCAAATGTTCTCTATAATGGAAAAGCCAGTGACCTCTGAGCCGCAGTGACCTCGTGCTCTCCCCAGCCCCTCGATGAGGCTATCAGATGAGAAATATTTTCCTTGGTAATTTCACAGTAAAAACAAAGAGGAAATCAGGGGATTTTACATCGTCATACCCCTAAATTCTCCTAGAATAATGACTCAAGCAAATCATTGGCGATGCATAGATTTACATACAAAGATATTTGTTATAACACTTTAGAAATAGCAAAAATTGGAAAAATAAATGATTGTATGTCCATGAGGATAGACGCCTGCGGTGGCAGAGTGGGGGTCAGCAAGCATTGTCACCCTCTTTAAGTAGGAGAATGAGTCGGCAGTACCTCGTGACATACGATTTGGCAGGAGTATCAGAATTTAAAATGCACACTTCCTCTGCGGGGATATTATTCTCCAGACACACCTTTACATTTGCATCAAGACGTGTAATTGTTCTCCTACGTTGCAGCGCTGTTGAAAAAAGCAAGAAAAATTGCAATGGCTCCATAATATGAGACCAGTTGAATAAACTCAATTACGTCTGCAGAAGAATTATACTATGAAATTCTTTTGCAGAAAATGAGAAAGTTTTTTATATATTGACTTGGAGCTATCTCTGATATGTTAAGTAAAAAATACTACATGTTCTATTTTTGTTGTTGTTATTCCTCAGTCGAGGGTATTTTTCCATCGATTTTTAGAAATAGAGGAAGGGAGGGAGAGAGAGAAACATCGATATGACAGAGATACATCGTTTGGTTACCTCCTGCACATGCTCTGACCAGGCCGGGAATTGAGCCTGCAACTGAGGTTCGTAGGTGCGCTTGACTAGAATAGAATCTGGGACCCTTCAGTCCATGGACTGACGCTCTAGCCCAGGGATGGGCAAACTTTTTGACTCGAGGGCCACAATGGGTTCTTAAACTGGACCGGAGGGCCGGAACAAAAGCATGGATGGAGTGTTTGTGTGAACTAATATAAATTCAAAGTAAACATCATTACATAAAAGGGTACGGTCTTTTTTTTTTTTTTTTAGTTTTATTCATTTCAAACGGGCTGGATCCGGCCCGCGGGCCATAGTTTGCCCACGGCTGCTCTAGCCACTGAGCCAAACCAGCTAGGGCCATTTTTAAAAAATTATTTTAAGTGATACTTGTGAAGAATATTTAGTTACATGGGGAAGCAGCACTCATAATGTCCACTGAAAACTCAGAATATAAATATATATACAAATATACACATATATATTCATATATCTACAGTATAATCTCATGGTTGATTTGTATTTCCCTATTTGAATGTTTCTGTATTTTTCAGATTTTTTAGAATGAGTATGTGTTTGTATATAAAACACTTGTCTTTGAAATGTTAATTTTTTTCTACGGCCGAAAGATGTTTGTCAGAGAAAACTCAAGAAGACAGAAAATTGAAGGCAAACATCCTCAAAATCCCACCATTTATAGAAAAATATTACTGAAATTTTAGCAAACCGCTTCCTAGATATATCTATTTGCATATGCAAATCTCTGAATGAATTTACACATGCTCACATCTTCCAGGGTGATACAATGGCATATCTCATTTTACATAAATGGAACTGCTTCTTCACTCAGAAATCTGTTGTGCACATTATTTCTAGCCCATCAATACACATTGCATCATCTTCATGAGTAGAGCACCACACACACTTCATTTAAAGTGATCCCTTCTTGATAGGCATTTAATTGGCTTCCAAAGTCTTGCTACTTTAAAGAGCGCTGCAGTAAACATCCCTGTACATACATTTTGGGCAATTGTCCAATTATCTCCATAGGAAAAAATATATATTACAGGCATACTTCAGAGATATGGCAGTTCTTTCCAGACCACCACAATAAAGTAAATCTGTTATATAAAAGCCAAGTTACCAAAACAACTGGTCACTATGACATACACTGTGGCCAGCCAACCAGCCGGATCGGGGTCGGGGCCGACCCACCAACTTCCTGCAGCCTCTCCCCCTGGCTGGCCCCACCCCGATCAGCCCCAATCGGGGCAGGCCAGCTGGACCCAACCTGTGCACGAATTCACGCACCGTGCACCAGGCCTCTAGTATAAGTTATATTTACACTATAGTGTAGTCTATTCAGTGTGCAATAGCATATGTATTAAAAGAAAAAATATACATACCTTAATTAAAAATTACTTTGTTGCTAACAATTGTTAACCTCTCTGAGCCTTCAGGGAGTCATAATCTTTTTGCTGGTGGAGGGTCTTACCTTCAATTTGTAAAAAAAAAGCAAGCAATAGCTGCAAAACACAATAAGCATAAGGCGCACTAAAACGAGATGTGCCTGTATTCTTAAAATATACACAACATGCTTCGTTTTTCTTTGTGATGGGGAGGAGCACATTGATGACTCCACTGTAACTGCTGGCTAACTTTCCCTCACGCCTCTAATTTTGAGGGATTAAAGGGAACTCTGCTGAAATAGAGAGAATAGACCCAAACCAGAGCCAGCTGGAGTTTCGGGAATCCCTCTGGCTCTCCGCACGGGAAGAGAGACTTTCCGTTGGGATAGAAGAAGTAGCATCTCCTGGGCACCAAAGTCATCTCACACTAACCCTTCTTACTGAGCAAGCTGCCCCAAGTTCAACGTTTAAATCTTGCCAGAAAAAAAAATAAAATAAATCTTGCCAGAGCACTATGATCGCCATGACCAGCCTGTATTTTCAAGGTGCAGGGCTTGTCACCTGGCATGGAGTCAAACAAGTTAAAGTGAGGAAATGATCTGAAAATCGCCTGGACTTTAACTTACCTTTTGCCGGCTCTCCATCCCGATCGATGCTCTCATCTGGAATGACTTTCTCTGCAGGTGTTTGACATTCTGCCCCTCTATGGAGAGCTGCAGCCGTACAGTAGCGGCCAGATAGCGTTCACCTTCTACGGACACTGTGACATCATCGCCCAGGCGACAGCTCTGTGCAAAGTAGAAGGAGGGCCCAACTATGAGATAAAACTACGGGGAGAGACATCCATGGTCAGCTATTCCTTTGACACCAAGGACATCAACTATGGGCTACAGGTATTGCCACCATCAGGAGGCTTTCTGCTTTTGTCTTAAACATCAATCATCATCCTTGTGCTCTGATCTCCCTGGAACCCCCGATCATCATAGTCTCACCATCACCCCTATCCTTGACCTCTCATCTGCCCCCGCCCCAACCCTAGTCGTCCTCCCACTGCCAACCGTTTGCCAAGTGTCTGCACTTGCTTTTCTCACCGTCTCCTGAAATTCAGCATGTTAGACGCTAAAATGTGCATCTTCTCTCTCAATCCACAAGCTCATCCCAACCTCTCTGTTTCTCTCAATGGCACGCTACCGTCTCAGCCCCTGGAGGTTATGGTCTCCACGGCATTTCCACTGCACTCTCTCCTTCACCTCCCCGCAGCCTTACAGCACCCATGGATTGCCGATTCCTCCAGCGGGACCCCTCTGAATGGATTTTCCTTCCCCGCCGCCACTGTGGTTATCACACTGCAGAGCCCCATCAGGCTACGCCGAAATTATCACAGCCATTTTTCTCAAACTGTAATGTGTGTACAAATCACCGGGGAATCTTGTTCAAGTACAGATTCTGATCCAGTAGATCCTGGGGGGCGGGGGTGGGGGTTGCTGAGAATCAGCGTTTCTCACAAGCTCCCAAGTGATGCCTGTGCCGCTGGTCCACGGGCCCCAGGGAAGTGAGGGATAACAACCCATGCTTAGCTCCTACCGCTAACCCATTTCAACATCATTGCCGGACAGATTGTCCCCAAATTGCATGTTTATCCCATCAATCCCTGAACAGTTAACCCAGCAGCACTTGGGAAGGCCTCATAGTATTGAGGAAATAGTATGGTTTTGTAGTCGGAAGAACTAGGATGTTATCCTGGTTTTACTTCCTAATGGGTCACCTTGGGCACATCACCTAACCTCTCCAAACCTCAGTGTCCGTCATCTATGCAACAGGAATGGGGTAGCAATGCCTGTCTCACCGAGTGGTTGTGGTTGCTTAAGTGGCCGGTCAGTGCTGTGCTGGGCCAGAGAAGGCCTTCATTCATGAGTCCCTTCCTCTGTCGCCCATAACATAGCCCCTGCAGGCACCTATATTGGGTGAGGGTATCCCAAGGCCCCCTATTACCTGCTGCCCCTTACATTAAACTCTGTTCTTCATCACTCCCTGTTTTAGCTCTTCATTCATTTGGGGCCGAGCTGTTTTACCCCCTGGCCCTAATGCATCCCAGCCCTTCAGGCCTGCACACTTACTCTTAAATTATTCCACTCATCCTCCACCCTGCAGCCCAGACTTACACACACTGTAAGGCCCAGCTCAGCTCCATCCCTCACTTGTCTTTCTCTTGATATTCTTCGGGCACTCAAGTATAGTCTTTGCCATAATATAATGTACCTTCTAATTTTTGCTTTGGAGTAATTTCTAGTTAATTCAATGTCTTTACATCTTCTCTTCCCAATTAGAATTTGTGTTATGTACTCAGAGACGATATTTCCTAGCAAATTTTAATGGGGATTGGATCCCCATAATATAGCTACTGCAGTTACAATTACTGAATCGCATATGTGTATGTGTGTCTATAGGTTAAAGATTGTGGCTAAAATCAAATTCCACCCAACACCTTTTGAGACCTTTTTTATTGCACTGACCAAACAGAATTCTCTTTCATTCCTTATCTCCAGGGTCCTCCGGGCACTTGGTCCTGGCTCAGCTCAGAGTGTATTTTTTTTAAAGCAGCTGGTCCTTGCCCTGTCTTGTCCTAAGGACCCCTAAGGTGGCCTTAGTTTGTGGTTATTGGACTTGCTGGTTAGTTGCTGAATTGTGTGAGCAAAATAATTCATGTCTGGCCTATTATTCCCATGTCTCGCCATATAAATAGAAAAGTTCATTCTAGAAAATTCTGGACAAATCTTTTTAAAAAAAAGAAAAAGAAAAAAGAAAAAGAAGGAAATCTTGGTTTGGTGTAGAAGAGCTTACATGAGGGTCTTTGTGGTGAAGAAACTGGAAACTGAAGGCGGGGGAGATGAGATGCTCACCCCACAGTCATACTGACCTATATGAGCTGTTAGGAGCTCTCAGGTAGAGCTAGTCGGCACCTTCCTGTGGTACTGAAATGAGGACGGGCAGCGTCTACATCCTGAGCAAGAAAATCCATGCCTGTGAGGCATGTTTGTCCAGCCACCTTTGTTAGGATGACGGCAGCATCCCAAGGGACGGTGACACAGGGGACACTGTTTTCCTCCTTCTCCTCAAGCTGTTCGACCGGGTCACAGAGACCAAAGTCACACTGAAGAACACGGGGAAAGTCGGCTTCGAGTTCAAGGTGCTGACCAATGACCAGTCTTCGCCAGACAACCTCCTGCCCGGGGTGCCACTCATCCTGCCTCTTTCAGTAAGTAGCCATGTGAGGATGGTCAGAGGAGCCCCAATTCAAACCTTCAAGACAACCCAGAGCCAGGTCACGTTACACTAAACCAGTGGTTCTCAACCTTCTGGCCCTTTAAATACAGTTCCTCATGTTGTGACCCCAACCATAAAATTATTTTCGTTGTTACTTCATAACCGTAATGTTGCTACTGTTATGAATCGTCATGTAAATATCTGATATGCAGGATGGTCTTAGGCGACCCCTGTGAAAGGGTCCTTCGACCGCCAAAGGGGTCGCGACCCTCAGGTTGAGAACCGCTGCACTAAACGTTCACAGCCAGGATTATGGGAGTGATATTTTTTAAATTTAAAATTAAAGAGCTCTCAGAAGCAAGAAAGATAAATCAATCCAAGCACTTCACTCATTTACTCAACAAGTATTGACTGAGTCCTGCATTCCCCAGGCACCTTTCAAGCACCAGGGGTCCAATAGTGAAAAAGACAATACAACCCCATGGGTGTTTTTTTCATAATTATAAGATAGATTTTTCCTTTTTATTCTTTTGTTGTTGTTGTTGTTGATCCTCACCCAAGGATATTTTTCCATTGATTTTTAGAAAGAGAGGAAGGGAGGGAGACAGAGAGAGAGAGAAATATCGATGTGAGAGAGACCCATCAATTGGTTGCCTTCTGCACACACACCCCAACCAGGGCCAGGGATGGAGCCCACAACCAAGGTACACGCCCTTGACCAGAATCAAACCCAAGACCCTTCAGTCTGCAGGCTGAAGCTCAATCCACTTGCCAGCTAGGGCAAGATAGTTTATTTCTACTTATGTCCTCACACTTCCCTTGTGATTCCTTAAAGCTAAGGGCCTCCTGTCCATTGACTACAACAAGAGCAATTTTTTCATTAGCAGGTATGAAAACAACAGGAGGCTGCAATGGGCCAAATTGGTTTTCAAAGCAAATGGAGGAAGTAGTTTCTTGTACATTGTATGTGGCTCTATCAGCTTTAAGGCACTTTTGTTGACGTTTTTTCATCATGAAAATAATTTTCATCATGAAAATAAATCCTGGGGGAGGAATGTGAGTGGAGAATCCCCAGCACCGTAGGCCCTTGGGGTTATCTAGTCCATCAAACCGCCAGAAGCAGGCGTCCATTGTACCAATTTGAATGTTCTCTCTGGTCTTTCTGCTGCACAGGGTTTCATCAGTTCACTTAAAGAGCAGGAGTTGAAGATTTACTACTTACCTGGAGGACCTGAGATCTTTCAAAGAAGTTTTCAGGTCCAGATCGCCCACCTGGACCCAGAGAGTATCACACTGAGGGGAGAGGGAATCTTTCCTCGAATCTACATTGACCTCCCCAGAAACCTCAAAGGTACTGCTACCCGCTACCGTAGTTCCCCCCGGGGGACAAAATACGCATTTTGCTTTGCTTGCTGGAATGTTGAAGGCTGCTCACATCATTGTCTGGGCAGTCCCTACTCGTTCCCTCCTGTGTTATTCCTCCGCTGCAAGAAAGTCAAGAGTTGAAATTGACGTGGAGGCCTGAGTTCAGTGAGATAAGACGTGGCCCTGGCAGTCGCACATTAAGACCCCTGGTCAACTCTGCCATCATTGAGGCCTCAGGAAGTAGCTCTTCCAGCTGCCTTTTCTTCCAGCGCATGTTCCTGCCCACTGTAATCTCCCTCCGAGTAGTCCTTCCCCGGTGGCACCCTCACAGGTGCCCACTGAGAACCTGAAGGCTGACTTTACTGCCCCGAGTACAATTCTCAAAAAATAAACTGTGCTGAAAGGCAACCAAGGCTCTGGTCCCTTTTCGGTATTGCAGAGTTTAGAAGCTCATTGAGACTGTTGTTAATTGCCTGCCCACGTCTCTAGCCAAGACTTCCTGATAGCATCTGGCCTCCCTCGGTACCAGAGTATTTCTGTCTTGGCAGATCCGGAAGGTGATCCGCTCTTTTAGAGCCATAGACTCTGGTTCTTTCTTGCTGGACCAGAGGCCAGAGAAACTTCACTCTTCTCCGTGGAAACGTCACTCTTCTTCATGAGTCCCTCTTCAAGCTCCTAAGCAGCTTCAGACTAAACCCTCACACCTCTGCCTTTCCTGCCACCCCACCCCCCAAAGTCACTAACTCAACTGTTGATGATCATCTATGACAGTGGTTCTCAACCTTCCTAATGCCGCGACCCTTTAATACAGTTCCTCATGTTGTGGTGACCCCCAATTTCATTGTTACAAATTGAACATAATTAAAGCATCGTGATTAATCACAAAACAATATGTAATTATAGATGTGTTTTCCGATGGTCTTAGGCGACCCCTGTGAAAGGGTCGTTCAACCCCCTAAGGCAGGGGTGGGCAAACTTTTTGACTCGAGGGCCACAATGCGTTCTTAAACTGGACCGGAGGGCCGGAACAAAAGCATGGATGGAGTGTTTGTGTGAACTAATATAAATTCAAAGTAAACATCATTACATAAAAGGGTACGGTCTTTTTTTTTTTTTAGTTTTATTCATTTCAAACAAGCCATAGTTTGCTCACAGCTGCACTAAGGGGTCGCGACCCACAGGTTTAGAACCACTGATCTATGAAATCCTAATAGTCTGCTCCCTGGAAATATGAACACAAACATTAGCAAAACTAAGGCCATGTCGCATCCTAGCATCTAGAGTTCCAGCAGACAGAAGGCAGCCCAAGTCCACATAGAATTGTCAGGAAGGAAGCTGAACACTGGGCAGCCAGCTGGCCTCCTCTGGCAGCAGACATGGTCAGGCCAGTGCAGGCTTTAAAATCATTGAAATCTGAGTACCGTTAGCTGGGCCTTCTGGGCTCCAGTTCCCCACAGCCCCCCGGCTTCCTGTCGCTTCCTAAAAGGCACTGTAATGACTTTGCCTGCCTTGCACTGCTTCCTGGTGAACTTGGGGGTCTGAAACCGCTCCACCACTTGCCTGCCCTCCCTGATCCTGGGGATTGTAGCTTATTTAGTTGTCATTAAAGCAACTTGAGATTTAATACACACGAAAACTAGTTGAAAGGGTGACCAGCTGTCTGGGTTTGTCCAGCCTGAGGGATTTCCCTAGTTGTGCAGCTGTGCGTGCTAGAACTGGGAATGTACCAGGTAAGCTGGGATCCAGGCGGTCAACCTACTAGTAAGACTGGCTTAGGATGTCACTGCCACCAGCTTCTTGAGAACCAGCTGGTCCTAAAGCATCATCGCATTAAACTCAGTGAGGTCTCCGGCACAAATCCAGCTCGCTCACACAATGATCTCGTCCTCTAAAGCAGAGAAAACATGGCAGAGGAGGCACCAAAAAAGTTCATTTCCCTCCTCACTTTATTTAACCTGAGCTAAGGGTCTGTGTTTGGGACATAATTCATATATTTCTAACCATCCTGGTTTTCTTCTCCTCCCAATCCCCACAGGGAATGAAAAGTATGAAATCTTCTTGAATCAGGCCAGAGAAAACCTAGAAAACGAGTTAGACAAAGATGAAATATTGAGTCACACAGAGACCATTGAGGAAATGTCTGAGGATGAGCCTTTTAAGGTAAGACTAGCCTCACTTTGCACAGAATGTATATGGCCTAAGGACAGTATGTGCAAAGGCCCAGGGGCAGGAAGGACGTGGGAAGGAGGAAAAGGCTTAGCAAAGACGGGGTGAAGTTAGAGAGCCAAGAGGAGCCTGAAGAGATAGGCAGCCCGCTATTGAACCTATTGAGGGTTTTGAACTTCATTCTGAAGGCACTGTGTTTCCACAGAGGCCGGGCATTCTCGTATTTTGCATCTTTTATTAAATCTGCTGGAGTAATTCCAGAGGACAGGTGATGGTAGCATCAACAAAGCTGATGGCCCAGAAAGTAGGGAGAAGTGGGTGAATTCAAGAAATATTTTGGAGGCAGGTTGGTCAGGGATTGATCGCATGTTGGAGTGAGGAGGAGGCGACTTCAAGTGATGTGCTTGGATGACAACGTAAGGAGGGGACACTCCGAGAAGAAACTCAGGACGAGAAACAAGTTTTGGGTGAAAGAGGAAGAAGGGAAATGAGTTCAAGTGGTCCATTATTACACCTGAGATTTCTGTGCATCCTCCAAGTAGCGGCATCCAACAGGGAGCTGGACCCACTGCTATGGACCTGGGGAGAGAGAGAAGTTGGAGACAGTGGTGTGAGAGCTGTCAGATGGTCATTGTAATCACAGGAGATAGGGAGTTTCCCAGGGAGTGTACTGAGTGATGAGGGAAGAAGGGAAACTCAGAGTAAAGGCCTCAGGCACCCACCAGCAACGTGGGGGAGAGGGACAGCCAAAGGGGCTCTGGGACAGTCAGGAGTGTGTGGTGCCTCTGAGGTGGGATCCAAGCCAAGACGTCTCTTGAGGGAGGGAGGGACCCAGCTTGTAAATAAAGGCTGCCCTGCTGTGGGTTAGAAAACAAAATCCCCAAATGTCCCCTCCCACCATTCCCTGAAACCCCCTTGTCACCATCCGTTCCTGACCACGAAGGCTGCTTTCTCTCTGTGCCCTTCTTTTAAGAGGCAAATGTGCATGAGAACAGTGTCCTGAGGAGGATGATGTATGCAGCTGAGAGAGCTTAGCTGGGGTTCTCCAATGGGGAAAAGGGGGATCACTAGGGAGACTGGGAGCCCCACAGGCCACCAGCAATTACTTATTTGCAGGCACTGACAGTGAGCCTTAGTTCCAAGGATATAATCATAATTAACAACAACAGCTACCATTGAATGAACTTTTACACCAGGCCTGTGCCATGCCACTGAGCTGCATTATTTCATTAAACCCTCCCACGATGGGGGGAGGGGGATAAGATGCCATTATCATCTTAATTTCACAGTTTTAGAGGACTCACGGAAGTGAAGTGCATTTCCAAGGTAAGAAAGCAGAGCTAGGGTTTGAATGCAGGTCTGTCCAGCAGACCCCGGCCTGCCTTGGGGCAGAGGTGCAGCTCCACCTGCTACTGCCTTCCCAGGTGGCTCCTCATCAGAGCCTTAGCACGGTTGTGTCTGGCGGTTCCTCCAGATGTGGGGTGGGGTTTCCGAGGATGTGATGGCGGGAGCAGAGCAAGCTAGTCCTCCTGCATAAGCCAGCGGCCAACTGACCACTAAGCGGCTCAGGGGCCAGGCATAGGGTGGGCTCTGCTGGGACTGCCTGGAGGTGAGGCAGGCTCCTGCACACATCGTCACGGCTCCCACACCTCCCTGTTGTCTCATTACAGGCCCCTTCACACAGTAACCTTTCCTGCTTGGCCCAGGCCTTCTGGTTTGGTCCTTTCAGGACAGGATTTTCCAACCATTTTTCACTGTCGTTCCCGCCAAGACATCTTTTCCTAATACCCCATGAAATGCATGTAGTGTATGTAAAACCTAATCTCTTTGAGTAGTTTGGTATTCAGTTTTTTAATTTTTATGTTGAAGTGATTATAATTCACAGGAAGTTGAGAAAACTATTTTTCCCATCGGTAGCATCTTACATAACTACAGTTACAACATCAAAATCAGGAAACCGACATCGGTAGCAGCTGTGGAGCTTACTCATCAATTCCATGGGCGCTGGTGTGTGGGCATGGGGGGATGCGTTTGTGATTTTTTTCATGTGTAGATTTGTGTAAACCACCACCACAGAACTGCTCCTTCACCACAAGGATCCTTGTGCTTGTTGGGGAAACAGAATTAAACAAAATCTCCTTCCAAGACAAAAAAATCTCTCCACAAAGGCAGATGAAAAAGAAAAAAAACTTATTATTAAACCAGAATGAGATCTGTGTCACAGGCAGTTCACTAAGAGATTGCAATGACAGGAAGAAATCTCAGCCTCTTGTATGTAGCTGAGCAGATGCAACCCGTTGCAGAAATGTTTTCAAGTAAAACAGTAACTAATCCTTAAGTAAGAACTATCACTTGTCCTCATTAGCAGACTTGGCAGCACCATTTGTCACACAGTTTGTTCTAAAGTCACATGGTAATTGAAGTGATCATCTGGGTTAGCTAATTGGCTTAACCAAAGGAAACCAAACTTGTGTTTTTATGACAGGGCCCTCTGACTTTAGGCTCCCACCCTCTCACAGAAACTGGGCGATAGAGCCCTAGCTGGTTTGGCTCAGTGGATAGAGCGTCGGCCTGTGGACTTAAGGGTCCCGGGTTCGATTCCAGTCAAGGGCACATGTCCAGCTTCCTAAATCCTCAGTAGGGAGCATGCAGGAGGCAGCCTATCAATGATTTTCTCTCATCATTGATTCTCTCTCTCTCCCTCTCCCTTCCTATCTGAAATCAATAAAATATATTTTTAAAAAAAAAGAAAGAAAGAAAGAAACTGGACAGTAGGGGCTCCATCGTCCTTGATGATCACATCAAGAAACAGTCCCCAGATCCTTAAGAAAGGCGCTTGGAGTTGTAAAGCTGACAAGAGGCTTATATGGCCCTCAAAAAGGCTTACATATATTTCAAAGAGGCAGAGAAAGAACTAACAAGTTCTCTAAAGTGAATGCTCTAAGAAGAGGGAATGGAAAGAAGTCTCTTCTCTTCTTTTTTATTTTATTTGCACTTACATCCTACACCTACCCCTAATCTCCCCATCCCTTGCCCCTAGCAACCACTAATCTGTTCTTTACCTCTATACTTTTATCTCAAGAAGACTATCTAATAAAAGAGTAATATGCAAATTGATCATCACTCCAACACACAAGATGGCCTGCAGGGGAGGGCAGTTGTGGGCGATCAGGCCAGCAGGGGAGGGCAGTTGGGGGGAACCAGGCCTGCAGGGGAGGGCAGTTAGGGGCAACCAGGCCTTCAGGAGAGGGTAGTTAGGGGCAACCAGGCCTTCAGGGGAGGGCAGTTAATGGCAATCAGGCTGGCAGGGGAGCAGTTAGGGGGTGATCAGGCTGGCAGGCAGAAGCGGTTAGGGGCATTCAGGCAGGCAGGCAGGCGAGCAGTTGGGAGCCAGCAGTCCTGGATTGGAGAGGGTGCAGGCTGCGCTGAGGGACACACACACACACACACATACACACACACACACACACACACCCATGCACGAATTTCATGCACCAGACCTCTAGTGTTATATAAATAAAATCATACTGTATGTAATCTTTGAGGTTGGCTTTTTTCATTTAGCATGATGCCCTTGAGATCCATCAATATCAGTAGTTCACCCCTTTTTATAGCTGAGACTACTCATGCTATCGATGTACTAGTTGCATACTCCACCCACCCCCATGAAAATGTTAATATCACAAATAGACTGCATATCACCCTAAGGGGTGATATTGCCCACACAGAGAATGCATGTTCTAGAAAAGTCTGCTCCTTTGCTCTTCTCTGTTGCTCCAGTTAAGTGCTCAGCTCCAGATGGAAGTAGAGCGACTCATAGTCCAAAACTATACCATGGAACATCAGAAAATTATCCACGATCCCATAGACGAAGTCAGCCATCGGGGTCGCCACAGACTAGCCAAGTGAGTGCCCTTCTGTGCTGTTCGTTTCAGAGTGCAGTGGCGCGTGCATTGCTGCCCAGCGGAGTGCTCCCTGGCATGATGGTTGGTCATACAGGAACGCACTCCACTCCCCTCATGTATCTGCTATCCTTTGGCATCCAGCCAACCAGGCAGGAGCCTCCGGCTTTGTCTAGTGGACAGGCCCAGGTTCAGGTTCATGAGAGCCCACCTGGAAGGTGTGTTGAGATCATGGCTGAAACCACAGTGTGGACTTCTGAGGGAAGATGTAGCTGGTTCCTGGTCTCCCCTCTGGGGCCATTCATTGTTCTCAACTCCAGAGCATAGCATTGTGCCCGGGAGGTGGGAGAGAGCCTTGTGCTCCCTTGCTTTTGGAAGCGTGGCTGGTGAGGAGAGCTTGCTGCTCATTTCAGAATCCAGCTGCCAGAGTATATCCTAGACTTCGGCCACATCATCCTTGGCGACTCTCGATCCCACATCATCAGGATCACCAACACCAGTCACATCCCAGTGTCCTTCCACGCAGAGAAGCGCATCCTGCACGACACAGGTAACCAGGCCAGGGAGGCCTTTCCCCCTGCACCTTGTCATTGCCAACAATGGCAAGGCCATCTGTCCTGGCTTTCTGGAGAGGAGTGTGGATTTCCTCTGGGAGCGGCGGAGAGAATTGTTGGGTCGTTCATTGGGTCTTTGAATGGTTATCCTGCCCCAGAGGGGCTTCTAACGAAAGCAGCTCTTGTTTGCTATTTCTCCTTCCCACAAAGAAATGTTGTTTGTCTTGGTCCAGGCTTTAGTACTGAGCTAGATCGTGTAAAGCATCTGCCTTCCTGCGAAACGGAAACATTTGAAGTGAGATTTGACCAGCAAGGGACCAACCAGTCTGTGGGAAACAAAGAAGCCATTCTGCCCATCAAAGTAAGGTGCACCGCTGGGGCCAGCTGAGCCTTCCCAGCTCCCAGCTGTGCTGGCCGATCACCCCTGGGATGATTCAGTTACTCTTTCAGAGTCATGATTCTCCCCCTGCCCCCCCAGCCCTGTGCCACATGCTATGCTAACAGCAATCTTATGGCCGCTCTAGGTGGTTGGAGGGCCAACGGTTCACATCTGTCTGCAAGTCCAGGTGACCATTCCCACTATGACACTGTCTTGTGACAAAGTGGAGTTTGCCACAATTCAGTGTGGGCAGTGCCTTGTGGAAACTATTCAGCTCTCCAATCATCTTCAAGTTCCTTGTGAATGGTTTGTCGTCAGCCATAAGCCATTTAACAAGGTAAGTGAGTTGCGGCCCGTTGATCCCCCTTTTCCGTCTCCATTTCAGCCAGATTTGTAATTCTAGGCGTGCGCTCTCATCATTTCACTCTCCTGCTCAGACTTTCAGGGACAGCCATCGCCTCCTGAATAAAATCTAGTTCCTTAGCTCGGCACTTGAGGGTCTATCAGGCCATGCTGTCTGGCGAATGTCTTATTCATCTTTGCACCCCTGGTATCTACACAATCCCTGATGCCGGGAAGGCACTTAGTAAATGCAGGTGGAGTGAGCAGACGCTGGAATAAGTCCATTTTCCCTAGATGGTTGTCTAATTGTCTAATATTTATTAACCAGTTGGAGAAGCACATGCCAAAGTACTTAAGACGGAAACTCCATACCGAGTTCAAGCCAAAGACGCGGATCTTTGAGATCCAGCCCATGACAGGGGTCTTGGATCCTGGTGAGAAGGCCAACGTGCAAGTGAGATTCATGCCCAAAGAAGAGGTAAGCGGGGAAGAAGTACGGTTCCATTCAGACTTTGCATCGCTGAGCTTTACTCAGAGCCCAGGCTTCGTTGGGTCCCCAGGGAAGCTTGGAGCGACCTGTGCCTTCTGTTCTGATTATGACGTGGCCAGTGCTTCCGGTTCACGTAGGGGCTGTGTGGCCTGGCAGTGAAGAGCACCTGCTCTGCAATCAGCACATCTGCCTGACGCATCGACTTTGCCGGCAGGCCTGGGTGAACGGCCTCCGGCCTCTGCCATTAGAGGCCGTGTGGCTTGGAGCAGATTACTTAACTTCGCTCAACTTCCATTTTCTCACAGATCATAGGAAAAATAATAATAATCCCCTATTGCATTTCTGAATCCAAATAAGCTCCAAAAACTGGGGAAAGTTTTCCTAAGTTTCAGACCCAAACCCATTTGGCAGAAAAACCTCATCTGAACGGACGTGAGACCCTTTATTTATCCCACTTCATTGGCAGAGTCTAATATTGCAGTGCAGAAATATTAATGTGTTTGATTCCAGGGGACCTGCCCTAGGCCCTGCTGAGGCTATTGGGTAACACAGGGTACCTGTTCTCTATAGAAATCTGAATTTGAATGTGTCTGTCCCCAGGGTTTCAGGTAAGACCTTATCAACTGCAATAGCTACCTCCTAGGGTCATGTTGAAGAATAAGTGAATTAATGTGAATAAAATGGACAGCATACTGCTCTGTATGTAGTAAGTGTCTCAATAGCTATTAGTTATTATCATTAGTAGTTTAGATAATAATAAGTACCTCCCGGAAGACACTGTCTGGGCCTCACAGACGCTTCATTTGTGAATACCACAGCACAAAGCTGCGTCTGACAAAGAATATAGTAAAAACCATAAAAACTTAGAACCAGAGAGGACCTCAAAAGGTTACACTGTGAAAACTTTTGTTCAAAGCTTAAGGCATTTAGGAGACTTTTTTTTAATTCTTTTAAAAGAAAAAAAGCATGGAAGTTTTTAGAATACCTATGGTTTTCCTGGTAATGGCTTTGAGGAAATGTTTAAGAATCTGCAGTGAGAAAGAAAAAAAGTGAATGACTTCATATCTGATTCTAAAATAAAAGTCCCTGTTTCTATGATTGGCCGGTGTTCTCAATGGTTAGAGTGTTGGCCCATGCACTGAAGGGTCGCAGGTTCGATTCCCAGTCAAGGGTATATACCTGCATTGGAGGTTTGGTCCCTAGGTCCCATCAGGGTACATGCAAGAAGCAACCAATCGACGTGTCTCTCTTCCTCTCTCTCTCCTGCTCCCTCTCTCCCTTCCACGCTCTCTAAAAAACAATAGGAAAAAATATCCTTGGGTGAGGATTAACAAAAAAATAAATAAAATAAGACAAAATAAAATCCCTGTTCCTATTATTATAAAAATATCCCCAACCCTTTTTAAAAGTAAATACAATTAATATATTTTTCATTGTTAGAGAATCTTAAGACTGTCAAGGGGCCTACTCAAGCTTTTGGTTGTTTTACTAAAGGAGGGAAATGTTAGTAAATATAGTTCTTTGTTCAGGCAAATTCCATAAAGATTGAACTGGAATTGGTCAAAGTTAACAAAAATGCCTCCACCGATGGGGAGAGGGATTTATTGGCTATATACAAGTAATTGGTTTGCCCTGCAGCCCATACAGTCCGCACCTATATCTCCATCAGCATCAGCAGCAGAGAAATCACCGATGTCCATACATACAACTCCTAGACATGATAACATGTGTTCAGAATACGCCGTGTTAGAAAACAAGGAAATGAATGTTTTAGCAATATTTCCATAAAAAGCAATTAAAATATAGAAGTTTGGGATGGGGCCTGTGAACCCATGTCTTTAAATAGGTCCCTTAGTGAAACCAGAGTAAGATCACTGGCATCACGTATCAAATGGTACTTGGATCGTAACTGCATCAGATGAAGTGAATGCCATCGCTGATTACCCATGACTTAACTCTGTGTTCAGAAAATGACAATATGTTCATTCAGATTCTCCAGGAAACAAACCTGGAGACATTTTTTTAATGCAAACAGATTATTTGAGAAGTGTAGGGAATACCGATAGAAACGTAGAAAAAAAGGTCAGGGGAAGGAAGGCAGCTAATAGGATGTGTGAGTGAGCCAGCTACCTTGGAGACTGGAACTTAATCCCACTGGAAACGCTTAGAAAATATATAAAGTGCACATTTCAGAATTGCCCCTCCCCAGGAGGGAGGGAGCTAACTCCTGAGAGTCACTGGTTGAGGGCCGCTCCCAGGAGGTGTGACTTCTCCTGCACTGTGCCCACCCTGTCCATGGGTAGCCAGGCCCATGAAGTGCAGACCTAGAGGTACAGGGGGTGGCAGTGGGGCATCTGAGTACCCTGGAGGTCTGAGGGATATGAGCAAGGCACTTAGAGGTCCTTCTACAAGTATAAAACATTGATACGGCGCCTGGCGTGCAATATGCACTATTAATCCTGTAATAGAAATTACTCTCGTGCAATTTCATAAGAAAAGTTTTCTCTCTTCAACTAAATTTCTCTCTTCATCTAAATTCTGTTCTCTCCCCGTCCCCTGCCCCCCAACCCCAGTGGTTTTCCGTTTCACATGGCGTGTAACAGAAAGAAATCCAATGCTTGTTTTGTTTTTATGTTTTCCAGAAATTCTACAGTCAAACCCTGACGTTCCAACTTGTCCGCAGTACTCAGAAGCTTACGCTGCTGGCACAGGGGCAAGGTTTAGAGCCACGCTTGGAATTCAGTCCTTCAATTCTGGAGCTGGGGCCGCTGCTGCCTTACGCGCCTGGAGACGAGGCCGAGGTGGTGGTGAAGAATCCCTGTGACTTTCCCATTGAATTTTACTCCTTAGAATTTGACCAGCAATATCTCATCGAAGAGAAGGTGAGCAGAGGCCCAAACCAGTCTTCATTTTCCTCCCCGTGTTGGGCCCTGACATGTACTGGTGCTCTTCCCTCTGCCAGGACCACTGGCCCCTGACCTTTACCTCTCCTTCCCTTTGAACCCTTCCTGGTCAACTTCAAGATCGCTGTGTAGACTTTTCTAACCTGCTTCCCTTGCCCTGAGCAGAAGTCATGACCTCTTTGTGATCTCATTATGCGTCTAAACAACCAATGGGAAAATTAATACATGCTAATGGTAAAAATTCAAACAGTGAAGAATGTATGCAGCAGTCATTACATTTGAAGTGAGTTTCTTGTAGATCGCATATAAGTGGGTCTTTTTTTAATACACTCTGGCAGTCTCTGCCTATAGTTGTTATATTTAGATCACTTACATTTACTACAGTTATGTTAGGGTTTAAATCTGCCCCTTTTTTTCCGTTTGTTCTGGGCTGTATAATTTCCAGTTTCTCCTTCGTGTTCATTTTTTTAAAACTTTATTTTTTTTTTTTAGAGCAGTTTTAGGTTCACAGCAAAATTGAGGGGATGGTACAGAGACTAGACCAGGGGTGGGCAAACTTTTTGACTCGAGGGCCACAATGGGTTCTTAAAGTGGACCGGGGGGCCGGAACAAAAGCATGGATGGAGTGTTTGTGTGAACTAATATAAATTCAAAGTAAACATCGTTACATAAAAGGGTACGGTCTTTTTTTTTTTTTTAGTTTTATTCATTTCAAACGGGCCAGATCCGGCCTGCGGGCCATAGTTTGCCCACGGCTGGACTAGACTATCCGCCTGCCCCTACACTCCATGGCTTCCCTCATTATCAATATTCCTTCCTAGAACGTACATTTGCTACAACCGATGAGCCTACGTTGACACACGATAATCACCCAAAGTCTAAAGTACATTAGAGTTCACTCTTGATGTTATATGTGCTATGGGCTGAGACAAATGTATAATGACATTTACGCATCATTATAGCATCATACAGAGTAACTTCACTGCTCTAACAGTCTCCTGTGCTCAGCCTATTAATCTCCTCCTCCTTTCAACCCCTGGTAATCACTGATCTTTTTACTGTCTTTATAACCTGGTCTTTTCCAAGATGTCATCCTATATAATAAAAGGATAATATGTAAATTGTCCCCTCGACTGGGAGTTCGACCAGGAGTTCAACCAGGGGGCAGGGTTGGCCAGCCAACTGCCCGCGGCCCCTTCCCCCAGCCGGCCTCTCCCCCAATCGCACACACCCCCCCCCCAATCAGGGAGGGCTGGCCGGACCCCGTGCATGAATTCATGCACCAGGCCTCTAGTATAGTCATAATCAGTATGTAGCCTTTTCAGATTGGCTTCTTTCGCTTAATAGTATGCATTTAAGTTTCTTGCATGTCATTTTGTGACTTGATAACTAATTCTTTTGGTCGCTGAATAACATCCCATTGTCTGGATGTACTGCTATTTATTTACCCACTCACCCACTGAAGGATATCTAGGCTGCTTCCAAATTTTGGCAATTCGGAATAAAGCCGCTGTAAATGCCCATGTGCAGGGTATTGTGCAGACAACATTTTTACTCCTTTTGCTAAATACCAAGGAGCACAATATGTAAGAATATGTTTCATTTGATAAGAAACCGCCAACATGTCGTCCAAAGTGCTTGTGCCATTTTGCATTCTCGTCCGCAATAATTGAGAGTCCCTGTTGCTCCTCATCCTCACCAGCATTTGATGTTGTCAGTGTTTTGGGCTTTGGCCATTCTCTGAGATATGCAGTAGTACTCTTGCTGTTTTATTTGCATTTCCCCGACGACATATAATGTGAAGCATCTATTCATATGCTTATTTGCCATCATTATATCTTTTTTGGTGAGGTGTCTGTTAAGGTCTTTTGCTTACTTTTTAATCAGGTTGTATGTTTTCTTATTGCTGAGTTTTAAGAATTTTTTACATATTTTTAAGTAACAGTCCTTTGTCAGATGTGTCTTTTGCAATATTTCCTCCCCGTCTGTGGTTTGTTTTCTCATTCTCTTAACAATGTCTTTCTCAGAGCAGAAATTTTTAATTTTAAGGAAGTTTTGCTGTTCCTGAAGCCTGATGTTTAGCCATCTGATTCTTCTTAGTTATTTATTACTGCAAAACAAAATACCACCAAGCTGAGCAACTTAGACGTTGGTCATCTCATGTTTTCTGTGGGTTAGGAATTTGGGACTGGCCGAGCTAACTAAGGTGGCTCCGCTTCCTTAGGACCCTCCCCCAACTTGGTCTTTGAATCCTCTCCTTTCTTTACATCCAGTGTTTATGCTCTACCTGATTTAGATGCTGCGTCCAGAAGTTCCCCTCAGAATGGGAATCTGTCCCTCTGAAGGCAGTCTCTTCATTGGGTAGTTATGAAATGCTCAATGGCTTACGTTGGCACAGCATCCTCTGTTGTGGGTCAAGTTCAATGGAAAGCAGAATTTAAGACTCTTCGATTTGCATACAGAAGGTTTATTAGGGAGCTCTTGGGGAAAACACCCGTAAAGAATAGGAATGCAGCCGAAACCGGTTTGGCTCAGTGGATAGAGCGTCGGCCTGTGGACTGAGAGGTCCCAGGTTCGATTCCAGTCAAGGGCATGTACCTGGGTTGCGGGCACATCCCCAGGAGGAGATGTGCAGGAGGCAGCTGATCGATGATTCTCTCTCATCGATGTTTCTAACTCTCTATCTCTCTCCCTTCCTCTCTGTAAAAAATCAATAAAATATATTTTAAAAAAAAAAAAAGAATAGGAATGCAGAATTGGGAGAGAAGAGGGCGACCTGTGAGAGGTTGCAGCGGAGACTTCAGCTGACGGCACAGGAAGCGCTGGAGCAGGCTCTTCAGAGTTACCCAGCTGAAGCCATTGGCCAAGGCTTGGTGTCTCCACAGCAACCAGTCTCTGGAACATTCCTTCCTTTCCACACTGACCTCTATCCTAAGCTCTCTTCCATTTCATTGGTCCATTTGTCTATCCGACATCAATACCACCCTATCTGTTACTCCAGCTTTGTAAGTCCTGATATCTGGTGTGGCAATCCTCGCTCTTCATTCTTCTTTATTAGGGTTCTAACTATCCTTAGCCTTTGTCCTTCAATATATGTTTTTAAATGACCTTATTAACAGTGGTTTTCAAACACCTGAAAACGGTGATCCTGGAGAAGGGTTATCTAACAAGATGGATTTTCTCACACCAGTGGAGCCAGGTGTCCCTCCAGCACTTGCCAGCAGCAATAAATTGGGTCAGATGGGGAGTAATTGCTTTCTAGGAGTTCATTTTATAAATATGCATATACACTAAAGTTGCCACATTTATCAGGGGGGAAAAAAACAGTTTTCCCAGTTAAATTTGAATTTCAGATAAACAATATGGACATATTTATACTAAAAAGATGTATTCATTGTTTATCTGAAATTCAGATTTAAATAGGCCTCCATATTTCATCTGGCAATCCTCATACATTTATACATTTCCTCTCTACCTCCGCTTTCTTCCTATCTCTATCACTCTCTAAAAATCAATGGGAAAAATATCCTTGGGTGAAGATTAACAACAATAACAAATTTAAAACAAGAAGATAATTCTCTTCCACATGTTAATGTCCATTTAGGCTGAAATGGAGCAAAATAAAGACCCATCTCCCCAGTTTCAGGGCTGAGGGAACCTTTAGACCCTCCGAAGCACCCTGCCCTCTGCACACACCTGACGGGTGGGAGAGCAGACCCACCGAGGGCTGTGGGGAGGCGCTTCCGGGAAGACCACCAACAGTTCCCCTTGTCCTCGTGCAGATCTTGCGGTCGCTAAAGGGCTACGACTCCTACAACACCCTGCTGCTGCCCCCCCGGGTGCCTGGGGAGAAGCTGCCCTCAGAGGTGTACGAGTACTTTAGGGAGATGAAGCAGTCCAAGGAGGAACAGATGAAGGCGAAATACCTGGAGGCTCTGGCTCAGGACAACGGTGAGAGCTCCTCTCAGGGGCCGGCTCCGGCTCCGCTACTGCCCTGGCTTCTTTGAAGGGTCCCTGGGCCAGGCAGGCGCGAGGTGCCTTGGGCATTTTATTTCTAATCCTTACAAAGTGGTCCCGTTATCCCCGGGTGCATGGGTGCGCAGACGGGACACTTTCTGCTCTTGAAAGGCCCTGTCTTCAGCTACAGTCACAGCCTGGGGTGCTCGGGAGCTAGGGCTTCAGTTATGAGTTTCAGGGGAGCCAATTAAGCCCCTACAAACATGCTGTGTTGCAAGCACTGAGCTGAAGCGCTGGGGGGAAAAGGTCAATGAAGCAGCCCCTGCCGTGGAGAGATCACAGGAAGTGGATGGAGGGAAAGACATCGCCTCTCAGGGCTGCCTGGTGGCCCGGGTACAGAGCTGAGAGGCTGTGACGGGCGAAGAACATCATGAAGTCAGGGAAGGGCCGCGTCCCTCTCAGCCCATTCCACTCCACCGCTGGCTGTGGGCTCCTTTCTCCCCTTGGCCCGTGGAGGAGCCCGGGAAGGGGACACTCTGCTTCTTCCCAGTGCTTCCCGGGCCTCTGCTCACTCCGCCCTCTCCCCGTCAGCCATCCTGCTCCCTTTCCCACACCGCGTCCAGGGGAGCCCGCGGTCGCAGGCCGCGTCGCCACCTTCACGAGAGAGCTGCAACCTCTCTGGCTCAAATCCAAACCCTCAGCAAAGAGGATGCCTGGACCCTGGGGTGGGGGTGGACGTGAGCGTATACAATCCCAGCCCTCCCGTGCATGCGCCCCCTGAAGCGCTGTGGGATGGGCGATGAGGGGGGTGCTGGGCCGACAAGAGTCAATATGCTGGACACTGGGCAGGGGGAAGATGTCCATGACAGGTTACAGGGAAAAGCAGGTTACAAATTGGTGTGTACAAGACTGGTTTTGGAAAATTAACCGCATGAGAGGTTGCTAGCTCTCCCGTACTGGTATCATAAAATCAAGCTGCGATTCCTCTGTCATCATTTCTTTATCGATACCCCTTTTTGAAACTGAATTTTATAATTTTTTTGCTTTTCTGAATTGTCCAAATTTTCTGGAGCAATAATTTTGGGGATATTTTATGTTAAAATGTAGAAGCACTCTGGGCAGAGAAACTGCAGTTCTTGTTGATTTGAGCTGGATGATCCAGGATGATAGTAACCAGCAGTTCTCCTCTTTGTCGTTTTCCTTTTTCACCCACTCTCTCTTGTCTCCCCCCACCCCACCCCCGGCAGAAGACGAAGATATATCCTTGTCGGAGCAGGTAACGGTCTCCAACGTGAAGAGGGGCTCACTTAGCCGAGGGATCTCTGTCACATCCGACCTGGAGGACTGGGAGGAGTCCAAGAACAATCCAGATGATGAAGAGGATGATGACAGCCTGGAAAAACTAGTGTTTCAAAGTAACCAGTATTTCATTTATTTATTTTATTTTTATTTTAGAGAGGGAGGGAGGGGGAGGGGGAGGGGGAGGGGGAAGGGGAGGGGGAGGGGGAGGGGGAGGGGGAGGGAGAGAAAATCAATGTGAGAAACATTGATCGGTTGCCTTTCATATGTGCCTCTGACCCGGCCCAACCTGCAACCCAGGTGTGTGCCCTGCCTGGGAATTGAACCCACGACCTTCCCATGCGGGGGGCGGGGGTGCGGGGGGGGGGGGGGAGACACTCTAACCAATGAGCCACACCAGCCAGGGCTAACATTTTAATGTTTGGGGGCCAGTTTTCTCTCAGCAGCAGCAGGAAGAGTGACTGATGCCTTTCACCTTTCTCCAAACCTTCTAGCATGACTACGTATTAATTCTCTAACATGACTGTGCCATCATTTATTTAGCCATTTCCCTGCATGTTGCAAACTCAGCTAGTTTCCAACATTATTTTTTTCAGCAGAAGAGATTCCCAAAAATGGAATTAAGAGTCAAAGAATATCTATAATTGTAATCCTAGCAGCCCTGGGCAAATTAGTAGCCAGAAAGGGTACTCTCATACAATACAGGAGGGAATGAGGGCTGCAGCAGATGGGTTCTCGTTTCCAAACGGTATCTAAAAGGAAAAAGTCACTCTCATTTCCATCAGAACTCATGTGGCCTCCGGGTGTGTCCACAAGCACGCACATGCGCACACGCACACATATATTTTTAATTTGCAGCTGAGAAGTTACAGAGCACAGACAGCCACTCTGCAGAGGACGATGGAGAAGTAGAGAACAGCCCAGTGAACAAGGCCATTGCTCGCTACCTGGGCATCGATGTTTGTGCAGAAGGTAACCTGGCCAAGAACCGGAAAGGCATCGCCATTATCGTCCACGGGACGCCCGTGTCAGGTATGTGACAGCTCTGTGGGGTTGCCCCTTTTATGGGGTGAAGCTTGCATGTGTCATTTTGAGGACATAAGATTATTTTATTTGGAGAAGTTGTGGGTTCCCGTAGCTCAGGGCCGACCAGTGGCAGAATCAGGGGCAGAATCCCGGGTCCCGATTCGGGCCTCAGGTCTTCCTTCTCTTTTGGCTGCCACCCCTGAGCACAGCAGAGGCCCAGAGGCAGGGCACCCGGAGAGATCACTGTCCAGGGGCCTCTGTTCTAGAAGCTTCTGTCTAGGACGCCAAGAAAATAACGTCCAGCCCCCTGACCTTTCCTCCAGGCAAGACGGCCACGGCAGCCAGCCTGGCCAAGTACTACGGCGCCGCCTGCTTCAACATCGACTCCATCGTGCTGGAGGCCATCTGCGACGGCAACAGCATCCCAGGGATCCGGGCCCGGGAGCTCTGCATCAGGGCGGCCATCGAGCAGTCCATGCGGGAAGGAGAAGAGTCTGGTGAGAGCCGTTTCCACTCCCTTCAGCGCCTCAGCATGAGATGCTTCCTGTGGCCAGGCGGCCAGCACCCAGGCCGGTAACCCCCACCTTCGCGGTGTCCCTCCCTGAGCTTTTCTCCCACCGCTTGGTTGAAGGCTGATTTACACGTGCTGCTACCTTAGGGCCCAGGGGAACATTCTCCTCCCCAAACATCACGTGGCCCTTCGGGGAGCAGGACAATGACTGGCACGTGGCCCACACCTTTGGGGGTGACACCTGGCGAGGAGCAGAGGGAAAGAGTGTAACAGGAGCGCGGGCTCTGGGAGAGCGGGCGTGGGAAGATGGCGTGCCAAGGAGCATGATCGGGGGTAGTTTTCATGGGAATGGGCTTTGAGGGAGCAGGACTGTGTTGATAGGTGACGATGAAGGACAGGACACGCCCGACAAAGAAAGCAGGGAAGCCGACAGTCAGTGAGAGGTTGGGGGGAGGCTGAGGCCAGTGGTCGTTGACCAGAAGCCACGATTGGGAATCAGGGTCTTACTTGGAAGGAAAGGAGTCGGGTGATTGTCACCCTGTGGGGGTAATGGCCGGAAAGTAGCTCTTGTAATGACTCGTAAGGGAAGCCCGAGGCGGCGAGGCTGGGCAAGCTGACCTGATTGCCGCCACGGCAGCGCGAACTGAGGAGTGGGAGGCGCTCAGGACGTCACACCAAGATAGGGGCAGAAACCTGGAAGCGGGGGACAGCGTTTACCAAGACAGGGGATGCGGGGGGAGGAGAAGGTTTGCTGGAGAGACTTAACCGAGTGTTTGAGCGCCACAGCAGTGAGGCCTGGGACGGCCGAACTCCCAGAGGCGGAGAATCCTGGCCCCATCAGGTCATCCAAGGACCTACAGGTCAGGGGGACGAACAGCTGCTCACGGGGAAATGTATGGAAGTAGAGTGCCTGCTGGGAGCTGAGTTGTTTTCATAAAAATACTCAGAACAGGGTAACAGCTTTCCTACTCCTGCAGCAGGCCTGCGCATTGGTGAAACGGGGTGGGGCTTTCAGTCGTGTCCCTCCCTTCAGCACCTCTGCCTGGGATGCTTAAGGAGACGGACGGGTCTAAGAGAAATAGCTCTTTAGTCGTGTAGGGGAGGAAAGATAATTTCCCTCTGCCCCTCTGAGTTCTCGGCTGAGACTCCTGTGATAAGAAAAAAAGAAGATTAACGAGGAAACAGGAGTTTATTAACACGTGTGCTTCTCGTGCACATGGGAGGTAGGGGGACGTGAGTAACTCAACGTGGCTTTAGAGTCAGAATTCAATACCAGCTTAGTAAGGAAAGGAGAGGCAGGACGTCGTCCTCTGGTGAAAGCAAACGATTTCTAGGAATGATGAATGAACCCTTAGGCACACGGAGGGAGGCATGATAGTTCGTGTGGGTTGCTGCTGACTTTCAGTCTCCTCTCCTGTGATAAGCGTCCATCTTCCCCAGTTGGTGGAACTCCCAGAACAGTGATGGTGAACCTACGACACGCATGTCAGAGGTGACACGCGAACTCATTTTTTTGGTTGATTTTTTTCTTGGTTAAATGGCATTTAAATATATAAAATAAATATCAGAAATATAAGTCTTTGTTTTACTATGGTTGCAAATATCAAAAAACCTCTATATGTGACACGGCACCAGAGTTAAGTTAGGGTTTCTCAAAATGCGGACACGCCGAGCTCAAAAGGTTCGCCATCACTGTCCCAGAAACAGATTTGTGGCAAATGGGTTCGTGTTGTGTGCCTGTCTGTAGGCAGATAAGTAAGGGAATTTCAGAGAAAGCCTCTCTGTGCATGTGCTGGTTTTCAACTGCCTACAGCTCAAAAGAATCAGAATACCCAAGCGGCAATTGTGAGGTGGCACGTCCTGATCTCCTGGAGTAATATTTCAGGGTGGCACATTCTGCTGCCCTTCAGCAGGAACCCCAAGCTGAATCATAATTCTGGTCCTCTTCGATTTTTGTTTCCTTCTCCGGCAAATAAACTATATTTCACTGAGGCCTCTGGAGCTGTGCGTGTCCTGTGACATATCGTGACATGAATGTGAGCTCCCTGTCTGAGAATGTAAGCCCAAAGGCATCATTGGGGAGTCTTTCTCAACAAGTGACAGGTGCTGCAGCTCGAGTAGAGGAAACCAGCCCAGGAAGTTCCACAAAGAAAGGAGTGGGATGGACAGGGCAGGATGGGACCTTGGGGAGCACTGGCACTGTAGGAGGGGTGTGGAGGGGACGCCGGGGGGGGGGGGGGCTGACAGGTAGAGGGGGGGCCGGGGGGGGGGGCGATCAGGAGAGCAGGTCGCAGGGAAGCCACCTTCGAGTTACTCATTTCCCCCCACCTCCCATGTATACAGGAAGTATACATGTTAATAAACCTGTGCTTTCTCTTACTAATCTGTTTTTCTCATCGCCGGAGTCTCAGCTGAGAACTCAGAAGGGTAGAGGGAAGATGATATTTCCACGAAGCAGGTGGAAAAGCACTGCAGGAGGGAGAGGGGCGAGAAGGGCTGTCAGGTCTCTCTGGGGCCCTGGTGGCGTCCAGGCTCCCTTCCAGCTTCATTTTCCCCATAGCCCTCACCACTCGTTAACGTACTGTTTCTTTTCCTTATTTCACTGTCTGTCTCTCCCCACTAGGGTGTAAGCATCCGAGGGCAGAGATTTGTGTTAGTTTTCTCCACTAATGTATTCCTAGGGTAGTGCCCTGTGCATAGTACATGCAGAGTCAGGATTTATTTAAAAAATGGATTCAATCAGTAAAGGATCCTAACTGGAGATTGCTGGAAATTCCAGTGGGAGGAACCCTGAGAAGAGAGGGCCTGTGAAGTTCACAGTTCAGAGGTCACTGGTGACTTTGAACCAAACCCTTTTAATGGAGGGCTAAGCCCCAACACACATTTGCAGTTTGCTCTGGAGTCAGCAGGCTGTACCGAACAGGAAGTGATAAATCTGAACTTGCCTGTGAGTGTGCAACCCATACTGGATTGGAAGACGTAGTATGACTAAAAGACTGTAACATGACACTGTAACCCTTGTTCATATTTTTCACATTATTTTATACTTACATTATATTATCTATTTTTATATTTGACTAGAGGCCTGGTGCACAGATTTGTGCACCGGTGGGGTCGCTCAGCCTGCCCTGCGGGAATCGAGCCAAAACTGGCTCTCCGACATCCCCTGAGGGGTCCCGGATTGCGAGAGGGTGCCTCTTGAGTGATGAACCCTGGAATCAGGCTACCTCCTCTCTGGTTCCGGGTGCGTCACCTGAGAACCGCAGTTGCCAAGTCACCGCAGCTCGGCAGCTCCTGCATTGAGCATCTGCCTCCTGGTGGTCAGTGCGCATCATAGCTATTGGTTGGAGTGTCTGCCCCCTGGTGGTCATTGTGCATCATAGCTACCAGTTGGATGGTCAAACAGTCGGATGGTCGCTTAGGGTTTTATATAGATAGATAGATAGATACTTTTTATATATTTTATATATTGAGTGAAATAAATTTTTGCTTTTTTAATAGGGCTACTAGAAAATTTTAATTATACACTTATGTGGCTCATGTTATATGTCTATTGGACAGAGCTGGTCTAGACCACTGTTTTGAGAAATTGGGCAGTGAAGGAAAGAAGTAAAATGATATCTTGAAAGATATGAAAGGTTAAATGAAAACTTTTGTTTAGTACGTATCAGAAAGAACTGGGTATTTTTAGACATGGAGGAATGATGCTATGGACAGGGGAAGGTGGAAGCATCAGAGCACAGAAGACATTCCATAGCAATCAGTGACGGTGAGGATGGGCCAGGGTGGGGCGGGGCTCAGTGGAGTGAGCGGGTGTGGGTGGCAGGAGGCTGGAGCTTCATTATCTTCATTATCGAAGGAGAGCCTGGAGGGACTGGGGGTGAGGCTGGACGAACAGAGGACCATGCCCGTCTATTATTGGAGCAGAACTTTGGTGCAACTACCCCACCCCCGCCCATCCTCCCAGGTGCCCTATGAAGTCCCTTGTGATCAGGTACCAGGGAGGGGGAGAAGGGAGCTACATGAAAGGGTAAAGCAGAGTAAGTATAGTGAGAGCTCTTGAGTGAGTTCTGGGGCTTATGTGCCGATGTGGTCAACAAGGAGTAGAGAGCTGAGAGCAGAGCTAGAGAAACATGAAGGCTGCCTTGCACACAGCCCCATCGCATCTTAGAGTGTCAGCAGCATCCACTAGACCCTATTCTCCTTCAGGACAGGTGGTGCATCTGTGCCAAATCAGAGGACACAGGGAGACAGGACTTGCCACTGTGGTTGGGAGGTTAAGAGGGGAACCTTTTAAATAATTACATCAACCACTGATTCTGAAAGGGAACCTCTCAGTGGTGCTTAGGGGTGGCGATCTGATTGGAAGGAAGGGCAGAGGTGAAACGAAGAAATTCATGTTAAAGCCATGTTTGCCAAAGGCACGCTGTTGTTACTCAGCCTATGTGTTCATTTGGGCGGTGCCATCTCATGCTACTCATTGGCATCACCGCTGCCTAGAACCACAGAAGGTCAGGGGTTGGGCTCCCAGGGCAGGGCTGTCATACACCCGCAGTCTCCGAAATGATTGCCCCTGGCCTGGAGGAGAAAGTGAGCGTTACTGCGGGATCTGAGCAGGGAAAAGCCCGGAACTCCAGGCCAGGCTCTCCACGGAGCTGCCGTCACCCAGTCCGCCCTGCGCTCGGTATGCCATCCACACTGTGATTTCCTTCTCATCCTAAGGTGACTTTTCATATCAACCCAATCTCTCTGTGTAGCCCAGGAGACTGCTTCAGGTCAACTTGGCATAGGACAGGTACGACAGAGCAGCGAGAACCTGGGCAAGTTAATCTCAGAAACCACCCTGATAAACCCTGAAGTGAAATCTGCAAAGTCCATGCGCGGGAGCATGCTGTTTTCCAAAAACAGGGCAGAGCATGGCTCTGGGTCTCAGAAGCAGCATCACCCGCACCCGCCTGAAACTCCACAGGTACAAACCAGGGCTCCCCAGAAGCGGGGCTGGGATCCTTTTTCCTCCTCCCCTTCCTCCTCCTCCCCCCTCCTCCTTCTCCTCCTCCTTCTCTTCCTCCTCCTCCTCTTCCTCCTCCTCCTCCTCCTCCTTCTCCTCCTCCTCCCCCCATCCTCCACCTCCACCTCCACATCCTGCAGCCAGGTCAGCACAGCTCCATTCAATGGGTGCCTTTGCCAGGCAGGCCTGAGCGCTGTCCCTGCACCACTCCTCCTGAAAGGAGGTCCATCCAGCAGGTGTTGAATAGGTGCCTTTAATAGTATAGGCACTGGGCTGAATGCTGGCAAAGTGAAGATAAATAAAGCAAAACCCCTGCACTCAAGCTGCACTAAGAGTCTAATGAAAGAACCACACCTTCAAATGTTTGCAGTGAAATGAGATTGGTGCCCTGGCCTGTGTGGATCAGTGATTAGAGCATCGGCCTGTGCACTGGAGAGTTGCAGGTTCAATTCCCAGTCAAGGGCAGGTACCTGGGTTGCAAGTGCGATTCCCCACCCTCCGTCAGGGTGCATGTGGGAGACAACCAGTCAGTGTGTTTGCAACCAATCAATGTGTTTCTGTCATATCACTGTTTCTCTCTCTCTCTCTTCCTCCTCCTATCTCTCCCCCTTCTCCCTCTCTTCCATTCTCTCTAGAATCAATGAAAAAATATCTTCACTCTTTGATTGAGGATTTAAAAAAATAAAAGAAATTGGTGACAAATAGCTGTGTAAAAAGAATTAGGTTAAACCATATAAAATTGCCAATATTCAACCATTTGGGAACATCATAGCAATTTTATATGGCTCAATTTCATACTAAAGGAATGCTAAAGATAAAAAAAAAAAACACCATTAATACAAGTTGTGGGATGCCTACAAGAGAGCCTTGGAAAGCCATTAGAAAGTCAGAGAATTGAGCCAGATGCCAAGGGACTTTGAGAACAATCTCAGGAGAAGAGCAGGTGCTGAAGCCAAAGACGGATGGCACTGTGACAGACAAGTGTGTGACGAGTTGTCACTTGGAAAGTAGAGTCCAGTGATTGTAGGCTTCTGAGATGTTTGAAAGAAATTGGAAAAAAAAAGATAAAATGTTCATTAGAGGGGCAAACCCAGGGTCAAGAGAGTCCTTTTTTTGAAAGGAGATCTATAAAAATGGGAAGGAAAAGTATAAGGTGATGATCCACCCAAGAGGGAATGCCAGTCCAGAAGGAGACATAAAAGGGCAGGACTAAGCATAATTTAAGAGAAAGGAGCTAGCTTCTTCTAGAGTTAGTAAAGGTGAAAACCAGACACAGCTGCATGTGGCAGAAGCAAGGTGGAGAGCAGAACATGGAGGAGGTCTTACTGAGTAACTTTAAGACGTGTGCAGGACCCCGGGTCTTTGCCGGAAATATGGAGGAGGTTGGGTTGCAGAGCATCTTGAGGAGAGTGGCTAAGTACTAAGATGTCCACTGTGAGGAACAGAACCAGAAATTGGTGGCGGACAGAAGCCAAGGTAGTTGAGAATGCTGATGGCCCAGCCAGACAGGAAGCCATACCTTCACAGATTTCACTAAGTGGCTCCTGGCAGCCCCCAGTCAGAGGCAGAGAGAGACATTTTCATCCCTGCAGGGGCAGGGTGTGCTCAGAATAAGGGGCAAGGGAGTTGAAAGTGGCGTCTATATGGGAAGACAGCCAGGTAGGGTAGAAACTCAGAGGACGATAGAATGAGAGAGACAGGAAGAGGGAAAGGGTCTGTAGGTCTTGCTACCGTTTAGAGTTCGGTAGGGGTAGTGGAAGAGGTCGTTTTAGAGAAGATTTCTGAGGTGGATAGAGTGGAGATGAAGGTCCCTATAAGAGAGGGGGCCCACACATTGGCTGGGGCAGGTGAGCGGGGGGCATGTGGATAATGGAGCACTGGATGGGGCAAGTGGATGGACTGGAGGCGAAGGTCTCTGTGTGACCGGAGGTATGTTGGTTGGATGGGGCGTCACCCAGGGTTGAATTGATGCCAAGTGATGTCTCTGATCTTTACTTTAGTCACATGTGGGGGTTTTTAACACCTTGAAAACTGAAACCATTGATTCAATTTATTTTGAAACGACATCCTTTTAACCCTCTTTTCCAATATCTAATATGCGTTCTTTACACAGGTATGTATGGATGAACTAGAAGCCATCTATTTGTATTTAATAGGGTGTCATGGGGAACCGTTTCCTTTGCTTTGGTTCTGTCCATCTGAACAGTGAAGTAAGGCTTTTTAGAATATATCAAAGGCGACACAAAATCCCAATGCGGACTTCAATCCCCTTTCACTGAACAGGGAACTTAAAACCTGTAAAAGATCACAATAGAAACCAGATCTCACAGATCCCCACATGCGGCTGCCTGCACGGCTCCAGTGTGACAGGCCTCCCACAGTGCGGACAGCAGTCACAGTCACGGTCACTTTAAGAGCGCTTTACCCAGAGATGGCTGTTTGGTCTTCTAACGTTCTCCTAGAGCAGCGATTCTCAACCTGTGGGTCTCGACCCCTTTGGCGGTCCAAAGACCCTTTCACTGGGGTCGCCTAAGACCATCCTGCATATCAGATTTTTACGTTACGATTCATAACAATAGCAACATTACAGTTATGAAGTAGCAACGAAAGTAATTTTATGGTTGGGTCACAACATGAGGAACTGTATTTAAAGGGCCAGAAGGTTGAGAACCACTGACCGAGAGCATGAGCTTGCTGTTAAAATTGCAGTCGTTAGTTGCAAGTGGGAAGAAATGTATGTTATATAACGAAGACATGACCTGTAATATAAGGTAATTTATTCAAAAATCACCTTGTTCTACAAAAGCACCAGTTAGAAGTCCTGATCTTTTGAATGATGTTTAATCCAACACTTTTCACTTCTCAATTCCATGGCACCCTCAGCTGTTCACCACTCACTGTGATCATAGCCTAGACTTTGCTCATTTTACCCATAAACTCCAAGATCCCTATATCACACATCCTACTTTCCAACAACCATCTTCTAACTTTTCAGATGTGCTTACTCATCAAAGCATCCAGTCCACATGTTCACTGGCTTTCACCCCCCTTCTCTTCCTTTCTTATCCAGTTTGGATTCTGTGGTCTGTCACTATTGCCACTCCCTTGTTCCTTCCCCTTCTTAGTACTTTTCAAGCAAAGCTTTAGCCCTGGTAAACCCAATTCTCCACCTCCTCCATTCAGGACAGCTGGACATAGCTGGAGAAAATCCTCATTTCTCCCGAATGGTCTTAATTTAAGCTGAAGACTACAAATCTCACGCCAAACCCTTTGGTCTATCCTAGCAAATTGGCCTGCTATCTCTTCAAGATAACCATTGTATTGCTGTCATCACTCTCCAAACCTCTTCCTCATTCTTAGCTAATGATCAGAAGATAACAGATCTCAGCAACAACCAGAAGACAATGCCTTATCCTCCCACCACCAACTCTACCAGACAGCCTTGGTCCTAGGCCAATGCCATGCCTTTCCGACAGCGGAGTAACTGTCCCTGCTCTTATCCAAGGCCCTGCAACTAGACCCGATCCCTTCTCTCTTACTCAGGAGCTAAATTCCTGCAATTCTCCCCTCTCTCTACCATTTGTTTATGTCCCCCATATATTGGATACTTCCCATCGGCATCAATACATGCTTTTATTATATTTATAAAAACATTTTAAAATCTTTAAAAATATTTTCCCATGACCCCAGGTTGCCCTCCAGCTCTTACCTCATCTTTCAGGTTCTCTCTCAGAGAATGGCTTCATGATTGCTTCCTCGTCCTCACCACCTCTCTCTGCCTCTGAATGGGGGCTGCCAGGAGCCACCTATTCCAATGAGGCCTTTGTCCTCACCACTTCCCTGGCTACTCATCTCAAGGCCACTGGCATTCATCTTGCCAAATCCAGTTTTTTGTCCTCATCTTACATGATCTCTTGGCAGCTGATAACCCCTCCTCCAGAAAGACTTTCTTCACTTAGCTTCCAAAACGCCATACTCTTCTACTTTCCCTCTACCTCCTTCATGACTCTCTCCACTCCTCCATCTTCAGATAACCTAGTTTTTCAGAGTAGGCCAGTGGTCGGCAAACTGCGGCTGGCGAGCCACATGTGGCTCTTTGGCCCCTTGAGTGTGGCTCTTCCTAAGCCTTAGGAGTACCCTAATTAAGTTAATAACAATGTACCTACCTATATAGTTTAAGTTTAAAAAATTTGGCTCTCAAAAGAAATTTCAATCGTTGTACTGTTGGTATTTGCCTGTTGACGAATGAGTTTGCCGACCACTGGACTAGGCTAAGACTAAGTCTTCTAATCTTTTATTTTTATTTTTTTTGTATCTCTCTTTTCTTTATAGGTAATCTCATCCAGTTCATTCATTAAATACTTAAATATTTTCTTCAATGTTTACTTAAATATTTTCTTCATTTACTTCAATGTTTTCTTAAATATTAAAATGCTTGAGTATTTTCATTGTGCTTAGGACCCTCAAATTTCTATCTCTGTCCCTAATTTCTCCCCAAGCTTAGGTTCATATACCCAAACCACATTTAACATCTCTATCAAATGGCTTAGAGGCATCTCAAAATTTGTATGTTGTAAAAAGTGGTTGTTGCTGCCTCAAAAAAGAATAAAACAAAACAATACAAAAAAAAAACTTGTCCTTTCCTTAGTCTTTTCTTTCTTGATAAATAACTTAACCATTTTTCAGTTTGTTCAGGTCAACACTCAAAAAATCATTCTTGATGCCTCTCTTTCTTTCATGTCTCATCTCAAATCCTATTGGCTCTGTTCCACACTATATCCTGTATCAGCCACTTCTCACCACCTCCCCTGTGAGTGTCCTGCGGCCATCATCTCCTGCCTTGACCATGGAGATATATGACCCACCAGCCTTCCTGCTTCCACTCTTGTCACCTCATGCAGCAGGTAGAATGCTCTCTTAAAAATAGAAGTCCGGCCGGCCAGTGTGACTCAGTGGTTGGGTGTCAACCTATGAACCAGGAGGTCATGGTTTGATTCCGATCAGGCACATGCCCGGGGTTGCAGGCTTGATCCCCAGTAGAGGGCATGCAGGAGGTAGCCACTCAATGATTCTCTCTCATCATTGATGTTTCTATCCTTCTCTCCCTCTTTCTTCCTCTCTCTGAAATAAATTTTTAGAAACACATTTTTTAAATAAAAGTCCAATCATTTGTCTGCCTAAAACATGCCAACAACTTCCTATAATACTTGGAATAAAATCCATATTCTGGCCTGCCTGTGTCTTCGACTTTAAGCCTGACCACCTTACCCGCTGCTCACTCAGTTCCCATTGGACTTGGCTCCCATGTGCTCCCCAAATACCCACACATGCAGTCGTGTTGAGGGAACTTGCTCTTTCCTCTCAGAAAGACTCTTCTCTCAGGATCTTGTCTTGTTCTTTCATATTCTCTCATACCCAGGTAATGTGGCCATCCTTTCTAAATAGCCATTGCCCAACCCTGTCATTGCCCTTTACTCCCTTACTGATCATTTTCTCCCTGGCATTCATTACTATTTGAAATTGTCACTGATTTGCATATTCATCTGTCCCTTTTCTGTCTCCCCAACTTGAATGCAAGGACCAGACTGGCAGCAACACTGCTAGGCTTGTGTGTTGTTGTGTCCCTGGTCCTAGAGGAGACCCTGGCCCATAGTAGGTGCTCAAAGAAGATTTGATTGAAAGAACAAATGGGTGCTGTTCAGTACATACACAAAGCACCTTCCACAGTGTTCCCACTCAGAGCGTATAGCAATTCTTTGAGGGAGATAGGAATATCCAATTTTACAGATGAGGAAAGGAGGCCCCGAGAGATGAGATGACTTTCCTGAGGTCACTGGCTTGTAGGTGTAGGAGTTGTTGGGACACCGAGCTGGGTTCTCACTTCTGAACCTTCTCTCCGCAGATTTCCTCCAGTCCTCTCCCCTCGGGACCCACACCGCGCAGACTTAGTGTCAGCACCAGCATCGGAGGCGAGACCGGGCTCCTGAGCTGTGTGCTCCCTGAGGAAATGCTCGTTCAGATCCTGGCCGAGCGCTTACAGGTGCGTCCACACTCGCGCATGGAGCTGCGGAGCTCACACACCTTCCCCAGGCCGTTAATAACAATGTACCTACCTATATAGTTTAGGTAGGTACTGAGCCCTCATAGCCCACAGCAGCTTAGAACCCCGGGCCTTGGAGAGGAAAGATGGGTTTCCTCACCCTCACCAGTCATTCACGTGTCCTTTTGACAGCCATTGTCGGTCTGCTGCCTGAAGCCTCTCACTTTCAAGGACCAGTGATCGAAGAGTCACACCACAGCCCTCAGTGGTGTTTTTAAAACTGTAAGGAGGAGCTGTTCAGAGTTAGAATTTGGAGACAGTTAATTGCTATAAAAATTTGTTTTTAAGTGAGAAAAGCAGGTTATGTTCCATATGATTTCACTATATGTGGAATCTAAAGAATAAATTAAACAAACAAAACAGAAAGAGACTCATAAAAATAGAGAGCAAACTGAAGGTTGTCAGATAGGAGGGGGACTTGGGAGGCTGAGTGAAAAAGGTGAAAGGATTAAGAACTACAACGGGTAGTCACAAAATAGTCACAGGGATGTAAAACACAGCATAGGGGATATAGTCAGTAATCCTATATAATAAAGAGTTAATATGCTAATTAGACCAAACAGCAGAATGACCATCCAGACAACCTTCTGGACGAAGCTGGGGCTGCGAGGGCTGAGGCAGCTGGGGCTGTGAGGGCCGAGCCCCTTGCACAACTTTCGTGCATCAGGCCTCTAGTCTATAATAATAAAAGCATAATATGCTAATTAGACCAGACGACCTTCCAGACAAAGCCAGGGCTGCAAGGTAAGCCTGAGTCCCGAGTGCCAGAGGGAAGCTGGTGCCAGCAGCCAGGGTAAGGAAGGCCTACTCTTGCACGAATTTCATGCATCAGGCCTCTAGTATTGTAATAACTATGTGTGGTGCCAGGTGGGTACTAGACTTAATGTTACCAAGATCAGCAGTGTTTGGGAGAGCGTCACGTAAGCCTGCAGGCTGCTTGGGATTTACAGAGAGCAAAACTGCTCAACAAGTCCCACAGCTGTGTGTTTGCTTTAGTTTTGCAAACTGGGCACAGTATTAATTGCACATTTAAATATAATAAAATCAGACTTGAGGTTCCCAGCAGAGGAGGAATGTCGTTCCTGGAAATGACTTGTGTAGTGTTTGGACTGCTGCTGTGTTACAGGCACCACCCCTCTCAACTCACTTGAGCAAGGCGGTCACATAAGTGCAGGTATTTCAAGAATCCGGATTAAAGGTAGCGAGTCACTGGGAAGGCCCAAGGGAAGCCAGTAGAGCTGTGCTCTTTAGAGCACTGATCTTTGTTGAGACATGGAGCCCACACGGTCTCCTTCATCCACAAGGTCTTACTACAAAGAAAAAAAAAAAAATGCAGACCTGAATTAAGTCGGGTATTTAGTGATGTCATTGATTTACATTCTGACACAAGATTCTTGCCTCGTCAAACACTGGTGGCAATCTGTCCCCGGCCAGTGGTGGCCAGTCTATGCGCTGCACTTTGAGTAAGACTGCCGTGCAAAGAGACTATTCTTGAATGGTTAATAACGTCAAAAGCATTTCACTCCCAGGCAGTGACGCCACTAAGGATGGCCCAGCTGCTACCTCTGTCCTTGCTGCCGGTGACCCTACACATGAGGACAGCTTTCTTTGCATCTTCCTTCCCTGGGTCTCCTGGATCTTCCCAGACCAACACTTGAACATGTAGTTTGTTTTCCTTGTTTCCTTAGAGAGGAAGGGAGAGGGAGAGAGAGAGAGAAGCATCAGTGATGAGAATCATAAATTGACTGCCTCCTGCACACCCCCTCCTGGGGATCGAGCCCTCAACCTGGGCATGTGCCCTGACTGGGATTCGAGCACAGCTCGAAGGAGCACAGCTCTACTGGCTTCCCTTGGGCTTTCCCAGTGACTCGCTACCTTTTTTTTTTTTTTTTTTTTTTTTTTTTTTTTTTTTACATAATATTTTATTTTTTTATTTTTTTTTCTGTTTTATAAAGTTTTTTTTTAAATTAAATCTTTATTGTTCAGATTATTACATTTGTTCCTTTTTTTTCCCCCCATAACTCCCCTCCTCCCAGTTCCCGCCCCACCCTCCGCCCTCACTCCCCACCCACTGTCCTCATCCATAGGTGCACGATTTTTGTCCAGTCTCTTCCCGCATCTCCCACACCCCTTTCCCCCCCAGGAATAGTCAGTCCATTCCCTTTCTATGTCCCTGATTCTATTATAATCAACAGTTCATTCTGTTCATCAGATTATTTATTCCCTTGATTCTTAGATTCACTTGTTGATAGATGCATATTTGTTGTTCATAATTTGTATCTTTACCTTTTTCTTCCTCTTCCTCTTCTTAAAGGACACCTTTCAGCATTTCATATAATCCTGGTTTGGTGGTGATGAACTCCTTTAGCTTTTCCTTATCTGTGAAGCTCTTTATCTGACCTTCAATTCTGAATGATAGCTTTGCTGGATAAAGTAATCTTGGTTGTAGGTTCTTGGTATTCATCACTTTGAATATTTCTTGCCACTCCCTTCTGGCCTGCAAAGTTTCTGTTGAGAAATCAGCTGACAGTCGTATGGGTATTCCCTTGTAGGTAACTGAGTTTCTTTCTCTTGCTGCTTTTAAGATTCTCTCTTTATCTTTTGCTCTTGGCATTTTAATGATGATGTGTCTTGGTGTGGTCCTCTTTGGATTCCTTTTGTTTGGGGTTCTCCGCGCTTCTTGGACCTGTAAGTCCATTTCTTTCACCAGGTGGGGGAAGTTTTCTGTCATTATTTCTTCAAATAGGTTTTCAATATCTTGCTCTCTCTCATCTTCTGGCACCCCTATAATTCTGATGTTGGTACGCTTGAAGCTGTCCCAGAGGCTCCTTACACTATCCTCGCATTTTTGGATTCTTTTTTCATTTTGCTTTTCCAGTTGGGTGTTTTTTGCTTCCTCGCATTTCAAATCATTGACTTGATTCTTGCACTCCTCTGGTCTGCTGTCGGGAGTCTGTATAATATTCATTATTTCAGTCCGTGTATGCTTAATTTCTAGTTGGTTCCCCAATATAAGATCGAGGGTCTCATTAGTTTTCTTGTAGATCTCATTAAGTTTATCGGCGGCTTCTAAACAGTTCTTGAGAGACCTTAAAAGTGTGGTTCTGAACTCTATATCTTCCATTGACAATTTTGTCCTGTTTCTTTGTCTCCGCATTTTGTTATGCTTTCTTGGTGCACCCCCTAGTGGTCTTTGTTCGCAGTCTTATAGTTAAATCTTGATTGTTGTAGCTAATTCCAGGGAGGGTTTGACCTCCAGGCCAAGTGGCTATGAGAATCAGCTGTGTCAGCAGTGAGAGAACTTCTGTCCTCTAGGGAGGTGCTAATCTAGCCTTTGCCTGAGGCTATCCGGCAAAAGCCTCTGTGCAGGGCTTAGGCGGGGCGGGTTGCACAGGATCAACAGGGTGGGCCGGAGAGAGCAGTTATGGCGGCTCTCAGTCCTGTCCCCAGGGGCTCTGCCTCTCTGAGTCCCAGCACCCGCTGCAAAGCTCAGAGAGAAAGCTGCGCTCGCTCTGACCTAAGCCAGACAGTCCCGCTTCTCCCGTTTGAGTCTGGGTCCCTAAAGACTCGCCCGGATCTGGAGCTCAGAGTCTGCGACTCCTTCCCGATTGAAAACGCCAACCTCGCACTCCGCACCTCAGAATTTGACTTCAGCACTGCGCCTCCTCTGAGTGTCCGTATGCGTTTCTCTTTCCTCCTAGTTGTAGGACTTCCACTCAGCCAGCGTTCCTGTGGTTCTGGGTGATGTCCCTTCCGTTTTTTGGTTTCACTTTTGAAGTAGTTGTTCAAAGCAGCAAACTCCAGCGTTAACCTATGCCGCCATCTTCGTGACTCGCTACCTTTAATCCGGATTCATGAAATACCTGCACACTTGCTCAAGTGAGTTGAGAGGGGTGGTGCCTGTAACACAGCAGCAGTCCAAACACTACACAGGTCATTTCCAGGAACGACATTCCTCCTCTGCTGGGAACCTCAAGTCTGATTTTATTATATTTAAATGTGCAATTAATATTGTGCCCAGTTTGCAACAAGTTCCCAAGGGTCTATAGAGACAGCATAAGCCCTTTGCTCTTCAAGTACGTACGATGAAGCTCTTCCATGACGGACTGAATATTTTTCCTTTCTCTTTATTTTATAACAGCACCTTGAATTTAGCAGGTAGTCGAATGGTACTTTTATCAGGGCTCAGTAGGTTTGCAGAACCAATTGCAGCTCCAGTGAAAGCACTGGCAGAAGAACAAGCAGCTCTGTAGAGAACAGATGGCCCGGTGGCCATGGTAACTGCCTCTGTTCTCTCTGGTTTCAGCTGAGTGACTGCAACCTGGGAGTGGTGTTTGACAGCCTCGACACACTCTTTGCTCGAAACGCGGCCATTGCTCTCCTCTGCCTGCTGAAGGCCATTGGCAACAGGGAGCACATCTACGTCCTCAACATGCCCCAGGATTACGCAGGCATGAAGGCCCAGGAGAAAGCCAAAAAGGAGCAAGAAGGCAAGGCCCATGCCCTTCTGGACTGTCCTTCACATGTGCTCACAAATCTTTCCTTTACATATAGCATCTGCCCTTTTTAAAGGCTTCCCTGGCATGATAGCCCATTGGGCTTAAATGAAACTATTCCATTTGCCATTTCATAGGTGCCCAACCTCTGCCCCATAAGGTGGCTGGGAGTTCTTATTTCTTCCACTTTTTATGTGTGGGAACTGAGGCAGAAAGGACCTGTAGAGAAATTATAGACTGAAGGGTGGACTTGGCTCTTCTGACAACGGGCACAGTCCTCTTTTGTCCAGGATCTCACTGTTCACACTCATCTTCTCCGGAACTACAGCTGGCCCCCAGGGAACACATCACAAGTCCCGTCTTGACTCAGGTGACCGGTTAGCTTGTTGGTTTTTGTTTTAGCCAACTGTGCATTTCCTGTAAAACTAGAGGTGCTGCTAAACTCTACGAAACCAAGTGTACATTTTAGCCTCGCGTGTACCAGGCTGTGCGGCAGACCTTGTGTACACATTGGATGTCTTTAAATGGTGTGTCGTTCCCATTTTACAGACGAGGAAAATGAGGCTCAGGGATATCATGTCAGATCACATGGCAAATTAGTAAGACCTTTCCTTTTTTTTTCTGTCATTACACCAGTCGCCTGGAAATAACTTTCACTGATTGAAAAATAGATACATGCACACGGAGTAATATTAGTGAACAAGTTCCCAATTTAGTCAGAAGCAGACCTAGCACATTGTGGCCTCCAAGAGAGGAGGTGACACTGCCCCTGGGAAGCAGATTCCTGCTCTGGCCTCCGCTCCATCCACATCGCTGCCCTTCCTCACTTGGCCTTCCCTCTCTCTTCTAGAACAATCCACACAAATCATAATGCTTTTCCAGTGAAGGGAATATCACAAACACTGAGCTCTCTTAGTTCTTAAACAGAACTCATACTGCTTCCTTATATTCTCACTCCGGGGAAAATGAATAGGAAGAATGGCCAGGCAGGGTTTCCAGCAGGATTTTAATCTCCAGGTCCCTCGTTTTCCAGAAAACTCATTTCCCCACAAGGATCAACTTAAAAGAAAATAACTCTCTTCATTTTCTCAGTTATCTGTGGATTGAAGTTTTTCACAGTTGCGTTCTGAAAAAGCGCTGAGACAGCAAATGTAATAATATTATTATATCCAAATCTAATTCTTATTGAACATTTATGAATATGCCAGGCACTGGGTTTTACATGATTGCTTATTTGAGCCCACAACACCCTATGAAGGGGGAATTATTATTCTTATCTGTTTCTGTCCCTTGGTAAATGTTGGGAAAAGGACTCAAATGCAGATCTCTGAGCCCAAAGCTAAAATGAGAATGTGAGGTGAGGGTATCGGGCCGGTGACGTGTGAACAAGAAGCCGGGTGCCTTTGTGCTGAGTGCGAACCACACTCTGGACCCGAATCAGCAGGCGTGGAAGACGATCCTGAGTTCTGTCGCCCTGAGCTCTTCAGTGGCTGTGCTCAGAAAGGGTGACGCCAGTGGGTGGTATATTTCCTGTTACTGCTGTAACAAATTCCCACAAACCTGGTGACTTAAAACAATACAGATATATTATCTTACGGTCTGGAGGTCAGAAGTCCTAAAATCGAGGTGTCAGCAGGGCTCTACTCCTTTGGAGGCTTCAGGAGAGAATCCCTTCCCTTCCCTTCCCTTTCCACTTCCTAGAGGACTGCTGTTTCCTTGGCTCATGATCCCTACCTCACAGCCCTCTGGCATTTGTTTCTGTTGTCACATCTACTCTCCCTCTGCTTCATCACCGCATCACCTTCTCCGACTCTGGCCCTTGGTGATTATATTGGGTCCACTCAGATAATCCAAGAAAACCTCTCCAACTTAAGTTCCTTAACTTCATCACATCTGCCAAATCTTTCCTGCCATGTCAGAGGACATATGTGTGGGCTCTGGGGATCAGGACGTGGGTGTCTTTGGGGCCACTCTTCAGCCGGCCACAGACGGAGACCGGTTTTGGAACTGTGTGAGTGAAGGAAGCCCCACCAGAGACTAGGAATGCTGCTGCCACCCCAGCCACCTTTCACTGCCACAAGCTGTGTGTGACTTTCCTCCCCTTCCCATCTCTGTTCCCCCACACAGAGCAGAAACAGAGGGAGGCGCTTGAAAAAGAGAAGGAGCGTCTCCAAAATATGGATGAGGAAGAATATGATGCCTTGACAGAGGAGGAGAAAATCGCGTTCAATCGAGAGGTCCAGCAGGCCCTGCGGGAGAGGAAGAAGAGGTGAGAGGCAAGGGCCAGCCTGAGCGGAGCAGTTCCCCTGGGAGCAACTTCCATGGGGCCCACAGGAGCCCATCCCAGGGACCAGGGTCATCTCCAGGGTGGCAGCAATGGCCACAGGAGACCGGGAGGATGACTGACCGGGAGCAGGAAAGCGTCCTGCCCCTCCAGGGTGGTGGGTGCTGCAGCCTTGCAGGGCCTCTCTGTTCTCCTCTCCCTCCTTCTCTCTCAGGGACACGGGGGCTGGGTGAAGGCTATGCCATGTAAAAGGGGAGGGGCTTCTGGCCCCAGTGCTATCCTAGGGCTCCCATTGGCTCCCTCTGACCACTGTGCCCTAGGTGTGGTGACCGGGGACCACTCTCTTCATGTGGGCATGGTGGTTGCTCCCCAGAACTCAGCCATTTCTCCTCCTTCCCCGGCCATTCGCTTGGCCCTGGGTGGTGCTGTTCATCCCCTGAGGTCTGGCTGCTTCTCCGGCTTGATCGTCGGCCTGAGTGCTCCCAGCCAGCACTGTCAGCCCCTTCTATACCCATCGTTGGGACCACATGGGAATGACCGGATCCCCTCCACACCCCCAAGGGCCCAGCAGAGGCAGGGCTGCTATTTCAGGCTCTCAGACATAGTGGCAGTGGGATATATGCCCTTGCTGCCTTCACATGTGCTGGGGGAAGGGGGCCCCATTCCCTACCACTCCCTAGGATTCCAGCATTGGAGGAGGCAGAGCCAAGATACTTTGCTGCAATTTTACTAGTACCTCCTTCCTTCTGCCTTTTCCTTCCACCTCCAGGCCCCTCCCACTAACCCCCCAACAAGCCTGCAGGAGACCCTCAGTTCTTCTCCTACTTGGTCCACTGTATAATGCCTGCCCTCCAGTGGTATGGAGGCCTCATTATTGGATTCCAAAAGAATCTCTTTTTCTCCTCCAGGCATTGCTTTCAGGCATTCATCTCAAGGTGGATTTAGCAAATGCAAATCTGGTCATCAAAGCTCAGCAATGACCTGTGTATCACACATACACACACACACACACACACACACACACACACACACACACACACAGTGATGATGAGTCAGCTTCAGTGGGTGGAGAGCCACAGCAACAAGAAACAACCAGGGATTCCTGGAGGTGAAAATAGGTGGGTTCTGTCATGCCAGAGATGCTGTTCCCTCCGCATGTGTTCACGTTGGCGCCTGGCCTTGGTGCCCGCACTGCCATTAGCAGCAGGGCAGGCACAGCTGAATTCACAGCAGGAAGGGAAAGAAAGAGAGAGGAGAGGACTGTGGCTCTCAGGTCCAACACTGTGGTTCCAAGCTAGCCATGGTAGGGACTGCTATTAAAAACACCATTTCTTGCCCTAACCGGTTTGGCTCAGTGGATAGAGCATCGGCCTACGGACTGAAAGGTCTCAGGTTCGATTCCGGTCAAGGGCATGTACTTTAGTTGCGGGCACATTCCCAGTAGAAGGTGTGCAGGAGGCAGCTGATTGATGTTTCTAACTCTCTATCCCTCTCCCTTCCTCTCTGTAAAAAATCAATAAGATATATTTTAAAAAGAAAGAAAGAAACCACATTAGCCTCTTAAAAAACAACAACACCATTTCTTGCTTTCTGAACATAAAATGACAGTGTAGGAAGCTGGGATCCTGTACTAATATCAGAGCAATCTCTGAGAGCTTCTTTTAAAACATCAAGCCTACTTTCAGCCATTGCCTTGCTCTCCTTGGAAAGGAGTTGGAATAAAAATACAAATTAAGTGAGAACTCTTTTTTTAAAAATATATTTGTATTGATTTCAGAGAGGAAGGGAGAGGGAGAGAGAGATAGAAACATCAATGATGAGAGAGAATCATTGATTGACTGCCTCCTGCATGCCCCCGACTGGGGATTGAGCCCACAACCTGGGCATGTTACCTTACCAGGAATCGAACCGTGACCTCTTGGTTCATAGATCGACCACTGAGCCGCACCAGCCAGGCCTAAATGAGAACTCTTAGTTGAGTTTCAGTTCATCAGTTTTGCTGAAAGACCATTCAAAGATAGATGTGAACCATCCTTTCCTTTTCTTCTTTCCCTCCCTTTTTCCTTCCTCCTTTCCTTCCTCCCTTCCTAGTTTCTGAGCTTTCATTGTTTTTTTTTTCTTTTTATGCCCAAGAAGACTCTGCCACATGTCCCCCCACCCAGCAATCCCAGGCAGGGAGGGGCTTGATCCTGTGGCCTCTGAACTCAGCTTTCTCTGCCTGGTTTCATAAAGGGAGCTGGAGAGATTGGCAAGGGAGTTGCATGAAAAGAAGCTACAACAGGAACTTGAGCGGCAAAAGGAAGAAGATGAGCAAAAAAAGAAGACGAGAAAGACAAAGCAAGTAGCACCAAAGGAGGAGCCAGCCCTGAAGAAATCTCAGACCAGCCGGCAGGTAGAAACCCCTCCTTGCTCCTTCCCAGGAGGAGAAAGCAGAGGGACCAGCCGTTGTAACCAGCCCTTCAGTCCAGCCCATTTCCCCCCAGAAAACTGACCCGATACTACTAGGTGGGTTTTATGTTGGAGCAGAAGGTAGGAGGAAAGGGACCAACATCTGTTGAGCAATGATTGTGTGCTAAGCTCTGGGCTTATGCTTCGTGCAACCCTGTCATTTTTGGCATCCTGGCCCCCACCCTGTGAGGTTCTAAGACAGGAATCCCGTTTGAGGTTGAGAGAGGGGAAGTCGAAATTCCAGGATCTCACCCAGTTATGTCCGACCACAGCCCTTGCTCTTTCCACCGTCTCTTCAAGCCCCCTGGACGGTGCTAAAGAGGCCGGTAGTAAAGATTTGCCTCCAGTAAGTTACCAAGTCAGTGACGCCCCTGTGTTCACGCAGGAGCTCGCCCTTGGTAACAGTCCAGGGAATTCAACATCAGCTCGTCCTTGCAGAACAAGGACCATCAGTGTATCAACCTGTCAAGCTCGGGGGTCACATCTGTGTCCACTGTGATGGGGAAGGGGCCGAGCAGCCCAAGCAGCGCCCAGGTGGCCATCATGGCTGAGGGGTGCACGGGGGCTCATTCAGTGCTGCGAGTTCTGGGAGTGAAGTGACAGCCAGACTCCCAGGCAAGATGCAGGCTGGTCCCAGTGGGTGAGCAAGAGTCCAGTGACCACAACACCCTGTGCCTCTCACAGGCACCTGAAAGCAGGTGTAGAGGGGCCATTCCAGGCCATCTTCTCCTGCTGACCCTGCGGAACACCAGCTCTCAACCAGAATGCACATCAGTCACCGTGCCCAACGCCAGGTCCCAGCGGGACCTGTACCAAGGGAGGGCCACAGAATGGACATTTTGATAAAGGTCCCCACAGTGATTCTTAGGCACAAGTCCACTGTACTTAAGTGGCTGGAATCCCATGAGGACTTCTTACAAAACAAAACATCCTCTTGCTCTTTTTTCATGTGATTCTGTGACCTGCTCTCCCTGAAAGAACTGTTCTCAGCCTATGTTCTGTGTTTTGCCTTCTAGACACTTACCTTTTCCAAACTAGAAGGCAGGATGGACTTGGTAGAACCAAAAGCTTCTGAGAAGGACCAGGGAATGGCTGAGAGGGACGAACTGAGCAAGAAGAAAAAGAGCCAGATGGCAGATAACAACGCCATTGGGTTTTCCCTGGTCCAGGATCAGGAGGACAGTGATGGGGACCTCCAGAAGGAAGCTGACAAGCCTCTGGCCCAGAGGTTTAAGACCTATGAGCTGACTCTGAAGGATATCCAGAACCTCCTCATGTACTGGGACCGGAAGCTAGGCATCCAAGTGCCTCACATGGGGGCTGAGGACCTGACCCACGAGCCCGAAGACCAGCGCCAAGTCCCGTCTGGTGGGCGCAAAGGCCGCAAGGACCGGGAGAGGGAGCGCGCGGAGAAGGAGCGAGCGGAGAGGGAGCGCCTGGAGCGGGAGAGGGCCGAGCGGGAGCGGCTGGAGAGGCTCCGGGCGCTGGAGGAGCAGCCGGATGGAGGAGACGTGGACAGGGAGGAGGACCATGAAGGGAAGAGGGATCTGGGTGTGCCATTCATCAATATCCAGACACCCGACATTGACGGCTCCACCTGGAAGCAGGCCCTGGAGAATGACAAGCTTCCCAAAGGGGATCAGGTACAGACCCTCCTCCGGGATAGAGATGTAGCCATCAGGTAGCAGGTACTGTGCTAAGGGTCATGAAAGAACTTCTTTCTACATTAACATCTATATTCCCCTTAAATCCATTCATCTCTGATACCCCCCCTAGGTAAGACTAATGGCTAAAAGGGCCTTTTTCCATGTGGTGACAATCCATAAGAAGTTCCACAGATCAAAGTTATTCCATCTAACCTCCTGAAAAGCCACCTGCAGGGTCGATTTTTAATATTGACGGTTCGGTGCTACATGCTGGCGAGGCCAGCAGATTTGGGGTGAAGCAAAAGGCTCAACCACTCAAAAACCTTTTTCCCACAAGCTTCCCACGGTAACAGAAATTATACTATGAGATAGCTCTTATGTTCCTAAAAACAAAAGATTTTGCGTAAACGAAAGCCACCTTTGGCAGTGGTTATCACAGCCTTTTGTCCAGGGACAAAACTTTGTCTACATTAAAACACTAGAAAGCATCTGCTGCGAACATTGAGGGGAAGGCGGGAGGTCTGGGCCACCCTGTCCTCCGGGGGAGGGGTGAGAGGTGGCCCGCCTCCCGCGCAGCAAATCAACGACCCGTTTTTCCTTTAGATCCTAGACTACTTGGGCCTGGGCTCCTCTGGGCTGCCCATCCCGCCTCCCGTCTTATTCTCCATAATCCCCTACCCTCTGAAGCGGCTGCCCTTGGCCCCCACGGAAATCATGAAGCATTTTATGTTTCTCATCCCGCTCTCCGAAGAGCTGGCCCTGCTGGAGGAGAAAAGAGAGGCGGAATCAGAAGTAGACCTCTCGACGACTACCACCACGAGCTCCGCGAAGGTAAAGAGCGAGCAGCGAGCGCGTCCTGACCTTGGCCGTCTCCCCCCACAGGCCAGCCGTGGAGCATGGGGCCGGGCGGGCGTCATGGCGCTCAGGCGCTTCCCCTCCACCCGCCGGGGATCCTGCCGAGGGCCCCGCACCAGCCTCTCCCCCTTCCAACCTGTCCATTCCCCAGGCACCGTCTAGGGAACTTGTCCAATGACTCAGAAGCTCATCTGGAAGAGAAAAGGAAGCAGCACTAGTCTTTTAAAAAAAAGATAGTGTAATGTATGCATGAAGCTAAGTAGTGTGCACAGTGCCTAAGAATACAAGAATCGACAGACACAGGTTAAGGGAACACACACCACTAGAGAAGAGACAGGTTATTGAAGAAACGGTGATGGGAAAATTGGCTATTGTATCTCCTTGCCTGATACAATGCAGTAAAATTCATTCCAGCTGGATTAAAAATATAAGCAACAAAATGAAATAATGTAAAAGTTGCCCTAACCGGTTTGGCTCAGTGGATAGAGCGTCAGCCTGCGGACTGACAGGTCCCAGGTTCGATTCCGGCTTGCTAGGGGCATGTACCTTGGTTTCAGGCACAGATCGATGTTTCTCTCTCATCGATGTTTCTAACTCTCTATCTCTTTCCCATCCTCTCTGTGAAAAGTCAATAAAATATGTTTTTTTTAAAAAAGAAGAAGTAATATAAAAGTAGAAGAAAATATATACACTATGACTAAAGCAAATCACAAAAGGAAAATAGAGTTGACCAGTGATGTGCAGAGGATGTGTACATTCAAAATTATGGAGGGCCTTTTTATTCCCAGAAGAGTATGCTGGGCCAAAATTTGAATCTCTTCACATGACCTCCTACAAACCATGCACATCAGCAAAGACTAAATAAAATCAGCAGCAAATAGATTACCTTTAGGCCCTGCCTACAGCTCCAGTGGATGACAGAGAATGTGCCCGTCTTCAATGTATAAGCAAGCAGAAAGTCAACATCTTCGCTGAGCGGCAGCCGTGGGCAGGGCTTACGAGAGCAGAGCCCAGGTGAAAAAATAAAGAAAACTTGCCACCTCAGAGGTGACTATGACTCTTTTCTGAAAATTGGCCATTACCAGGAAAGAGTTGAGATTCTTTAGCTTAACCATTTTAGGAGGAACTCTAGTGTATCTCCAATTGGACAAAGGAAAGCTCTTCATTCTAGAAGAATGACAGCTGACATTATAGAAAGAATAGAATGAGAAAAGTATTATTCTGTTATCCGCAGTGGACGGGGGGTGATGAAGGCACGCCAGTGGGCACAAAAAGCAGCAGTTTTTGGGGAACAAGACACGCACTGGAGCCAGAGCGTCATCCCTCAGGTGACTGGTCTGCTTTGGAGGGAAAAGTCGTTCCTGGCCACATCTGGCAGGCACCCCTCCAGCCACATGAACACAACTTTGCATCTGTCACTGTGGGCCAACCTGGTATTATTTGTCCCCCACTCTGGCGGAGTGTGATGAACACGGCATCCTCTATAAATCTAATCAAGCTTTGAAGCCTAATTTTCAGTTTATAGGAAATACAGGGAATAAAGGAATAAGTTAGATGTCACTCTGAGAACAGTCAGAAAATTTCCAAACTACGGGATATCCTGTAAGAACACAGAACTGGTATCTCCAAACAATCAGCGTGACTGGGAGGGGGCACGCGGTCTCCATCAAAAGATACTAAAGAGCCTTGGCCAGTTTCGCTCAGTGGTTGGAGCACCGGCCGGCTCACTGAAGAGTCGTGGGTTTGATTCCTGGTCAAGGGCAGGTGCCTCTGTTGCAGGTTCACTCCCCATCCCCTGATTGGGGCACATGTGGGAGGCAGCCAATCTGAGTGTCTCACATTGATGTCTCTCTCTCTCTCCCCCTCCCACCCTCCCTCCCTCCCTCCCACTCTCTCTCAGGAAAACAATGGGGGGGAAAATATCCTCAGATGAGGATTAACAAACAAAAAAAGATACTAAAGAAACACCACACAATGCAGTATAGGAACCCAGTCCCTGCCAGAGTCAAGCTTTCTTTAGGTCTTGGCCTCCTCGGGGAATGGCCCCGTTCTGGCCTTCTCTCCTCTACTTCTCTTCCACCCCGGTGTGGGAGGCCGGGCCCTGCCCCGCTCCAGGCAGCCACCAGCATCCCCAGCCTGTGGCACGTCACCCCTGCCTGCAGGCAGCTGTAGGCATCTGTGTCTCCTGTCCGTGCGTAAGATGAGCATGTGAGACCTTGTGCTCGTTTCTGATTTAACCCCAGGAGGAGCCGAACACCTCGTCTAAAGGGAACAAGCAGAAACCGAAAGAAAAAACAGACCAGATTCGGGATACTCTGAAGGACAAGCGCCGCATCGCCTTCAACAGGAAGGGCCTTTCTGGGGCCATGTCTGGCACCGTTTCGCCCCTGTCAGACATGGACCAGAACAACTTGTCTGGGCAGCACTCCCAGGACAAATTCATCAGGTGGGCCCCCAGGTAACCGCAGCCGGGCGGGGGCAATGCCCAAGCCCCATGTGGAGGGGGCGGCTGTCAGGGCACCGGATGGGAACCGGGTGGCTCTGCCTGTGGGCCCTGCAGAACCCCAGCAGGACAGGCCTCCTCCCGGGCAGCAAAGGGAGCATTCTCACTTGAAAAGCCCGTGTGGTCATTTGCAGGTTGAATCATTTCCGGTGGATTGTGCCGGCCAATGGCGAGGTGTCGTTGAGAATGCAGTTCTCTGCTACTGATCTCGGGAACTATGACCAGACGTTCAACTTTGAGATCCTTGGAACTTGCCGCCAGTACCAGCTTTATTGCCGTGGTGTTTGCGCTTATCCATACATTTGCCAAGACCCAAAGTAAGTGTCTTTTATTTTCAAAGAAAGACAGACACATTTTAGTTATCCTCCATGCTACTTTGAACAAGGAGGCGCATATATATATATATATATATATATATATATATATATATATATATATATTAGAGGAGGCCGGGTGCATGAATTCATGCACATTGAAAGGAAATTAATTAGAAGGTGGTTAGAGGGGCGGGATTGGGCAAGACGGGCTGGACATGCCCTGAAGCCAACCACCTGCAGTCTCTCCCCATCCGGCTGCACCTGGGGCAGTGCCAGGGCTTGAAGGGCATCTGCAGAGTGAGCGGGATCCCTCTGGCACAGCCGTGGGCAAACTACGGCCCGTTTGAAATGAATAAAACTAAAAAAAAATAAAGACCGTACCCTTTTATGTAATGATGTTTACTTTGAATTTATATTAGTTCACACAAACACTCCATCCATGCTTTTGTTCCGGCCCTCCGGTCCAGTTTAAGAACCCATTGTGGCCCTCGAGTCAAAAAGTTTGCCCACCCCTGCTCTGGCAGATAGGGTCCCTTGGCCTGGCCTGAGGGGATTGGCTGAAACCAGCAGTCTGACATCCCCCTAGGTGTCCCAGAGTGTGAGAGGGCACTCTGCAAAGTTGCTGTCACTCAACAGCTCCTGCGTTGAGTGTCTGCCCCCTGGTGGTCAAGGCACATCATACCTACCAGCTAGTCAGCCAGTCGGCTGGTCTGCCAGTCGCTTATCCTTTTATATATACATATTAGTGAATTTCAGAGAGGAAGGGAGAGGGAAAGAGAGAGAGAAACATCAATGATGAGAGAAAATAATTGATCGGCTGCCTCCTGCACACCCCTTACTGGGGATCGAGCCGCAACCCAGGCATGTGCTCTGACTGGGAATCAAACCATGATCTCCTGGTTCATAGGTCAATGCTCAACCACTGAGCCATGCCAGCTGAGCTGAACAAGGAGACTCTTAAAACCAACATGGAACTGGGACAGACTCCCAGACCCTTTTGTACTGGGCTTTAGTGTTTTGGACACGGACTAAGCCACAGGAATGACATGATGCCATGAGACAGAGATGAAGCTAATATTTGACCAGTTACTTTGCTTATTCCACCAATAAGCAAACAAACAGATTTTATATTTAGTGTAAGACATTTTATGCTGAAATAGGTGTGAATCTCCATGGGTGCGCTTTTTTATGAGCCCCCTATGAACCCCAAAAAGGCACCTGGCCAAGCAGGCTAGTGGGGCAAGCACACCTCCCCGCCTCCAAGGAAGAGGCCTTTTATAGCTTGTCCACCAAGAGGGCCTTTTGCAATTTTGATTAAGGAGCCACCTTGGACGAGGAACTCAGGAACTAGTTAATATCTACAAGAACTAGTGTTCCATGGGATTCTTGGGAATTTTTCTAGCTGGCACACCAGAACAGGTCATCCCACTCAGTTCTGTCATCAGCCCCTCATTATGAAAGACAGTAGTGGGAATCTTTTTTCTCAAGTTCAAACTGCACTGTTTTCACTCCGGCCAGGGGAAGGGAAGGAGAAGGAATAACGGCTCAACAAAAGTCTTCAAAATTAAGAATCATCTGTCTCCAGACACCTGGACCCTCTGCTGCAGAGGGAGTGTTGGGTTCCTGTAAACATCAGGGGGTGGCATTGAACTTCCTCTCAGGCAGCCTCTCCTCTTCTCTTCCTCCCCTGTGTCCAGAGTGGTATTCCCTCAGCGGAAGATGGACGTGAAAGCAGATGAGATCGTCTTTAAGAAGTATATTATAAGCACGGACACGTTTTACTTTGGGCCACTGCTTTGTGGAAAATCAAGAGATAAGTAAGTGTGCCATTACCTCGAGGCAGATTTTAGACCCCTGGGTTGGGCTCACGAGTGTCACAAGCAGAGTTTCTCTGTAGACATAGCTTTTATTAATGCTGCCTCACTCCCTAAACCACAAATTGGGAGAACCGAGTTCTTGTTCCCCAAGCTTCTGCTAAGATGAATGGGGGTGCCTTTTTCCAAGATGGGAGAGCCTGGAAGAGGACCAGGTTTTGGTGACGGGGGAGGGATAGGATCAAGAGTTCACTTTGGGATAGGTTAAGTTTGAGATGCTTGGAAGATATACCTTGTAGCCACATAAAGCAGGGGATAGGCTGTACGGTTTTGGTTCTCAGAGTTTTGTTGCCTGTCCTCAAGATAACAAAAGCTACGGGTGTGGATGAGATTGCTTGTGAAGAGAGGATATAGTAAGGAGAGAAGGGCCTCAGACGGAGCCCTGAAGAACTCCACCACACTCCAGAGTTGAAGCCAGCACAGGAGATGAGAAAGAGGGCCAGAGCTATTGTCGGAAACCAGAAAAGAGTGGGGTCATGGAGCCACAAGAGGAGGGTATTATTGACCACAGTTGAAGGTTGCAGAGAAGGTAAAGAGATGAGGACATCAATTTCCATAGGCTTCAACAACATGGAGGTCCCCAGGGACCTTAGCAAGAGCCCTTTGGGGGGGGACTTCTGAAGATGTAGCCCAACTGCAGTGATTTGAGGATTCAGTAGAAGGTGAGAAAACGGAGGCGAGGTGTGAAGATAGCTCTTGGGGACAGCTCGGCTGTGAAGGGAACTGAGAATGGGAGGGAGACATGGAGTCCAGGGAAGGCAGTTCATACACGGTTGTTCTTACAATGTTTGGATGGCAAGGGGAAGTAGGGAGGGAGAGGTTGGAGTTGCAGGAGAAAGTATGGGCCATCAGCTCCCCGAGACAACACAATGGGATGTGTAGGTATTGGCTTTGCCAGGAAGAGGCACCTTCGTCTATTACAAGGAGGGACAAAGGTGAGATAGCTTCAGGTGCAGGTAGGCTTACAGATTTGGTTGGAACAATGAGAAGGTGCCCATGCAACTGTTGGTGGTCTCCATGGGAAATGATGGGAGGACTTCTCCAGTGAGGGAAGTGGAAGGAAGTTAAAAATGTTGAGAAAATGGAGAAGGTGTGAAAAAGTTTTTGTGGAAAGTGAGAGAGAGAGAGCATATTAGAGAAATAGATTAAGATTCCCAGCAAAATTGGAGGCCCTGGTGAGGTTGATGATTATACATTTTTGGTGGCACTAGTTTTTTCAGTTACACACAAATTTCTTATTCTCTAGGCAGGGAGGTAAGACCCAAACTGAAACCAAGGTCTCAGCATGTCATCATTCAGTCTAGCATGCATTGTGATAAGTATAGAGGGTTTATTTCTATGTTTACTGGTGGAGCTAAAGAGCCATCTTAGTTCCCCATTCCCTTAATACCTCCAGTTTGTTTCCTGAGGTGCTGGGCTAGAAAGTGAAGGTGCAGAAGGTTTGCTGATGATAGAGAGGATCTTCAAGGCCCAGGAGAAGGGCTTGGGAGAGAGGAAGGTGGATCAGGTTGATGGGCATAAGATACAGAGAAGCCTGGTGGTGGGAATCAGGGAAAACATGGCCATTCGGGACAGCACTGGAATTGGAACACAGGATTTGGGGCCAAACAGCGCTGGTCCAGGAGGAGGACAATTACAGTGGCCCAGAAACAAGGACTAGTGCAACCAGGTATAATTCATTTATTTTTTTAAACCTTACTGAGCCTCAGCGTGCTCCTTTGCAAAGTGGGAAAACAGTAGCACCCACCTCACAGTCTCTGAAGGCTGCCCTGGATTGTGCATGTGAAACTTACAGCACAGCCCTGGAGGGTGGCTGTGAAGGCCACCGCCCCTCCGGCAGTCCCACAGAGAGTGCTGTGTCTCTCTGACTCTGATTTGGTCTCTGCCGAGCACTCTCCCTCCTTCCTCCATCATAGCCTGTCCACAAAGCTTTGCGGGCTGTTTCTGGGCACCAGTGGGTACTATGGTACCTTGCCTTCCTGACCTATCCTATGCTCTCTGACAATGTGTGTCTTTGCTGGCATTTCTTGTGCGGTTCCTTTTCTGAGTGCCAATAATTGAGCAGCTTCCAGTGCTCAGGCTGCTTGACTCTATGGCTCTCTTCCTAACGTCCCAGGAAACAAACAGCCCTGTAACAGCAAACATCGCCAAATGAGTCCATGATGAGACAGTAACATCCTGTGTGGGTGCCGAAGGCGGTGAATGAGGTCATCTCTAAGACAGATGTGAAATGAATTACTCAGGTGATCAGCTCTTCTGGGAAGATAAGCCCTGGAAAGGATAGAGCTGTATATTTCTTAGAATTCTTTACAACAATAACCACCATTTTTTGAGCATTTGGTATCTGCAGCTGTGCTAAGAGCATTGGCTGCACTCATTCATTGAATACTCCCAGAAATCCTAAAAGTATTGGAATCATCCCATCTTAGAGATGAGGAGACCAAGACATGGGGGCAGGGATCAGGCTGCCTCCGTGTAACCACTCTGTCCTTTGGAATTGTCTTGACCCACCCCCCACAACTGCCTTTTCCACCTGAGATCTCAGTCAATCCTCACATCCACATTCCTAATTTATCCCTCATTTTTGTTCATTTCCAGGTATAAGTCGTCTTTGTTCCCAGGCAACATGGAGACACTGACAATCCTGAACAATTCTCCAATGGTCACGGAGGTGTTCTTCTGTTTCCAGAATGATGTCAAAGCAAATACCTACTTCCTAGAACCCATGAACATGATTCTCAAACCCAATGAGAAGCAGGTACAGCCCCATGGAGACCAGTCTACCAGGGTAAGACTTTCTTGGGAAATTTGAGGCCTTGGTATCCTCGGTGTAAATGCCCTTTGTTTCGCCTCTTCCACTAGATACTGACCGTGTGGGCCTACCCCACTGCAGTTGGTATCTTTGAAGACAGCATAGTCTGCTGCATCAAGGAGAACCCGGAACCAGCCATCTTCAAATTAAGCTGCGAGGGGGTCCGCCCAGAACTGGATGTGGAACCCAGGCAATTGCATTTTGACCGGCTTCTGCTGCACAGGTCAGCGTTCTCAATGCCACCAGGACTGGGATGGAATTGAAGGAGTATTTAGTTCTAGGGTGGCCAACTCATCTGGATTTGCTCAGGGCTTTCCTGGCTTTAGCACTTAGAGTCCCACGTGATGGGAAACTTCTGGTCCTGTGCAAATCAGGATGGTTAGTAGCCCTATTTGCTGGACTTCAGCAGCATCAAGACACCCCCCACTCCCACAAGATCAACCGCCAAAGTGTGAGCACATTTGCATTTTTCTCAGAAGAAAGACTAGCTTTTTCCCGATTCTCAAAGCAGCCCATTACCCTAAAAGTTTAAGAATATTTAGCCTAGAGATTATGGCACAAACAGAGAACATTAGATCAAAACTAGAACGTACATATTTGTTCACTGGAATCTATGATTCTAAATAGAGAATGTTTCTTTCTGGAGCTGCTGGGACAGAACGGATGACATGATATTATGATATGGATGCTGCATTCTTTGATGGATACTGTCAGGCCCCATTCCTTGTTAAATACTGATTAGTGAACTAAGCTATAATTGAAATAACCAGAAGTACTTCCTCTGACCTGCCACAATAAATCAAAATCACTTGAAACTGACAAAATGTCTTCTGGTCTCTGCAGAAAAGAATCCAAAGTAGTTCTTTTCCACAACGTCACGGCCCTGCCCGTGGCCTGGCGGATCACCAGCCTGGAGCACCTGGGCGAGGACTTCTCCGTGTCCATGCTGCAGGGCACCATCCCCCCCAAGGCTGAGTATAGCCTGCAAGTGCACTTCCAACCCTCCAAACCCGTCAACATCAAGAAGGCGTTTCGGTTGGAGGTGAGGCTTCACCCATCTTCAGACTTGGCCGTCAAACTGTGTACACACTGGGATCTCTGACACACACACACGACCAACACATACACACACACACTGCCAACACAAATACACACAACCTTCCACACACACTGCCCACAACACACTGCCAACACATACACACTGCCAACACACGCTAAGCCAGGTCTCCCTGTTACACACTCTTATCTAATCCCATTTGACAGCCCCAACCCACAGTTTCTGCTCTGCACACACTGTAAGCTCCCTGAAGGCAGCCTCCTTCATGGCGGATTTCCCAGTGCTAAGAACAGGGCACTCAATCCGTGCAGAGTGAGTGCTTGGCGAAAGAAAAGACGGAAACTCCGAGTTAAAACTCGAATTTGGCGATATTCACAAACTTCCCTCTTGGCACCCAAAGCACCCGTGATGGGGAGTGGTGACAACTTGTCAACTTGCGGCTTCGGCAGAGAAGCGGGCGATCTCTAGGCAGACGCAGGAGAGCGGTACCCACAGCCCAGTGCCCTTCACCTTGAAAAACGGACCATTCCCACCCCCTCACTAGTCTCAGGAGTCAATGGTTGGGTCCAGCTGACACCAGTTCAGATGTTTCTTGGGACAGTAAGGGAGGAATTACCCCCAGGGGTGACAACAGAGGGGGACAGTGAGCAACTGGAGGCTGGGGGCCTTGCTTTTGTTTTCTTGTTTTTGTCTTTGACGTTTCTGACTTTAATAGTAGTAATGTTCATGCAAATAAGGCATTTCAAACTTGCAAAAGAAAAACATTAAACACTTTTTGTGAAAAATCTAGGACTTTTTCTACATATTAAGCCAGAAACAAAGAACAGAACAATTCAGATTTACCAAATAGGTAGAGCAAGGATGATTAAGAATATACAAGCTTTCCATTTCCATTATCGGAAGAGTGCTCTTCAGGTTTATTTTATTTCAGAGTTCTAAAGAACACTTTTCTGCAATGTATACTCACAGCCCAGGCTTCAACAATATTGCAACAATCATGCAAATAAGTTAAAGCCAGTAATTGGACAAGATAGAAAATGCAGTCTCATTTTTCCATTCTTATATTAATGGTCTACACCAGCATTCCCCCAAAGGGTGCTATGAAGAACACTTATCCTACCAAATGTTCAGTGAAGACCAAATTCAAATATATTTCAAAAATAATCCTAACCCTAGCTGGTTTTGCTCAGTGGATAGAGCGTCAGCCCACTGACTTGAAGGGTCTCAGGTTCGATTCCAGTCAAGGGCACGTACCTCAGTTGCAGGTTCAATCCCTGGCCCTGGTCAGGGCGTGTGCAGGAAGCAGCTAACTGATGTGTCTCTCTCACATCACTGTTTATCTGTGTCTCTCCCCTTCCCTTCTACTCTCTCTAAAAATCAATGGGAAAATACCCTCAGGTGAGGATTAACAAAAAAATAAAAACAAAATTCTATTCTATAGGACATACCCATAGGATAGAATTTTCTAAAAATAAATATTCCTGCCCTAACTGGTTTGACTCAATGGATAGAGCATTGGCCTGTGAACTGAAGGGTCTCAGGTTCAACTCCAGTCAAGGGCATATACATTGGTTGCGGGCACATCCCCAGTGGGAGGTGTGCAGGAGGCAGCTGATCGATGTTTCTCTCTCATCAATGTTTCTAACTCTCTATCCCTCTCCCTTCCTTTCTGTAAAAAAATCAATAAAATATATTTTAAAAAATAAATAAATAAATAAAATATTCCTATCACATTTCTTTCATGATTCCCACTGCGTGTTACGTAATTCAGGCTCTAAGCACCTCTCATCCCAACAGGTTTTGGACCCAGACAATCTTGTTGGAGTTGTTCAGATTGAAAACATCATGATCATTGCAGAGTCCTACGACATGGCCTTGGACATCACCTTCCCCAAAGGTGTTTAGCAGTCACATCTTCTGGTGCAGTGTAGTGCAGGGTGACAAGAACTATACTGGGTGGAGGGTGACGTATCCTGAGATGGGAATCTTTTGGTGCAGTATAGGCGGTTATTGGAGGAGGGGTAGGATTTCAGTAAATAGTAATGCACGCCCCAAAGTGATGTTAGCAACATTACAAGAATCTCAGTTTGTCCAACTGGAAACGACGGCAGGGGAAGAGGTCATGTAGACACAACATTTGCAGAGCTCTTTTCTGAGCAGTCATCTGAGAGTGAGTACCATCTTCCTGCCTGTATTAGTTTTCTATCACTGCTGTAACAAGTTCCCACAAACTTGGTGGCTTCAAACAATAGAAATGTCTTATCTTTCAGCCCTATGGATCACAAAATCCAAAATGAATGTCACTGTACTAAAATTAAGGTGTTGGCAGGGCTGCATTCCTTTCTGGAAACTCTGGGCAAGACTCCATCTCTTGGCCTTTTCCAGCTTCTAGAAGCCACCCCCATTTCTTGTCTCATGGTCCCCTTCCTCCGTCTTCAAAAGCAGGAATGTTGGGCCAAGCCTTTCTCACGTTGCCAGGTCTCTGGTTCTCCCATGTTTGTCTCCCTCTTTCACTTTTAAGGATGCTTATGATTATATTGGGTCCTTCAGAGAATCCAGGATCATCTCCTTATGTTAAAGGCCGATGATCAGCAATCTGAATCCCATCTGATACCTTAATTCCCCGTTGCTAAGTAAACTAGCATATTCCCAGGTTCTCTTGGGGCAGGAGTGGCATGATTCTGCCCACCACATGGCCCCATCACCCAGCTTAGATAGAGCCTTTGACCATGCCCTTTTCCACCTCCCTCCTTTCTCTGATAGATCTCAAAAAGATTCATAGAATGTTAGAACTACATGTTTGCCTAGATGTCATCAGTCTCATGTACAAAGATAGTTACCACAGCATTATTTATAACAATGGAAGAGTGGAAATAACCTAAATTTCTATCAGTAATGGAATACTGTTATTGTAGGAATAATACTGTAAATTATGGAACAGCCATATCACGATATGTTGTACACCCATTAAGATCACATTGAGAATGCCCTGGCCAGTTTGGCTCAGTGGATAGAGTGTCAGCCCACAGACTGAAGGGTCACAGGTTCAATTTATGTTCAAGGGCATGTACCTTGGTTTCAGGCTCTGTTCCCCGGCCCCAGTTGGTCAGGGCACATGTGGGAGGCAACCATTCAATGAATCTCTCTCACACCAATGTTTCTCTCTCTCTGTCTTCTTCCCACTCTCTCTAAAAATCAATGGAAAAATATCCTGGGGTGAGGATTAACAATAACAACAAAAGATCACATTGATAAGGAGTTGTTAATTATGTGTGGAACTTGTTATGATGTAATGCTAAGTAAAGCAATACAAATTTATATATAACTAGAGGCGCAGTGCACAAAATTCGTGCACGGGTAGGGCCCCTAGCAGCTGCCCGCTGCTGGCTGCCGGCCGGGGCCTCCTTTCCCCCAACTGCCTGCTGCCACCACTGCCGCCACCACAGGTGGCCAGGGCAGGGTCAGCCATGGGGAGGGGCCGAGGGCTGTTGGTAGGCCAGCCCCGTCCCCCGGTGGAACTCCTGTTTGAGGGGACAATTTGCATATTAGGCTTTTATTATATAGGCTATCCCAACTCTGTACACCATACGCTTAGTGCAAAAAAATTGTTTGAATACTGGGAGTTTTAGCTACTGGGAGACTTAAAAGGACAGTGAACCTAAGATAGAAGCCAGAGGGAGCTGCCCCATTGAATTGGGTGCAAGAGCAGTGTCTGTTGTTTGCTAAGATGCAATTACAAAAGCTTTTCTAGCCATGGTGTTTTCAGAAAGCAAATTCTCTGAAATTATCACCATGGCTTTTCCACGTGACATGCAATAGGAAGTCCCCCTGCCTCTTGTTCCCACGCCCACTTATCCTCCCCATCCCGGTCCTGGCCTCTGCAGGAGCTGAAGGAGGCCTCGATTTTGGGACTGTGAGAGTCCTGGAGGAGGTGAAGCAGCCCCTGCAACTGAAGAACCGTGGGAAATATGAGATCATGTTCAGGTAACCTGAAAACCATCCGGCATGTGGTCATCTGTGTCCACTCCTGGGGAGAAAAATGTGTCTAGGAGATTTTTTTAAAAATGTTTGGGGCAATCATAAGAACCATCTCTGCTTTTAGCCGCTCCTGGTTTCAATGAAGGGAATTCCAACTGCTAAGAGAGCAGAGATTCTCACACTGCTCTCAACTCTGCGGCTTTGTGGAGACCCGTAAGGGCCCTCTGAAGGCACCTAGCACCACGGGGCCTGAGGGGGAGATGCTGTGAATAGGAGATACTGGGGGGAGGAGGTCCTGGGGTAGAGGGAGAGATGGAGATGGGGAACGTGGCCTCAAGTTGCCCTGCCCTGTCTTCAGCTCCTCTGTTTCATAAATTGGCATTCTACATAAGATTTCAGGTGGGTAGATGTTCCAATTTTCTTTTTTAATTTTAAGAAGTGCTGTTTGTATACATTCCTAATGGCAGCCTAGTGGACTAGAGGTTCAGCTTGTGCTCATCTCTTGAGATTAAAAATATGGTGATAGCCCAGCCAGTGTGGCTCAGTGGTTGAGTGTCAACCTATGAACCAGGAGGTCCCAGTTCTATTCCTGGTCAGGGCACATGCCCAGGTTGCTGGCTCAATCCCCAGCAGGGGGCATGCAGGAGGCAGCCAATCAGTGATTCTCATCATTGATGTTTCTCTCTCTCTCTCTCCCTCTCCTTTCCTCTCTGAAATCAATATATATATAGTAACATGGTGATAGCCAGAGGGAAAGGGGATGTGGGGATGTGGGGAGGGGAAAGTGGGAAAAGGTGGGATAAATGGGAATAGAAAGAGATTTGACTTTGGGGTGGTGAGCGCACAATGCAATATGCAAATGATGTTTTAGTGAACTATACACTTGAAGCGTGTATGGTCTTATTAACCAATGTCACCTCAATAAATTCAATTTTTTAAAAATGAAAGACTAAATAAGGGAGTTTCCTGAGAGAGGAAAGGGTGGTGCTTGGTGGGGGGAGGGAAGAGGTCACTCAGGCAGGGTCACACGAACCTCAGTGGCAGTGCCAGCACCCACGGCCAGTCTATTTCTATGAAAAGTCATCCTTCCCCCAGAAGAATTCACAGCTGATAAAGGGACTTCCCCTTCACAGATTTGGAAGAAATTCAGTGTAGTCATGATAGTTTTTTGGGTTTTTTTTGCTCAGAAAATGCTGAAAATTCGAGAGGTGCCACTTCAATACTACCATTTAGAACCATGTATTAGAATAAATAAATACAAATGAAAGCTTAACAGACCTAGAGAAAACCACTGGCACTCAGGCATTAATGCTGAATGCAACTGTGCCTGTTGGCGAGTTTTGTTTCAGGTTAAGGCCAGGTGTTAGCTCCGCTCTTTCAGGTTGCATGGAAGAGTCACCCTCTGGTTCCAACAGGTGATGAGGGGATTGTGCGGGGAGGTGAGGGAGTGCAGGCACCTGCAGGCAGCAATGGCGTGACCAGGTCCCCTGGGGCATGAGGATGACATGCAACTCCAGGTGTCCCATCTCAGCTGAAGTTTCTGCTCCTTCTCCAGTCCCTTGTCGTTTTCATGAGTCAGCTCATCTCTGTGGTATCTCACCTCACCTCCATGGGACCACAGCCCCCCTTTCGGAAGGCCTCTCTTACAGGGCTCCTGCCCCCCACTTTCTCTTCTTTCTTGGATCCCCTGTCTTCTGCGTCACTGTTCCTTCTGTGTGTGCTGCACCTAGTCTCAGAAAGGGGAGGGAGGGAGGGAGAGAGGGAGGGAAGGAGATGAATTAATATAGTTGATCCTTATCCAGCATCAAGTGTCCCTGTTGGACAGAGATTTCCTGCTAGGGCACCACTTCACCACAGGCTGGAGATGGCTGTCTTTGCCTCAAGCATCACTCACTGGCCTGGTCAATCCTGGCTAAGGATGGGTGGTCACAGAGTGCAATGCACAGTGGACACTGCTAGGCCAAGTAGTTAACCAGGGCCAGAGGCATGGCAGGCACTTAACAGTCTAGAGCAGTGCTTCTCAACCTGTGGGTCGCCAACCTGTGGGTCGAGATCCCTTTGGGGGTCAAACGACCCTTTCACAGGGGTCGCCTAAGACCATCAGAAAACACATATATAATTACATATTGTTTTTGTGATTAATCACTATGCTTTAGTTATGTTCAATTTATAACAATGAAAATACATCCTGCATATCGGATATTTACGTTCTGATTCATAACAGTAGCAAAATGACAGTTATGAAGTAGCAACAAAAATAATTTTATGGTTGGGGGTCACCACAACATGAGGAACTGTATTAAAGGGTCGTGGCAGTAGGAAGGTTGAGAACCACTGGTCTAGAGTCTGCTCTCTAGTATCTTGGGTTCCCTGGATTATGATCTATACTAACCTTTATTCTTATCTTCCAGCTTTTCTGTGGACTCCGTAGGCATTACATCAACCAATATAAATTCTATGATCTCAGTCCAACCCAGGAAGGGCTCAATGACCACAACAGATAAGCCCACAAATGTCCAGGTGTTCTTCCGCGCCAAAAAGGAAGTGAAGATAGAGCAACAGCCAATCCTGCGCTGCCAGGTGAGAGAGCTCAGTGGCAGGCTTGTGGGACGCATGTAAAAAAGAAGAGCACATGGTCTACCCACGCTCCAAGGGGGGAAAGGGAGGGCCGGCCTGGGTGGCAACCAGAGAGGATGCACCAGCGTTTGGTCCCCAACTAGTAGGTCCGGGTAGGTCAGGTGGGAGGTAGGCAAAGTCATCAGAATTGAGAGCGCCAGAAAGGCAATGTGGACCCTGCTCTTTGGGGAGCGCCTGAGACAAGGAAGCCGAGGTTAGTCACAAGTGCAGAGGAGGAGTGGGGAAGGGAAAACAGGAGGCAAAGTTGGTCTGTGTCAGCCATTTTCAACAGGTGTGCCCCAAGAATTTTTAAAACATGCAACACCTGACTGTTTAGTCAGGGGCCCTGACCTCTTTTCCTTTAGACTGTCAACTTAAAAAATGACAACAGCCAACACAACAATAGCCATCTAGTGTGAATGAATCAAAATTATACCTTTTTTTTTTTTGTCAGATTGGCAAAAAATATATTTTTTGGTGTGCCGCAGAATTTTAGTAATTAGTGTCTATGAGAAGGTTGAAAATCGCTGGTCTGTGTTGATCCATGCCATGGCTAGTTTGTAGTAAGTTTTATGTTAGTATTTTCTAATATTGTTGATGCAATAATATAAAGAGAATGAAAGGAACATGCCTTCATGCCAACGAGGAAAATAGGCAATGAATTAGACAGTCAGTGGAATTCTGGAGCTATGCCGGTAGCTGATGTCTTCCCAATCCTCCTTTCCTTTCTAGATCATTGAGCCCAATATGACAGACGGAACTGAAATCATTGCCAGCATCCCAATTAGGCTTTCTGTGAATGCAGTGTTCTCCAAATACAACATCAGCCCCTCCTCCATCATCAACTTTGGGGCTCTGATCTGTGGCACTCGTAAAAGCACCACCTTCACCATAGAAAATCAAGGTGTTACTGACTTCAAGTATAACCTCTACAGGATGACAGGGGAGAGCCCCATTCCCCAAAAGAAAGCGTAAGACAGCCATTTGCTTGACTCATGCCATTCCCTAGTTAATTAGTGCTTTATATTTTACAACAAGCTTTCATATATTTTATCTAAATTCACCTTATTCCCTGTTGTGAGTGAGATCATTAAGAAATGACTCATGCGCCCTGGCCAGGTGGCTCAGTTGGGTGGAGTGTCATCCCATATACCAATAGGTGGCTGGTTCAATTCCCGATCAGGGTACATACCCAGGTTGTGGGTTGGATCCCCAGTCGGAGTGTGCAAGAGGCAACTGATCACTATTCCTCTCTCTCTCTCTTCCTTCCTCTCTCTAAAAATAAAAAATGACTCATCCAAGATTATCCAAGAAATCACACCAGTAGATCTCAATTGTGAACCTACATCTCTGACTCCAGATTTCACATACTTTCTAATTAATTAAAATTGTTTTATTCATTAACTTACAGTTGACTTCCTAATAAATTGGTTTAAATCAGATATACATACAGCTTTACATTGTTTGTAGTTGTTTTACACTTTTGTGGATATCCTCTTTCATTTTGGCAAAGTATTAAGAGATTTTTTTGTTAAACTGTCGAAAGTCTCTATCTTCCTCATTTAACTTCAACCTAATATTTTACTTATTTTATAATAATTTAATAATGTTTATAGATATTATAATACAACTGTGTGTTGCTTTAAATTGTTTTTTATTTATTTTTCACTTTAGCGTGCACAAATTCATGCAAAATTCTCAAAAGAGGATAGAACTTCAGTTGTTCTATCTTCAGTTGGTCATTAAGCAAGTGAATGCTCAAATATATAAATCTCTCAAAAGGTTAAAATTGCACTTCAAATACATTTGGATATTTAAGGGGAACTAGCCTCCAGGAAAATTAATTGTTGGGTAAACTAGCTTCAAGTGAAGTGAACAGTTACCCAAACCTGTGTTTGTACTATTCTTTAAACTACCTCGTAGTTAAAAATACCGTGACAGCCCTGATCGGTTTGGCTCAGTGGACAGAGCAGCCGTGGGCAAACTACGGCCCGCGGGCCGGATCCGGCCCGTTTGAAATGAATAAAACTAAAAAAAAAAAAAAAGACCGTACCCTTTTATGTAATGATGTTTACTTTGAATTTATATTAGTTCACACAAACACTCCATCCATGCTTTTGTTCCGGCCCTCCAGTCCACTTTAAGAACCCACTGTGGCCCTCGAGTCAAAAAGTTAGAGCATTGGCCTGCGGATAGAGCATTGGCCTGCAGACTGAAGGGTCCCAGGTTCGATTCCTGTCAAGGGCATGTTCCTCGGTTGCGGGCACATCCCCAGTAGGGGGCGTGCAAGAGGCAGCTGATCGATGTTTCTCTATCCCTCTCCCTTCCTCTCTGTAAAAAAAAAAATCAATAAAATATATATTTTTTAAAAAATACTGTGACTGCCCTGGCCAATTTTACTCAGTGGTTAGAGCATGGGCCTGCGGACCAAGGGGTCGAAGGATCTATTCCTAGTCAAGGGCACATTCCTGAATTGCAGGTTCCCTGAACCTCAGTAGGGGCATGTGCAGGAGGCAACCAATCAATGTGTCTCTCTCATGCCAATGTTTCTTTCTTTCTCCCTCTCCTCCCTCCCCCCTCCCTTCCACTCTCGCTAGAGATCAACTGGGAGGGGAAAATATCCTCGAGTGAGGATTAAAACAATAACAAAAAAAAGAGCATCATGACTATAAATGTGAAGAAAGGGCCAGAATTTAATCTATTGACCATTTCATTTTGTTTAAATGAGATCAGGTAAAAGATTTGTTGTCTATAAGTAATTTCTACACACTGCTTTCCAAAGAACTCAAGTAAACATTTAAAAACTATTATTCTCTTGCAGAATAATTTTCAATGTCCTTATGAGTCATATGTAATAAGTACAATTACTGCGTAATTTTCTCACAGTTGTTAAATGACTTTGGCTAATGGTGAATGCTGACTCTCCTACCCCAATGTCCTCTTAGGCAAAAAAAAAAAAAAGGTGGGGGGGCCCTGATCAGTTTGGCTCAGTGGATGGAGCGTCGGCCTGCGGACTGAGGGGTCCCGGGTTCTATTCCAGTCAAGGGCATGTGCCTTGGTTGCGGGCACATCCCCAGTGGGGAGTGTGCAGGGGGCAGCTGATCGATGTTTCTCTCTCATCGATGTTTCTAGCTCTCTGTCCCTCTCCCTTCCTCTCTGTAGAAAATCAATAAAAAATATTTTTTTAAAAAGGGGGGGCCCTTCCCCCATTCCTAGGAGAAGGGACCTTGCAAGCAGACAGACAGGTGGCATTTAACATCACCACCCCAATCTAAGGGTATATGTACTCTTGCTTCTTTAATTAGAGTCAGCCACGCGAGGACTTTAAGATCCCGGGAAAGCGAGAACTTCTACAAGGCTACCCCTTCCAGAGCAGCCAAGTTCTCAGAAACTACTCAGAAAGAAATAAACATCACTAGCCAGGTAAGGACCCTTTCCCTTGTCCAAAGAAACCCTGTAAGACCACCTTCCAACTAGTCCTTGCACAAACACTCCCCTCCCCAGGATAGCAGGCACGTTAAATAGTTTACTGAAATGCCACTTTCATTTTAAGTGCAGGTGTAATGGCCTTTAATTTGGATACCCTCTTTTGTTTTAAAACCTTCATTGGCTCCTCACCGCCTTCCGATTACATTTCAACTCTTTATATATTTTTTATTTAACAATCTTTTGCTCATAAGAAACAGGAGCCCATTAAGACTGGCTTAAATAAAAGGAGATTCAAAGACACCTGTTTCTAGTAAGATGGAGTTAGATATACTTTTCCCTACTCTTCCCAAACCAAGTACAACTAAACCCCTAGACATTACGTATAAAACAGGTGGAGAGAAAACAAATCAGGTCAGTGAGGGTCCTTGGGACCCAATGAATATCACGGTGGTGAGTCTCCTGAGTTTTCCTTTTGCCTCATATATCTCATCGGGATGCTGAAGGAGCTGGCAACACAAAAACATCACCAGGCACAGATCCAAAAAAGGCCCCAACAAAAGCCTATTCCCACTGGCCAAACAACCAGGACAAGAGCAGCCTGGTAAACCAGAAACCTTCAAATAAGACCTATCCTATGACTGTTGAACATGACAAAACCTAGGATCCTACCCCACCATTGCTAGCAAAGGACCGTGGGAAGACTCTCACCCTTATCCAGGTTATGAGGAGGTGCCTCAACCCCCGGCCAGAATGGTGTCCCAAGAACACGCAGTGGGTAGCCAGGAGTTTCTAGACCTTCCCCCCTCCCCCATTGTTAGTGGAGACACCACATGGGAGCCTTGAGTTTCACCTGACCCAGTGGTAACAGACGTTTCTCCCCCACCCCCAGTGGACCTCCCCACCCAGGCAGCAACAGGACAGTAAGGAAGCTCTCCTCCCCCGCCTTGCCAGGGCGGTAGCTGTTGAGGACTAGTGAGGAGCTGGAGCCCCCACCCTTGCCTGGCAGAAATGAGCAGTCTGAGTGGGGGATTGGACCACCACCCCCACCTGGAGGTGATGAGGCAGTGCTTCTCTCCCCCCTGCCAGAGAGGTCTCAGAGAAAGCCAGGTCAAAGAGGTTTAAGTAAGATCCAAAGTCTCGTAATATAACACCCAAAATGTCCAGGTTTCTCCTGAAACTCGCTTGTCATACTAAGAGCCAGGAAGATCTCAAACTCAATGAAAATAGTCAAGCAACATATGGCAACACCGAGAGGACAGAGCTGTTAGGATTGTCTGACAAAGACACTGAAGCAGCCAACATAGACGTGCTTCTGTGAGCAATTGAAAACACTGTACGTCTCGGCAAAGAAAGAGCAGCCATAAAGAAGAACCAAATGGGAATTCTGGAATTGAAAAAAAAATAAAATAAGCAAAATGTAGAATTTCATGAAGGGGTTCAACAACAGAATGGAGGGCAGATTCCCACCTGGGTAAGTGTCGTAGGATGTGGAACATGTCTGTCCCCCGAAAGCCCCACTCAATCATGATTGGTCAAAGCAAAAGGAGTTATCTCTGTGCTTCATCTGAGAACTTGCTGAGTCGGAAGCACTGAGAGATCCCCTCCCTGAAGAACCCCCAGGCCTTCCCCCCAGGAGAAGAGCTGAGCCCCAGAGGAAGCCTCTGGGGGACCACCCAACAGTCCCTCTTGACCCCATCTCACAGCTCTGGTGGAAGGGCTCAGTCTCTCTCACCCGCGTGGCTCCACCCCTCCCACAATCCCACTGTCTCCTGCAGGCTCGCTACAGCCACGGCATGTTCACCGTGTACCCTGGGTTTGGCTCCATCTCTGCCGGAGGAGCACAGACCCTCACCGTTGACTGCGTGGCTGACCCTGTGGGAAAGTGTGAGGAGTTTATGGCGATCGATATCTCTGACCGAGACCCCAGAGACCACCCTGGCGGCATTCCTTACAGCCTGTTGGCGGAAGCCTGTCTACCAGGTACTGAGCACTCAGAGGGGACCGCATCCCTTACAAGACCTTCCTCTGTAACCGCCCCTCCCCCATGCACATGTGGAGCAAACATGGCTGGGCTGCTACCTTTGGGGCCTTAGAACTTCCTCTAGTCACGTCTTCAGCCACATTTCTCCCTAAAGACCTACAAGGCATGCACACCTACACGGGGATGTGCAGCTTTAAACTCCTAGTTTGGTCTGGGCTTCTCAGATGACCAAGGTTCTCTGGGAATTGTGGTTCGATGGGATCTGGCATAAGTCCCGTATCCAGCCTGTTCATGGCCAGGTCACTCCCTGTGGGCAACACGCGCACGGAGCACAGTGCCGGTGATTGACTGAGCATGCTGCAGCTTTAACCCAGCGGATCTCAGACGGAGCACGGGGAGAGCTTTTGCTTTGGCGAGAGGCGCCCTGCAGCCTCGCACCAAAGGGAGCCAACTGCCTCCTCCTCTCTTAAGCCCACCCCAGATCCTGATCTTACCCCTCCTTGCCATTGGGAGGAACGGTGGTTGGGGTCTGGCGACCCACAAGATCCGTATGAAAGAAATTAGACTATGTCCCATCACTCACACCCTATCTCTCTTCTATGATTGTCCTTTGTCGGAATCCAAACCTCCAAGTGAGGAATTAGAGAAAGCAGGAACTGGGCTACCGGGCTGCGTCTAAGTCTTCCCTCCACTCCCCAGCCTTCGTGACAGACAACAACGCCTCCGTCTTTGAGGAGCACCAGATCTGCAACAGTACCAACCTGTACAGCATCCTGCAGACCACAGAGAGCAAGGGGCTGTTTGTGGAGGATGAGAACAAGTTCATGTTCTGCCATGTCATGGTGGGCCATCAGGCCAAGGCGCGGTTCAAGATGAGCAATGTGGGGAAGATCGCCTGTGATGTGACCATTGTGGTTAAGCCTGTCTCCAACAAGGTAAGCAGCCCCCCTCGGCCCCAGCCCACCTGTGTTGGCTGAAAGCCGGGGAGAGAACTCTTGGAAACCCCTGCTCTGGAGCCTGTCTACATCAGTGGGGATTATCTGACACTCAGGCCCTGCTGGATGTTGTAGGAGGAAACTGGACAGACCACAGAGAGCAGGGGGCTGGGCTGTGAGGAATTTTCTATATATTCTTCACAGTGGAATAGAAAATTCAGAATGACAAGAGAGAGGGCTGAGTCAGTAGGTTTCACTCACCCTTCACTTCCAAGCAGAAGTGCTACAGATGCTATAGTCTTATCTCAGCTGCTCAGTTCTCTGCCCCAAAGTAGAATCTTGGCCCAGGTGTCCTTGTGCCCCAGAGCTGGCATTGTTCACATGGCTGGTGGTGGTGGGGAGACCACCCAGAGGGTTGGCCCAGCCTAGAGCCAGAATAGAGTATGCATTCCCAGGAGGCTGGCACCCACCACAGAGGGACAGGGTTTGGGAGACTAATTCCTCTTATGACTTCCCTCACGCCCCAGTGACATACAGTGACATTATTCTCTGACTTTATTTGGGACACAAAGGAGCAGCTTTCTTCCTTATTTTGTGCTTAAAAACAAACAAACATAAAAAGGTGAGGAAGCCTGATTTCTAAACAAAGATAAGTTTCTAACGGGGGGTTTGCAAGCATGATATGTTCTCCCCGTCCTAAAGTGCAGGCTGTCCATTGAAAAAAAAACAAAGGAAACTTGGTTATTGCTGGAAGATGGGTCCCAGAGTGTCTAGGCTGCCCCTTTCAGGGGCATGACTGTGCAGGCAATGGAACGTGTTTACCCCAGAGCTTCAAGAGGGGAGATTTCACAGCCAGAGCAACAGAGATAAGCAGCAAACTCTGTGTCAGTGCCACATAGCTCACACATGTGTGGGTTCCTGCCCCTCCCCCCTCACCAGGCCACGGCCCGCATCATTGACATCTTTGAAGTGGAACCCAACAAGATGTGTATTGCCAGTCGTTCACATGCCTTTGCCACGGTGACCTTCACCCCCCAGACCATGCAGTCGTACCAGTGTATCTTCGAGGCGACCTTGGATGGCGTGTCCAGGTACCAGCACCCCAGCAACCTCTCCTGCAAGCGGGGCTGCAGGCCACACCCTATGGGATGTCATTCCTGCCATGCCGGGCTGACAGGCCTCCATCTCCCTGTTCCCCTGCAGCATCCAGACCAAGAACCGAAGCCTCGCGTTTGATATCGTGGGAGAGGGGACCCTCCCTCGGGTGACCATTGTGCGGCCAATTCTCCACAACCAGTATGGAAACCTCCTGCTCCTCTTTAAGAGGCTTCTTCTTGGCCAATCAGAGAAACTCCCTCTCATCCTCAAGAACAATGGCAATATCCCCGCCCAGGTACTGCTGGGGGGTGAGGCGCGGGGTGGAAAGGGAGAAGAAGCCTTCAGATGTAAGACTTCTGACACTGAGGTCCCTGCCCTCCCTCTTGTATGAGGGCTTCTTTGATGTTCCTCATCCATTACCCTGTGTTAATGCAGAGGGAAATCTGACATGCTCTCTACCCTCAAGGAGTGTCAGAGAGCAGATTACATAGTCCACTAACAATCACTGCGTGAGGCCGTGTACAACGACATGCACCAAGCTTAGTGGGTGGGATTATGGGTATGCTTAGTGTCGTCTTTGTTTTTTTCTGTAATGAACATTGCATTTATAATAAAGGAAAACAAAAGGAACCTCATTGGGGGTGAGAGATGTAGCATCTGTAGGGACTTCTGGTTCAGCCATTATATTTTGTAAAATTTTATTTTACAAAAAAAAGTGCTAAATTGTGTAAGGGTTAAACCAAAGACTGTAGGACTTTTGAAAATGACCTTGATCCCATCTAGGGGGCCAAGGAAAATTTCCCTCTAAAATGACATCTGAGTGGCACAGCAGGTAACTGGGTTTTAGTTGGTGGGCATGGCAGTGAGTGAGTGCATCCAGGTAGCAAAAGAAAATGGCAAAGACAAAGTCACACAAGCAAAAAAGCAGAAGGTACAAACAGGAGCTAGTAAACACCAGCTTCATGAGAGCATAGTGTACAGGTAGGAGAGCAGTGGGAGATAAATACAGGAGGCAGAGTAAGGGGACAGCTTGTCGAGGGCTTCGGGTTCTGTATATATTGTAAACCCTACAAGACATTATTACTATTATTGTTGTTTATACAGTTAAGACTCTTTTAGGTCTACCCACATGATGATCATGATGATGATGATGATGATGTTTTTTTCTTTTGCTTGTCATTCCTGCATCTCCAACTTTACATCTGAAATCCTTTTCCTACTGACCAAAGAATACTTTTTACTATTTCCTTAATGCGTGTGTGCTGGTAATGGATTCTCTATTTCTATTTTAAAATCTTCATTTCTTCTTCATCTTTAATGTAACTTTTACTGGTTATAGAACACTCTGCGCTAGCGGTTGTTTTCTTTCAGCAAATGGGAGATACCATTCCAGTGTATCCTGGTTTCCACTGTGACTGCTGAGACGCCAGCAGTCGGTCTAAAATGTTCTTTTAAGGCAACCTTTTCCCTCTGACTGTGTTTTACATTGTCACTCTGTATTTGCTTCCTGCTATTTCACTATTATGTGTCTATGTATGGATATCCTTCTTGAAAATCACTGGGCTTCTCGATTCTGCAACTTTTGGAAAATTCCTAGATGTGTGTTCAAATGTTGCTTTTATTCTATTCTGTCCCATTTCTCCTTCTGGGAAGCCAATTAAACATATAGAAGACCATCTCACTACTAGTATATCCTCTATGTCTCACAATCTCACTGTGTTATCCATCCATTTTTCTCTGAGCTTCATTGTGCATAATTTCTTTTGACCTGTCTTCAGTTTATTAACTCTGCCTTTAGTTATAACTAATCTGCTATTAAACCTCCAAATAAATTCTTGTTATTATTTTTTAACTCTAGAATTTCTTTTAGATTATTTTTAAAATCAACATAATTAGGGGTTTTTATATGTTTTTTATTGACTTCAGAGAGGCAAGGAGAGAGGGAGAAAGACATAGAAACATCAATGATGAGAGAGAATCATTGATCAGCTGCCTCCTGCATGCCCCCAGCTGGGGATTGAGTCCACAACCTGGGCATGTGCCCTGACCAGGAATCAAACCGTGACCTCCTGGTTCATAGGTTGACACTCAACCACTGAGCTACGCCAGCCAGGCTGATTTTATTTTTTAAATCAGTGGGCTGGAAAACATCATTTTCCTCCAATTAATTTTGGAGAAAATGCCCACCTTGGTTTTCTCTCATCTTGGTAGGATACTCAACATGACACTGTCAAACAACTCAGGCACTGGTACCTAGGAGACACTGGTTTTTAGAAACTCATATGCATGCAGTCCCTCATGGAATGACAAATATCCATTTTCATTTATTAGTCTAGAGCAGTGGTTCTCAACCTGTGGGTCGCGACCCCTATGGTGCTCAAACGACCCTTTCACAGGGGTCGCCTAAGACCATCCTGCATATCAGATATTTACATGACGGCTCATAACAGTAGCAACATTACAGTTATGAAGTAGCAACGAAAATAATTTTATGGTTGGGGGTCACCACATGAGGAACTGTATTTAAAGGTCCAGAAGGTTGAGAACCACTGGTCTAGAGTATATTTTACAACCACCTCTGTCAACAGCAGAGGCTGTGGCAAACCCACGTTGACACTACTGAGCTGGCTGATCTGGGAAGGTACCTGTGCTCTCTGGGCCTCCAGTTCCTTACCTGGATAACAAGAGCTGCACTAAATGTTCTTTTTTCCTCTCTAAGTCTAATATTTATGATCTCTCCCTCTTCATAAGAAACAAAAACTCTGGCACTAGGCACAATGGCTTTTTTGGGAATTCTTCCAAACAGCACGGGGTCTCACCGTAGCCTCAAAACCCACGAGCAGCCTGTAAGTATAACACTCACTCCTGCTTTCCTTCTCCAGCTGCATGTCGACCTGCAGGACCAACTAGAAGTCTTCTCCCTGAAAGGGAGGCCCACAACCTCCTACATCTACATCATAGAGGAAAACGAACCCCATGCCAAAGGTAAGTTGAGGAAGAGTCGCTTCTAGAGAGCAATGGAGCCCAGTCACTGTTTCAATGGGAGACTAGTCAGGACCCAGAGAGAGCAGGGTGTCTTGTTACCAATGGCCACGCTCAACAGTGCTCATTCCCACACTTGCCCTTGAGTTGGGGTCTTTTTTTTTTTTAATATATTTTTTATTGATTAAGATATTACATATGTGTCCTTGTCCCCACGTTACCCTCTACCCCCCCACCCCCCCACCCCCGCTCATGCCCTCACCCCCCCCGTTGTCCATGTCCATTGATTAGGCCTATATGCTTGCATATAAGTCCTTTGGTTGATCTTTCCCCCTTACCCCCACCCTCCCCTACCTTCCCTCCAAGTCCCGACAGTCCAATCAATGCCTCTCCGTCTCTGGATCAGTCCTTGTTCATCAGCTTATGTTGTTCATTATATTCCACAAATGAGTGAGATCATGTGGTATTTATCCGCTCTCCAGTTCCATCCATGCGTGGCAAATGGTAAGAGTTCCTTTTTCTTCTTCCTCTTCTTAAAGAATACCTTTCAGCATTTCATATAATGCTGGTTTGGTGGTGATGAACTCCTTTAGCTTTTTCTTATCCGTGAAGCTCTTTATCTGACCTTCTATTCTGAATGATAGCTTTGCTGGATAAAGTAATCTTGGTTGCAGGTTCGGGGTCTTTATGGACGCATCTTCCTTTAAGCTGACCCTACAGCATGCTTCTCTCTTCTCTTTGCAGCAAAGAAAGCTCACACGGCCTCCCTGGTGGTTCTTCCCGGAGAGACAGCCGAAGTTGATGTTGTTTTCCGAGCCCGAAATGTCGGGAGGATGACGGGCACCATCCACTTGTCAGTGCTCAACAATCAGTACGAGGACACGATCATCCGCCTGGTGGGAGAAGGCTACGAGGATGACATCACTTTGGACAACGTCCACGGGCTGGTGGCTCCCACCAGCGGGGAGGCCTTCGACATGTCCGAGGTCACCGAGGACGTATCTATGGAAAACTTGGTGGCAGGTGGGAGAAGCAACAGTGAGGTGTTGACCACTGTTGGCTCTTGGGTCATGTTAAATGAGAGTGAAATTTAAAAAACAGATCAACTAGCTTCCTGGGAATTTAGGACCGACTCTCCTCTGCATCCCTGTATGCCCTTTCGTGCCTGGCTCCGTCACTGCTTGCACTCATGTGTACCCTCGAGGGACATTCATGGAGCATCCCTATGCATGTGCCAGGCACTGTGCTGAGCCCTGGAGCTCTGATGAGCAGCCAGCGTCTCTGCCCTTCTGGGGCTTATAGTTTGAATTCCAATTCAAATTTAGCTAATAACCAAAATTTAAACCCCAGATTAGCGAAGAACGGAATACACATCTCTCTGCAGCTTCCTATGTTTATATCTATTAACTGGCTCACGTTGACATTGTCTGTTTCACCTGCACCACGTATCGTGGACATTCTAAGAGAGATGGTGGGCTTGTTTAACAGGTGTAGGCTTGTGCCTCCTCTAGCGCATCATTCTCTGTCGTCTGAGAACCTACAGCATCAGCATTACCTGAGAGTTTCTTAGACATGGGAATTCCAGGCCCGCCCCCAGCACTCACATGCTGATCAGAACCTGCATTCTAGCAGGGCCTCTAGGTGATGTGAGAGTATATGAAAGCTGAAGATATTCTGCTCTGCAGTCTGTCAAGTGCTGCAGCTTCATCTGGTTGACTGCACTCTTTGGGGTAGGAGAGAATTTACTTCCTCGTGACCCTCGGAGAGCATTTGCTAAGCACCCTAACTGTGTGCCTAATTGCTATGAAGCGAATTATACCAACACCATCCCATAGTTTTTCTAGGAGCTTCATTATAGTCCTGGAATAGAGCATTGCGCTGTCTATATGACATGGGTAAAAATCAGCACGCCTCACCCCTGTTTGTGGCTACAGGGCGGCTTCTCTCTTCTCAGAAGTCAAGCAGGAGCCAGCAGTGAGCCCTAGTTCAGAAATCAAATTTTATACTTCTGAGAGACTTGCCAGATTTAGAAAATCAGACTATAGAAGTCCCCGTTAAATGTGAATTTCAGGCCTGGCCGGAGTGGCTCAGTGGTTGAGCGTCAACCTATGAACCAGGAGGTCACAGTTTGGGGGGCGTGTAGGAGGCAGCCAATCAATGATTCTCTCATCATTGATGTTTCTGTCTCTCCCTCTCCCTCTCCTTTTTTCTCTGAAGTCAATACAAACACATTTTTCTAAAAAATGTGATTTTGAGATAAATTATGAATTATTTTTTGGTTTAAGTATATCCCAAAATATTGCACGGGGCATGTTTATACTAAAAATTATTCATAGTCTATTTGTAATTCAAATGTAATGGGACTCCTGTATATTATCTGGCAACCCTAACCCTTAGTAGTAATGTTTCAGCAAATAAATGGAGTTGGGGACTGTGTTATCTCTTGAAGGTAAGGGCCAAGGTGGGTGGATGGAAAGATGGATGGATGGATGGATGGATGGATGGATGGATGGATGGATGGATAAGTAGATTCCCCAAGGAAGGAAAGCTTACTGCTCAGGACTCCAGTTTTTCCAATAGAACAATCCAAGGAGGGAGGGGTTACATGAGGATGCGACACATTGTCTTTCTGGTGCTGCCTCGGCTGGGTCGGGGCCCTGGGAGGAGGCCGGGGGACCCACATGCCTTCTGCTCTGTTCCCTAGCTGCTCTGGTGGACCACATTCAGTTTGGGGACTGCCACATTGGAAGCAGCTATAGCGTGAGCTTCACAGTCACTAACCACAGCCAAGTGAATGTGATTCGGTTTGAATGGCCCTCGTTAGCTACAATTACCTTTGCCCCACAGGTAAGTGAAAGCTACTTACTGTTTCTGGACTCCTTTAGGCCTAAGCCAAACCTATTTGATTGTTAGTCCATTCCTGTGGATACACACACACACACACACACACACACACACACACACACCCTCTGATCTAAGAGCAGAGAGTGAGGTCTGCCAAGACTGTTGCTAGACTGATGTTGAGAAATTCCATGGAAGCCTGTGTGGATAGAAAAGGTCCCAGTCTTCCTATCCCGGAGTGTACACCTGTGTCCCCCTAGGTGTGTGTTCTTTAAGCATTAGTGGTTCGCTAAAAGATAAAATGGGGATGATGGTTTCTGTGGACAACTGAGATTTAGAACATGTTTCAAGTTACATCTTTCTCTTAAAGACCCCCCCAGTGCCCTTCAGCATTCTAACACCTAGCTAAGTGTGTTTTACCTGCAATTTTCTAACCCCTCCTTTTAGCATCTCACAGCGCACATTTTGTGAATTGCTGACCAAATCTCACCATTGACCAAGGCCTTGGACAACATGGTAGCAGATCCTAGCCTCTGGCCCGCAGGCGCTTTTCATTGATAACTGACTTCTGAGGAACAGCGCAGGAGGCAGTGCGTATGTCTGTGTGTACCAGGACACTGATACATGCAGACATACCCACTGCCTCCCGCTCTGTTCCAGCCACCAAGTCTTCAAGCACAGAATTCTCAGGGCATAGAGCGAGGGGGTTGGGGCCCCACCTTTAAAGCTTGGACGCTTCCTGGCGAGATGTGAATCATTAGTGAAAGTAGACAGGGATAAGCTTCTTATAGTCCACACACACACTCACCCCTCCACACCCTTCCACACACACACTCACACTCACGCTCCTGTATATGCACACACATATTTGTGGCCCTGGGAAGTATGGTAAGTACAAAGCTTTTTTCTCCTTTCATCTTCCAGAAGAGGCAATTTCAGAAATATGAAAGGACTAGAATATATATATATATGCATATATATATGCATATGTATGTATATATATATATGCATGTATATGTATATATATATTTCATATATATGTTGTTTTATATATGTGAGTTTTGTTTACATATGAGTTTTGGTATATGTGAGAGTATTGTATGTGCGTGTTTATGTATGTGAAATCATAAATGATTTTTTCTACAGCCCAAATTGGATTTCTCATGTATTTGCTGTATATTTCAGCAAATCTGAGCCTTTTTGGTCTCAGGATTCCTAAACATTATTGAGGATACCCCCCAAAGAGCTTTTGTTTATGTAGGTTATATCTATCAATATTTACCATATTAGAAATTAAAACTGAGAGTGTTTTTAAAAACTGCATTCATTTATTAATTTTAAAATATAATAATAAGCCCATTGCATGGTCATATAAATATATTTTTATAAAAACAGCTATATCTTTCAAAATAAAAAAAATTGAAATTGCGTGAGAATAGAGGCATTATTTTGCATTTTTATAAATCTCCTTAATATCTGACCTGATAGAAGAGACAGCTAATCCTCATATTTGCTTCTGCATTCAGCCTAATGCTATATCATATGTCACATAACTGCTGGAAAACTCCATTGTATAGTCATGAGAAAATGATTATATAAGATTGAATTCCCAAGTGTCTAACACCAGGCTCTTCCCCAGACTGGCCACCTCCACCCTGGGTGTGCCAAGGACATCGTGATGACCCTGAGGTCAGACATACCCATCAACATGAAGAAGATGGACATCAAGTGCAAGGTCTCCAAGATCCTGTTTCAGCAACCTGCAGACCATGTCCCCGACTGGGATGACCGCATGCGCACAGTCAAGTGGGTGGACATGCCCAGAAACATGCCCGGGACTTTCACTCCAAAACGAAAAGTGAGTAGAGACTTTAATCCCAAATCTGGCCAGGCCTGCCAGGCCTGGATGCCTACTGCCCTCACCATTGCCCTGTCTCACCATTTCCTTCTTTCATGGAAAAAGAAATTGTTCCCATTCAACTTGATTTTTTTTAACATATATATTTTTATTGTGAACAGTATTACAGATGTCCCCATTTCCTCCTCCCCTTGCCCCCTTCGTAATTAAGAAAGACCCTGCCCCGCCCCCCCTCCCCCAACGCTTCACTGCACTATTGTCTGTGTCCATGGGCTATGCATATAAGTATATTATTTCTTTGGTTTATCCCTTCTCATCCCCTCCCCCCTCTCAGATATGTCAGTCTGTCCCAGGCCTTGGGACTTATTTTGTTGGTCAATTTATTTTGTTCATTAGATTCCACAGATAAGTGAGATCATATGATATTTGTCTTTCTCTGACTGGCTTATTTCACTTAGCATAATAATCTCCAGGTCCATCCATGCTGTCCCAAAGAGTGAGAGATCCTTCTTTTTTAATAGCCGCAGGGCATTCCATTGCCATTCCACTTGACTTTGATCTCAAAAGTGGCAAACTGAACTTCCAAGCATGCCACCTGCCATCCATACTACACATATCACATGAACCACACCTCTGAGTTGGTAGAGCTTTAGATTAAGCTTTGATATCTCACTGAGCAAGTCCTCTCACCTTTTTCTTCTTCAAAAATGTCATGGCTGGTCTTTTCGTTGTTTCCCTTTTCCCTCAGGTGTCCAGAATTAGATTAATGGTAGACAGAATCTCATCTCTGGTCCGTGCATGTCCCTCTTTTAATTATTCCTTGGTTGGTTCCCTTGTAATAATATAAACCAAGTTGAACCCACACACAGCACAGGAAGTAGAACGTGGATTACCTATGTGTTTCTCAGCCGTGCCTTCCCTCAGCCTCCTTCCTAGAGGACGTCATCTCCTGAATCTTTTTTGCTCATTCTCTTGATTTTTGTCTTTTGTTTCTTTTTTAATCTATGCAACTAAACATTTAATTGTAGTTTTTTTTACTTTATTTGCTTTAAGGTTGTTGCATGTGCTTATCCATATTGTGGCATGTGGCTACAGTACACCCATTTCTCTGCTATATAAAATTCCATTATTATTTACCATCCATTCTTCTTTTGAAAGCTATTTGGGGCTTCTCTAGAATGGACTGTGTTCCTATGAGCATTATTATTCATGTCACATTGTATTCATTTGAAAGAGTTTATATTTCCAGAAGTGGAATTGCTGAACCACAGGATATAGGAATGTTCAACTTTCCAGGGTAACTCCCAAATGTTTTTCCAAAGTGCTGTACCAACTTATACTTCTACTAGCAAAGAGATCCCATTGATCTATGATCTCGCCAACATTTGGCATTGTCGGATTTTTTTATTTTTATCTTTGAAATGAATAGGAAATAGCCCTGGCCAGGTGGCTGGGTTGGTTGGAGCATCATCCCACACACTAAAAAGGTTGTGGGTTCATTCCCCGATTTGGGGCATGTTCAGGAGGCAACTGATCAATGTTTCTCTCTCTTTCTCTCCCTTCTTTCTCTTTGAAAATTCAGTAGAACATATCCTCAGGTGAGGATTGAAAAAAAAAAAAGAAACAAATAGAAAATAGATTCATTTTGGGCCTTTGCATTTCCCCAGTCACTAAAGTTGAATACTTCTTCATGTGATTATTGGCCATATAAGTTATCTCTTAATGTAAATGCATTTTGCCCATTTTTCACCTATGATGCTTGTCCTTTGTATGTGTCATTTTATTTTTTATAAACTCTACTTTATATATTTTGTCTGCAAACATCTTCACCAAATTTTAGCTTATCTTTTCACTTTCTTTGATTTATCTTTTTGTGAACAAAAATGTTCATCTCTCCCTTTATAATTATTTATTTTTGTGTCTTGTTTTTAAAACCTTTCTCTAACAGTGAAGAAAATAATCACTGTGTGTGTGTGTGTGTGTGTGTGTGTGTGTGTGTGTGTCCCACCTGGGTATTATGGTATGAGGCAAGAGTCCAATTTTATATTTTTCCATCTAGATAACTAATCTTGCCAAATCCCTTTTGGGCCCAGCACTTCTTTTGTGATCTGCCGTGACTCCCTTGTCATCTAAATTTCATATGTGCCTAGATGTTTCTTGTCTCTATAGTCTATTGCCAATTTTTCTACCCCTGTGCCAGTTTTACGCTTCTTTAATTCCTGTAGCTTCATAATCAGCCTTGATATCTGGAAGGGAGGTCCCTCCTCCATACTGTTTTGTTCTGTTTAGTTATTTTTGGCCCTTTGTTTTTCAAAATAATTGTGCAATCCATTTACCAAGTACAATTGACCTTTGAACAACATGGATTTGAATTGTGTGGGTCCACTTACAGCAATATATATAACAGACTTTTTTCAATAAATACCGTCAATCTATTTTCTCTTTCTTGTGACTTTCTTAATAACATTTTCTTTTCACTATCTTGCTTTATTGTAAGAATACAGTATATAATAGATATAGCAGACAAAATATTCTTAATTGACTATTAATGTTACTAGTAAAGTCAACAGTAGGCCATTCATAGTTAAGTTTGGGGGGAGTCAAAGTTATACACAGAGCTCAGTGCCCCTCACCCCCATATTGTTCAAGGGTCAACTATACTATAAAATGGAAAATTCATTGGAATTGGATTGCACCTATAAGTCAGTTTAGGAAGAATTGATAATTTAATAATATTATTCCATCCTTTCCATTAACAAGGTATGTCGCTCTATTTACTTAGGTCTTTAAGATTTTTTTACTACCATTTGGTGTCTTTAATAGTATTAGGACTCTTTAGATTTTTTTTATTTTTTCTTGGGTCTATTTTAATTAAATTATTTTTTAGGAATTTGCCCTTCAACTAATTTTTCATATATATTTCCATAAAATTATTCATAATATTTTTTACCATATGTTTAAATATGTAGGATCAATAATAATGTCCCTTTTTCATTTCTGATGTTGGTTATTTGTATTTTTCCTGATCAATCTCACCAAAAGTCTTTCAAATCTTTTCAACTAACTTTTGGCTTTGTTGGGCCTTTCTGTTTTAGACTTATTTTCTGTTTTATTAATATCTGTTCCTATCTTTATAATTTTCTTCCTTCTACCTTCTTTGGAGTCTGTCTGACCCTAAACTCATGTCTGTGCATCTCTGATGCCCTCAGTAATTTCTCACTTCCTTCCCATTAATGAGTCATTTTAGGTTTTCCTTCATCTTTAACTCTGGAATGTGACTTTACAGATTGGTGTTAATTTGCCGTGCAGAGTAGTGTGCTGTTATTCCCCACGGTGTCCCTGTGACAGCTGGCTGTGCATCACTGAAGACGCGGCTGCCTTTGTTACAGGTGATAGAGACGGACCCTGAGCCTGCGCACTCGGTGCTGGAAGAGCACTACCGAGAGCTGATGCTGCAGGTCAGCGCCAACGTGAACTTCGCATCCTACCAGTGCCCGACGAGCGAGGTGCACTTCAAGGACACGCTGGTGTACCAGGCCCGAGTGTTTCAGTGAGTCCTCAGAAGCCTCCCAGCGCTCAACGTTCTTTCATCTCGTCATCCACTCAGACTTTAACCAAACCTGCATTCAGTGTCTACGACAGCACATACCAGGCGTCGCCTGTCGCATGCACCAGAGTGTCTTCGTGGTGCCAATGAAACACTCAGACCCACAAAGCAATTGAAGTTTACACTTGAAATCAAGATAGGCAGGGAACTGGCACCAGCTGCTCAGCTTCAGAGGGAAGAGTCCTCACAGCAATCCGTACCACGACCCAGGAACTGTGTGGGGCCCCGGGTGACAGCTCAGGCAATATCCACACTAGTGGGGGGATAGGGCCCATCCTCAGCTAAGAAGCCCCATGACTAACAGAAGCAGCATTTCTCATGACCACTCCATAGGTGTCGCTTCCAGGATCCCTGCAGGGGACATGCCCAGTTACAAGAGTCACTACACTCAGAGAACCCCACACCTATAGCTTCCCTCCAGATAATCATTACTCATCCAGACCAGTTGCAATTTGCCAAGCGGGAGTCATTTCTACCATAAACAACATTGCCTATTAAGACCGCTGGCATTTCTCCTTTATTTTCCAGGGAAACTGAGCTAGAAAGTTAGTTCAAAGTCAGAATTGTCCTTAGAAGGAGAAAGGGTTATAGTAACCCTTCACCCACACTCAGACACAGGGCTACAAGGATGCCATGGGTTCTGCTCTCAGAGTTCATGGTCTCGGGGGGGAGTGGGGGAATAGGTGACAGTAGGGGTCATGGTAGCGGCAGCACCGTGTCCTGCGTAGGCAGTAAGAGTGCCTAAGGCAGCCCTAACCGGTTTGGCTCAGTGGATAGAGCGTTGGCCTGTGGCCTGAAGGGTCCCGGGTTCGATTCTGGTTAAGGACATGTACCTTGGTTGTGGGCACATCCCCAGTGGGTGGTGTGCAGGAGGCAGCGGATCAATGTTTCTAACTCTCTAACCCTCTCCCTTTCTCCCTGTAAAAAAAAATCGATAAAATATATATTTTTTTAAAAAAAAAGAGTGCCTAAAGCAGACTGACATGGGAGAGATGGAGTATCAGGGAAGGCTCCCCAAAGTGGTGCCCCAGCTGAATTTTGGAGACCAGATAGGAGATAGCCCAGGGAAGAAGTGAGAAAAAAGGGCCTTCTAAGCAGAGAGAGCAACACAGACAAAAAGAAAAGGACTGTGACTAATCTTTGAGAATTACAAAAGCAGAAATGAAAACCGCTGACATTTCTACTTTGTAAACATTAGTAACTGACTTGGTCACCTCATTTTGCATTTGGTGCCCTTGAAGTGTCCTCTCAAGTTATCATAGCAGCAAACGGCACAAGGAAAGGAGTGGGATCTTCTGCTGATGCCCATTGCACCTGAAGCAGGGATCAGCAAGCTGTGCCCGTGGGCCCAAGCCAGCCAGCCACCTATTTTTGTAATTGGGTTTGCTGGCACAAGGCCATGCCCATTCGTTTCTGCATCGTCCGTGGCTGTGTTTGCACAATAGCAGAGTGAGTGATGGCTGCAGAGACCTACTGCATGCAAAGGCCAAAAAAAATGTTCCTCTATGGCCCTTTACCTAAACCCAGAATTCTTTTTGTGAAGACTACTCCGTGCCACTAAGATTCCTCCACTTTATAAAAATTTCCTTTAGACTGAAGGCCACTACTCACGCATTCACACCATGAACATAAGCCCCTGAAGTCAACGCACTTGACTTCAGACATACCTGCTGGACTACCTGGATGGGATAATGGAGATCTAATCCCTAAACCCATCCTAGACCTCCTCCCCTAAAACCAGGAGAGCACTGTGTTTCTTTCTCTTACACAATCATTTTCTTTCTTTCTTTTTTTTAAGTCCTCACTCAAGGATATTTTTTCCATTGATTTTTAGAAAGAGGGGAGGGGAGGAGAGAGAGAGAGAGAGAGAGAGAGAGAGAGAGAGAGAGAGAGAGAAGAGAAGAGGAGAGGAGAGGAGAGGAGAGGAGAGGAGAGGAGAGGAGAGGAGAGGAGAGGAGAGGAGAGGAGAGGAGAGGAGAGGAGAGGAGAGGAGAGGAGAGGAGAGGAGAGGAGAGAGAGAGAGAGAGAAACATTGATGTGAGAGAGATACATCAATTGGTTGCCTCCCGCATGCACCTAGGGGCTGGGGGCGGGGGATGGGGAGAGGGGATTGAGCCTACAACTGAGATACATGCCCTTGACCCAGAATCAAACCTGAGACCCTTCAGTCCGTGGGCTGATGAGCAAAGCAGCCAGGGCCACAATCATGTCCTTGTATCAAGACCTCATCCTCCTGCTGTCACTGTCTATGATCAAGTTTAATAGTGATTCCGGAAAAAGCTTCTCTCTCCCACTTCTTGTCTTGGAGCAGGGAAACTTGAGGCAAGAAGAATTTGAGACAAGTATCTCAGCCAGTGAAAGCATCTCAGGAAGAGGTCAGGTGGCTTCTGAGGACAGGGACATTATTTCTGGCGGGAAGTGATTCACGAAGGGAAGGGGCTATGGAATTTGCACCCCAGGAAGGTACTCTCAGGTGAAACAGATTTTTGTTTCCTCTCTCCTGGGAATTTTCAGGATTACCATGGCACAGGCTGAGAGTTCATCGCATAAGGTGCCAGGGGATGACTTTAAGGGCTAAACGTGGATATTTTCACTTTCAATGGCTATGCATATATTTTGTGTTTTGGAAGGAAATGTAATCGGTACATCAAATGCATGATTTCAGATAACATTGCTTAAAACTTGCCTTTTGAAGAAATATTTTAAAAACAAAGTGACTTCACCCAAAGGAAAAAGTAAAAGTTTTAGATGATGGATGTGCCGACAAGACACAAATCATTTGCAGCACGTTTCTCAAATGCGTTCCCCCATCTGTGTGCAGGTTGGAGCTGGTTAACACAGGGAGTGTGCAGCTGGAATTCAGCTGGACCTTGGAAGAGACAGCGAAGACTGTCAGCTTTGCAATGCCAGAAAACCAAGGTAAATGCGATGGCAGGTAAAACCTGGGGTGAACGGAGTGCCCGGTTAGTAGAAGAGCCTTGCTCCCTCGGCCCAAGGAGCTATGGAGAAGCAGAGCCGAGGCCTCCTGGTGTCTGTAGAGACAATTGGGCCTGAGACCTCAAGAGCTGACCTCTGCCCTCCTGGGGCCTGGACCCTGCCCCCTCCCCACCTCTCACAAGGCCAGCATCCCAGCTCAGGTCCCTAGGAATCTTTCCGATGTTAACCTTTTAGAAGATTACAGTCCCTTGGAGACAATGGTGAAAGCTATGAGCTGTCTCCCCAGGAAATCACATACCTTGCCCGACTTGCAGCTGATGCACGTGCAGCACTTTAAAAAAGGGACCCAGCAGGAATAATATCCATTATTCCTGCTTCAATATGGCAGATTCCCAGACCTTCCAAACGGCCCTTTTCCATGGGCCCTGGATCGTGAACTCCTGCTTTAAAACAGTGATTCTCCAAAAACTATGTTCACTACCCATTCTTTTTGAGGCACAAGACCCACAGGTATCTACTTGGCCCACTCCCTTGGACCAAAGGGAAACAAATTTGAAAGCTTGATGGAATTAATGACAATATTTTTTTCACGAGTCACCTGTGAGAGCTAGGAGTCAATTCCTTACCCCTAGAGCCTAAAGTTAACTATATCTGCTAGAAGAGGTGAGCTCCTAGACCCCACGGAGGGTCCCTAAGGACCTGCGAGTGGGATGCCTTCTCCTTGTCCTCCCACTGCAAATTCAGAATGTCACTGGCTCTCTGTCTGTCCCCAGGTTCTCAAAAAGATCAGCTGAGCCAGGGCAGCACCGCGGACAGCGCCGTGGAACACTCAACTGACCCTTCCCCACTGTCCTTCTCTGTGGTTCCCATCTCTGGCGTTGTGCCAGTGGGGAAGGCTGAGAAGATCCAAGTGAAATTCTCCCCATTGGAGGTTGGAGACTTCGAGAGCACTATTATCTGCCAGTAAGGAGATGTGCTCCCCAGACAAAGCTCTGCCCCTCCTGTCCCTCTTCTCTGCTACCACGACCACCATTCTTCCCAACCCGGGCCCCTCCACAGCCCCAACTTGCCACATTTCGCTTTGGAAAGATTCGAAGGCGCTAGCTTTTGGAGAACAAGGAGAATGGAGTCTTTTGTGTTGCTCAGCAACCCTCTCTAGACCCTTCTTCTGCCCCACCTCTCTCTTCCTGGCCCCAGACAAAAGTCCACTGGGCAACAAAATAGTTGGCAGCCAGGTGGGTTCCAGTCCTGGGACAAGCATGAACCTAGGAAGGCTTTTTTGTACCTTTACCGATACCAGGTTTCCTTGACTATAAGATGCAAGTAACAATAACACCTTGCAGAGTTCGAGTTAAGACTGAATGAGGTAACTCCCTGAAGCTTAGAACAGTGCCTGGCACACAATAAGCACAACAAGCATTAGGTGGTGGGGACGGTGGAGGTTGTAGACCTGGTGCATGGTAAGCAAGGAAGAGATGGGGTCCAGACTGAGTTAGAGAAAACCAATCCAATAGCTCCTGGCCATGAGAGTCCCTGATGTGGTACCCACTCCCAGGGCAGCTCCATGGAGAACTACTACAGAAGGATCCCATGAACCATGGCTGAGTGTGGCAGGGACCTACGTGAGCATAAGAGCCTCCTGCAATCACACTGCAGGGACCCTCCTGCACCTGGGTCACCTCAACTTGGATCTGGGGCTGAAAGTCTGCTTACATCCAGTGTACTTTCTCTGAGGAGCTCAGGATACGTTTTTAGGATCTCAGCATCACTTTTCATATCCCACAAATGCCTCTGAGAGGGCCAGAGGGTACGCCTCTGTGCTCATTTTACAGCAGGGAGATGTTCTCAACCCTGGTGTGGGAAGTAACTCAGTAACACACTTAGGGACACAGAAGAGACCAGAATTCAGGCTTCTCATACTCAGCCTATTCACACATTCATCCACTCAACCACTAATTAATGAATACCTACTATGTACTGGTCAAGACACTGAGGTTATATTGTTGACCAAGATAGAACCAGCCTCTACGCTCATGGAGCTCATATTTATATTTTAGTAGATGTAATATTCATTTCCAACCAACTAAGAAAGCAACAATTGGCTAAAACTAAAAAATAAATAAAAATAACCATATCCGCCCTCACCGGTTTGGCTCACTGGATAGAGCATCGGCCTGGGGACTGAAGAGTCCGGGGTTCGATTCTGGTCAAGGGCATGTACCTTAGTTGCAGGCACATCCCCAGTAGGGGGTGTGCAGGAGGCAGCTGATCGATGCTTCTCTCTCATCCATGTTTCTAACTCTCTATCCCTCTCCCTTCCTCTCTGTAAAAAATCAATAAAATATATTTTTAAAAAAAAATAACCATATCCTCTCAGGATTCCCAACCTACTACCTGGAGAGCAAGGCCCAGTCATATCAGCAAAAGGACGGAGCTTCTTGCCCATCTGCCACTTTGAACTGAAAGAGTCGGACTACATCACTGGTCATCGGCACAACCCGGATCTCCGAGGACCTGGTGGTGGGCCTCTGGACCCAAACACCCGGGTGATCGAGTTCACCAGTGTGGGCATAGGAGCGAAGAATCTCCGGTGAGTTGCCTCGGTTTGCATCAGTTGAGTTCATATCAGTCAATCCTTCTAAAGAACTCAGAGGAAGAATTCAGAGACTTGAGTTGGATGGGTTCCTAGAAGCAGTTTGATACGCTGGGGTTTGACTTGAGAGAGCTGCTACAGTAAGGAAATTGAATTCAGTCTCCTTAGTTTTGATACCGGAGGGGCGGGGGGGAGGCGGGGGGGGGGGCGGGGGGCAGGGGGGCATTTAGAAGGCATAGAATCCCTAACCACCACCTTGAACACAGAGGATCACTGGGACAGAAGGGCCCTTAGCACCATTATTTCTCCAAAGTTCGGAGCTCCAGCCATACGTTGGGCCCCCACGTGAGGTGTGGTTTTTATTTCTACAGTAAAAAAGTATCTGCAACAGTTCTGGTTCCCACGTAGAGGGACCGAGCCAGGGCAGTTAGGTCCTGAGAAAGTGTCTCTTAATCCTCAACCCTCCCTCTCACTCTCTGCTGTCGATTCTTCCCCCTTGGCCAGGACGTTTACAATCCTGAACCCGACCGCTAGCACCTACTGCTTCCGCTGGGTCTCTGAAGAAATGGAAAGTCTCCAGAACCCTTCAGCCTTCACCTGCCTCACAGAGAAGGGCTGCATCCACCCTGAAAAGAAAGCCGAGGTGTGTGTGTGTGTGTGTGTGTGTGTATGAGGACCGCTCGGCCCAAGGCTTCAATCATTCTATCTCTCTGCACAGCAAGTGTGCCATAGACCAGCGATAGAGTTAGGGTGGACAGCCTAAGGGTGAGTCCATCCACACGTGTTTTTTGAGTGGCTACCATATAGGTTAGGCCTGTGGTCAGCAAACTCATTAGTCAACAGAGCCAAATATCAACAGTACGACTGAAATTTCTTTTGAGAGCCAAATTTTTAAAACCTAAACTATATAGGTAGGTACATTGTTATTAACTTAATGAGGGTACTCCTAAGGCTTAGGAAGAGCCACACTCAAGGGGCCAAAGAACCGCATGTGGCTCGCGAGCCGCAGTTTGCCGACCACGGGGTTAGGCAGTCCTCATGGACAAGACAGACCTGAGCTCACTTGGTTGGCCATGGAGAAGCAGATCTCTAGTATTTGGGGTTTAAAAAAATTGAGATGATTAAAGCAGAACAGGGAAGCTGGACACCCACCAAAGCCTGGACACTATGGGACAATGTTATTTTTGTCCAAGGGACTGACAGCTGTGAAAGGACACAGATGTGTTTTCACTTGGTCAGGATGAAAGTCAAAGCAGAACACTGGCGTCATGTCCCACGTCTCAGGCCTGCAGTCTCCACAGTGACACAGGTGAGGGGGTCCAGCTTAAAGAAACATGAGCTCGCTGGTCAAAACAGATCTGCGGGTCCCCTGTCCTGTAAGTCCTGCAGGGAATCTTAGAGTCAGAAACAAATCCGGGAAACAGAAATCATGCATTCGGCTGCCTCCAGGAAGGTCATACAAACGAATGATGCAGGCCAAGGGCACCCTGACAGGGAGTGCCAGGCAGAGCTGGCTGGCCACAGTGCTTCTCCGGCAGATCACCACCACACAGACAGTGGGCCAGGGTTGCCAACTCTCCCAAACTTCTCGGGAAAAGTCAAAGTTCCAAATTCCTATCTGAATCTCTCCATTTGTACATGTCGTCCAAAGACCTGGTGTGTATAAGGACTGAAAGCCTAATCAACAGAAGCTGCGGATGGTGTAGACCCTGTGGGCAAGCAGGGCAATCAGACAGAACAGCCAGACTTACATGCCCTTCAGAGAGGGTAGAAAGGCAGTGGTGACCTGGTAACATCAGCCACCAGAACCCCACTGCCGACAAGCCTCTAAGGCAGTGGTTCTCAACCTTCTGGCCCTTTAAATACAGTTCCTCATGTTGTGACCCAACCATAAAATTATTTTCGTTGCTGCTTCATAACTGTAATGTTGCTACTGTTATGAATCGTAATGTAAATACCTGATATGCAGGATGGTCTTAGGCGACCCCTGTGAAAGGGTCGTTCGACCGCCAAAGGGGTCGCAACCCACAGGTTGAGAACCGCTTCTCTAAGGGCACGTGGGGTAAGTAAACAGAAGTGCTTCTTCCCACTGTGTTCCAAACTGTCTTCTCAGATTATCTTCCAGTTCACGCCTTTGCATCTGAAAATCACAGAAGCGTTCTGGACTTTCTCAGTCCCCGAGCACAACATCACAGTCCCTTTCCTGCTGGTAGGCAAAGCCTCTGACCCCCTGGTCAATCTGGACAAGTCACACATCAACTTCAGCTGTCTCCTCATTGGTAAGGCTGCCCTGGAGGTTTACATTTAGAGTTGGCATGACCGGTAGGGGAGGGAAGTGGGACCAACCCAGCAATGCGCTCCAGGAGCAGCCTGGGGGGGGGGGGGGGGGGACTTCCCCTGGCGCCTTCTAGAAGCATGACTGAGGACCTTTCTCACTGTTCACCAAGCCACAAAACATTTACCTCTCAATCCAGTTTCCACCAAGGATGTTCTAAACCCATGCACCCGTGACCAAAGGAAATTTAGGAGCCTTGTTGCAGGTCCTCCTTGGAAGATTCCTTTAGAGCCTGGACTGACTGTCTTCATTTCCTTGCAGTTTCTTCAGCCCAGGGCTCTATCCACTGAGCCAAGCTGGCTAGGGCTTGTTGAACATTTTTTAGTGACTTTAGCAAATACAAGAAAACAAGAAAATTAAATAATTGGCTAAAACATTGAGGGAAAATGAGACAACACTATCTCATATTGCTGTGTTGATTACTTCAGACATAGAGAACTTCTAGAGCAGTGGTTCTCAACCTTCTGGCCCTTTAAATACAGTTCCTCATGTTGTGACCCAACCATAAAATTATTTTCGTTGCTACTTCATAACTGTAATGTTGCTACTGTTATGAATCGTAATGTAAATATCTGATATGCAGGATGGTCTTAGGCAACCCCTGTGAAAGGGTCGTTCGACCGCCAAAAGGGTCACGACCCATAGGTTGAGAACCGCTGCTCTAGAGAAAAGCAACACAAATACTAAGTGAACAAGACAATTTTTAGTAAGTGGCTGGATGCAGGACAAGTATACCAAAATCAATAGTGTCTCTTTCTTTTCGTACTAAGCACTTAGAAACAAACAAAAAATTCTATTTAGTGTTGACAAAACCTATATAACATCTAAGGATCAACGTAACAAGAACAGCACAGGACCTATATGAAGAAAACTATAGAAATCCTATTAAAATGCCCCTAACCAAGATCTGAATATTTGTTAGTTCTCCCAAAAGCAAATGCAAATTTAATCAAGTTCTGATTAGAATCTCAGCGAGGGTTGCCAGGTAAAATACAGACACATAGTTACATTTGAATTTCAGGTAACAGTGAATAAATTTTAGAATCCGTATATGTCAGCATAAGTATGTCCCATGCAACATTTGGGACATATACGGAAAAAAAATTTTGCTTCATCTGGTAACCTTAATCCCAAAGGATTACGGGGGCCGGGGGGCGGGAGGGTTGGGGGGCAGGGAGAAGAGAAGTGGATAGAGTAATTCACAGTTTTTGTGGAAAAACAAATTCTCTACAATAGTCAAGGAAAGTAAGAAAAAGCAAAATAGTAATAGCAGCTGCAGTAGTCAGGGCCCTGTCAAGACTCATGACATGCACGAGATCTAATTTAAAGCGTTCAATGCAGGGGTGTTCCTGCTTGACAAAGGCATGGGCAGAGGTAAGGGGCCTACCAGGGAAGGTGAAGCCCCCTTAGCAAAAGAAGGAAGGCCTTGGGTCTGAAGGAGCAAGGAGGGAAAGCAGTGTCGCCAGGATCCCCGGAGAGCTGGGACGGAGCAGAGGAGCCACCTAGCAGGAGCCGGCAACTGATGGGGTCAAGTTCTAGAGTAAGAGCTGGAGCCCCTCCAGGGAAGGAAGGTCACTTGCAGAGCGAAAGGAAGAAAGAGGTAGTCAGCGGCTGAGGAGCTTGGAAGAGGAAAGAAAAGGAGTTGGAGAATCTCTTGGAAGAAGAATTTCTCTCACCTGCCGAGCAGTGTCTGCTGAGATCCTTCCGGAGCAGGCAGGTGGCTGCTCGCCCCGATGCCCGGGCTGCTCCTGAGGGCTGATGTTTCCTCCACAGGCCGAGAAGTCCGGGAGACCGTGCAGATCATCAACAGGGAGGAGCAGGGCTTCAATTTTGCCTTCCAGGACAACTCCCGGTATTCTGAAGGTTTCAACGAAAGCCTGGCCGTGAGTCCCATGGAAGGCTGGCTCCCGCCAACGTCCAGGTAAAGAAATAGGAAGGCCCCCAAGACTTCAACCTCCCAAAATGGCCGGAGTCCCAGGCCTGGCAGCCAAGAGAATCAGTTTCCCTTAGATAGTAACAATTCACATCTCTCTCCTACCTATTCCCTGTTATTCACTCCCCTGCCGAATTATGTAGTATTGAGAATTTTAAGCCCTTGTTTTCAGTGTTTTTTCTTATATATATTCTTTTTCTTGCTACCTACTATATTTGTAAATCCATAAAGCAGTGTCCTGCCTTGCCTGGAAAACCTTCAGAATTCATAATTTGGCCTGGCTGATGTTGCTCAGTGGTTGAGCATTGACCTATGAACCAAGAGGTCACGATTCCAATCCTGGTCAGGGCACATGCCCAGGTGGTGGGGCATGCAGGAGGTAGCTGATCAATGATTCTCTCTCATCACTGATGTTTCTATCTCTCTCTTTTCCTCTCCCATCCTCTCTGAAATCAATAAAAATATGGTTTTTAAAATTCATCATAATGTGGAGTTATAACACCTTTTCCTCAGAGTGTATCTGCTAACCTATTGGGCTCATGTTCTTTAGCAGGTTGTAGCAGGTGGCCTTGTCAGCTAACCTGCTGCCATCTTCCCCAACCAGGTTACAAATTGACATTCTCTTCACACCAAAGCAAGAAGGAGATGTGAACTTTAATTTGATCTGCAATGTGAAAAGGAAAGCCTACCCTTTGACCTTAAATGTCAAGGCTGAGGGCTACACTATGAATGCGGAGATCAAGTGCAAAGACAGGACTGGCTTACTCACTCTCTTGACTCCCAATCAGACCACCATGGTCAACTTCTATGAGGTAAAGGTGTGAGAGGGCCTTGCTCCCTCTTGGTTTCTGCGCTGGCTGGGAAAGCAGTACCAGTGACTGTTCTTCTTAGCTGAATCTCTCTGTTTCAAATGCCAGGGAGACCAGGAGAATATAGAAAGGTACCAGGAGCCACTCCATCCTCAGAATGTGTATGAGTTTGATGTGAATGTTTTCTTATTTTTCAAGGGATGGAGAGGCAGTAGGGGAGGGGAAGAATGGTTGTGCTAAGCAGATAGGCAGGGTGTTTGGCTACCAAGGGAGGTCTGAGAACTAAATTGCCCTCTTACTCTTCATATATGAGGGGCCCCCAACACTTCATAGCCTTCGCTGGGATATCTGGCCGCATTCATCTAACGATGTTCAACTCGCTAACATCATCTTACATGTCTGTTTTCCAAGGGATATATTCCCCCAACGTGTTACATATCCTGATCCCAGAGGAGTGAACCATGGTTTGCATTCACTCGACATACTGCCCTGTGCTCTGTCTCTCAGGTGGAGCTGAATGAGTGCGTCCAGTGTGAGTTCACCTTTATCAACGCTGGGAAGTTCAACTTCAGCTTCCAGGCAGAGCTCTCTGGCCCCAAAGCCCTGGTGCAGTACTTCGAGTTCTCACCCATGGAGGGCAGCGTGGATGTGGGGCAGAGTACACCCGCCAGCCTGTCCTTCCAACCGTTTAAGAAATGTGTCTTGAAGGGCCTGGAACTCAGAATCAAGGTGAGACCATTGAACACTGTCCAACACTGAACACACTCACAGCATCCTGTCTTGGAAGAAGAATTCTCCTGAGTGTTTCTGGTCTTCTCTACCTGCCAGAAGCCCCTGGGGAATGGCTGTGTTGTAGATAGTCCCATTCTCTCTATTAATGGCCTCCACCCAGGTGCCTGGTGATTGTCAACTGAAAAGCAATTAAGCACCCATGCACTGGTATATCGTGCAGCCATTAAAGTAAATCAGGGAGCCTGGGAACCAAGAGGTCACCGGTCTGATTCCTGATCAGGACACATGCTTGATCAGGAATCAGGTTGTAGGCTTGATCCCCAGTAGGGGCCATGCAGGAGGCAGCCGATCAGTGATGTTCCTCTGATTCCTCTCCCTCCCTCTCTCTCTAAAAATCAATAAAAAGCCAGGGAGATTGATGAGGGGGGGTGGGGAGAGAGAGAGAGAGAGAGAGAGAGAGAGAGAGAGAGAGAGAGAGGAGAAAGAGAGAGAAAGAGAGAGAACATGTACAACATTTTCCAAGAGAAGTTCTCAAATGAAAAGCCAATGAGTTGTCATGTCAGCGGAGATGGCAGAGAAGGATCTCAGAATAGCTGCTCTTCTGTAGCAATGAGAACGCTGGCAAAAACTATCAAAATCAAGTTTTTCAGAACTCTCTAAATTAACCCTTTCACCCTCAGCAGTTTGGCTTTTGGCATCATTCCTGTCATCTCCTGGTCACAAGGCAACCATCCCGCCTGCAGCCCTATGTCTACATTTCAGAGTGGAAATAAGGGGAAGAGCCTGGAGGCAAAATACTTTCCCAACAAGACTTTGACTCTTTATTCAAAATAGGGCACCTTTTGTTTACATCCCAATGACCAAACTATGTCTCATGGCCACCTTTAGCTGCAAGGAAGAATGGGAAGTCATACGTTCTTGTCCTTTTATACCTGACTTATTTCACTCAGCATAATGTGCTCAAGATCCACTCGTGTTGTTGCAGATGGCACTATTTCATCTTTTTATGGTTGAGTAGTATTCCACTGTGTATACGGGCCACATCTTCTTTATCCAGTCATCCACTGAAGGACATTTAGGTACCATATGATTTCACTCACATGTGGGATATAAAACAAAAAGCAACAAATGAACATAAAGACACAAACATACAAACAAAAAATAGAGTGATAGATACAGACAAAGAATGGTGGTTACGAGAGGGGAAGCGGGTAGGGAACAACAAATAGGTACAGGGGGTCAATACGAGGTGACGGAAGGAGGCTAAACCTCGGGTGGGGAACACACCATAGAGTACACAGATGTCATCAAGTTGTACACCTGAAATTTATATAATGTTATTAGCTCATGTTACCGCAATAAATTTAACTTTTTAATGTTTTAAAAATGGGAAATCAAGTATCTTCACCTGGGCACATTGACAACACTTAGAGTCCTGTTAATGAGGAAGCCTTGGGAATCAGATATTGGGGAGTAGTAGTCTTTGCCACACCCCTCTGCCTTCAAGATGAATCATTGCTTCGGGAGCAAAGCAAGAACCAATGTAGAGACTGATTGCAGAGTAGCCCATCTTGCTCTTCTTAAATAAACAAACTTCTGCCCAGCCAGCATGGCTCAGTGGTTGAGCATCGACCTATGAACCAAAAGGTCACGGTTCGATTCCTGGTCAGGGAGCATGCCTGGGTTGTGGGCTCCATCCCCAGTAGGGGGCATGAAGGAGGCACACAATCAATGATTCTCTCTCATCATTGATGTTTCCATCTCTCTCTTCCTCTCCCTTCCTCTCTGAAACCAATAAAAAATATTTTTAAAAAATAAACTTCTAACCTCTGAGTTAGACTCTCTGCAGATGGAACCTTGGGACCTGTGTGTGTGTGTTTAAACACTTGACTGCTTCCCTCCTTCACCTGAGGGTTTAAGGGCCCTTCCCTCTCACTTCTCCTAATCACACCCCACCTGCCGTTTCCTCCCCACAGATAAGCCATGGTCCAACATTTACGTGCAGCATCTCAGGCTCTGCCGTGAACCCTGCTGTCCATTTCTCATTCACCAGCCACAACTTTGGGAGCTGCTTCATCTACCAAGCCGGGATGCCCCCATACAAACAGACCCTGGTTATCACTAACAAGGAGGAAACGGCTATGAGGTGAGCAGACTTCCCAGAGCCCCCAGATGAGTCTGCAGCTCCCGGTGGGTCCTACAGCCTTTAGGCAGGTGGCGTGCAGCCACGACAGAAGGAGAAGGGTCATGGGGATGAGTCAGACACAGGTGGACATGAATCCCCAGTCTCCTTTCCCCACCACTGACACTGATGCTTGGAGAGCCGTGGGATCCTCCAGCAGGTGTGGCTCAGTGGTTGTGCATCGACCTATGAACCAGGAAGGCACATGCCCCAGTTGTGGGCCCAATCCCCAGTGTGGGGTGTGCAGGAGGTGGTGGATCAGTGATTCTCTCTCAACATTGGTGTTTCTTTCCCTCTCTCCCTCTTCCTTCCTCTCTCTGAAATCAATAAAAGCTTATTTTTTTAAAAAAGAGCACTGGGCAAAGGGTGATGGGACTTTGAGTTTGAAGCCTGATTTTGCCAGGATCTCATGGTGTTATTTGAGGTAAGTAGCTTGACTTTGCCCAGGAGAATGTGGGCTGGATCCTCGCCAGGTCCTTTTCAGCCCTTAAATGCTATGACTGTAGGACAGCAGGGCAGGAAATCCATCAGGACCAAGCTCAGGTGGGGGCGAGGCGGGGTGGGGAGGATGGGGCCAAATCAGTCCCCCTGGGTCAGCCTTCTCAGAACTTAGGCACCTTCCTCCTGCTTGTCTCCAGCATAGATTGTTTGTACACCAATACCACCTACCTCGAGGTGAGCTTCCGTGCGGATGTGATAAAGCCAGGAAAGTCAATGGAGATTCCAATCACCTTTTATCCTCGAGAAAGTATCAGTTATCGAGAACTCATCCCCTTTGAAATCAACGGGCTCTCCCAACAAGTAGTTGAAATCAAAGGGAAAGGCACCGAAATGAAGGTAAGAGGAGACCCTCAGACTGGCAGCTTCCCTCCCCTTCCCAGCCCCCTTGGCCCACCTGCGCCCACTCCCTCCCTCCCCTCTCCCCATCTCCTGCCCTAAGCTGCTCTCCCACTGAGGGGTGAGTTAGCCAATCAGTGAATCATGATTCCAAACTGAACTGTATCGAAGGACAGGCGCCGGAAAAGCAGTCTTTTTCTTGGGGAAGTTTGAGGCTGTCAGGTGTGGGGTCCCAAGCATGTCCTTTTTCTCCCACGTCAGGGCATGTTTTGTTTTCAGGTGTAACAGGCAAGACTTGTTTGAAGCAACGTATGCAGACATGTGTCTCAGTCATGGACATCTTCCCTTGCCACCACAGGGATGCCCATTGTCCAGTCAGCCCCAGCCCCCGGGATTAGATTCGCTGAGGGGTTCCTTCTTGCCCGGTGCTCCTAACAGGAAGGGGGTGCTACAGTCATGCTGCTCATCCCTTTCTTCCCAGGCTCTGTCTGGTGGGAGTGTTTGCATTTAACCAGTTATCGGCCACGATATTTTGAATTTAATTTGGAAAGGTCCGCTGCTTGTGTCTGTAGACGCTTATGGCGTACAAGTGGTCAGCAGGAGGTTTTAGAAGCCTGAAGGTCTTCCAAGAGTCTCAGGGATGCGTGGGACAGGTCAGCAATCAGGAGAAAATGGGAGGGGTGTGTTCCCATGGAGCCAAAGGCGCCCCAGGGCGATGCCACCTGGCGTGTCTGTGCCCAAGCCAGGGACGGGCTCTCTTCTGATGTCACAGATTCGTTCATTTGCTCAGGCTTTCATGCACTCAGCGCCCATTACGTAGCAGGTGCTTTGGGAAAACCCAGAGGTGATTTAAATATGTTCTCTGGCTTCCAAGAGCTCACAGGCTGGTGCTGAAGGTTCGCTTTTTCAGACAAAATGGAAGCATGTGGGCCAGATACAAAGACGGCTAGAGGGAGAGAGCTCAATTTAGTGACTGGTGGAATGGCAGTGACCAGTGGGTGCTGCCCCGTGGGTCAGTGCTCTCCTGGAGGGGAAGGCCCAGCCTGACTGTCCTCGGGTCCAGGCCAACGCTGTGCTCCGAGCTTCAGATGAGGACTTGGAAATGTCCGCCTCTGCTGCGGCCATTGTAGTTGAAATCACCATCCTCCTCACACCCGAGGCTTTCTCTCAGGCCCTCCTCCCATCCATCTCCGCAGGGGAGCGAGCCACGCGCATTCACAAAATACACATTCAATGGGGTCACTCCATGCTTCATTGTCTTCCTTCCAGAATAAAACCTGACCACCCCCCAGACTTAATCTTCTCAAGTCTCCCCCTCCCTCCCAGCCACTGAGCCACCCCCTCCAGCTCAGGACCTCGTTCCTCCCCGAGAGGTGCTCGCCAACCCCACCCCACCCTGACTCACCCGGACTAGATCCTACCCTTCCTTTAGCTCTCAGTGTAAACATGCCTAGGGAGGAGGGGGCGGCCCCCAGACCCCCATCTATCTCAGTCCCCTGTAATGGGCTCTCCAGGTGCCCTGAGCTTTTCTGTCACGTCTATTAACCCAGTTGTAATTATGTCATTGTTGTTTAGTGGGCATTTTATGCACATAAATGTTATTGAGCGAGTGAAGGCTCATCTAATGTAAAGACTGGGGGACACGGAAAGCGAGGGACCACCCTTGGCTCCCCCAGATAGATGTGGGATATTCATTTTTCTCGTTAACTGACAACCCCCCCCCCCCCCGGCTCTCTTTCTCATCCCACAGATTTTAGTCCTAGATCCAGCCAATAGGATCTTGAAGTTAGGAGCTGCCCAGCCAGGGCAGGTGGTGAAAAAAACGGTTTCCATCATGAACAACAGCCAAGCCCCGGTCACATTTAGCCAGTCGGTCCTGTTCTCGACTCCAGAACTCCGGGAGCCTAAGGTGGGTGCTCGGGGCTCCCAGTGGCCTCTCCATGCTTCCCTATGACATGGACGACCAGGCTGACATCACTAACAGTTCACAGTTCTCCCGCACCTTCACTGTGCCAGGACGTGCTAACAACGTTCCATGTGCCGTCTCTGATCACCTTCACAGAAACAGTCCAGGGTCCGTGCTTTTATTACGCTCAGTTCACATCCAAGGAAAGCGAGGCTTAAAGAGGCAACATCCCTCTACAGGGCAGCAGAGTCAAGCAGAAGGAGTGGACTTGATGGGAGGCAGTAAATTCTGATCAATAAACACAGATCTTCATTGCAGACAATTTGAAAAATGCAGTATAGAAAATCATAAAGGAAAACATTTTGCCCATACTCTCATACCCAGAAATAATCACTTAACATTTCGATGTCTATCTTTCCTGTGTTTTTCCTACACATTTTTTTACAAAAATAAAATGACAATGTTCGTATTATTTTGAACCCATCTAGGAACACATCATAAATATTCTCCCTGCCCTCCAATGCCACGTGCTCACTGCTCCCTCCATTATGTAGATAGACCAACTGTCTATTTCTGCTCAACTCAGGTGCTTCTAACGCTTTCTGTTATAAGCAACAAGGTCGTGTCCATGCAACCAAAGCTTTGTGTGCATCCATGGCTCCCTCTCATGGCAGACTCCTAGAAGAGGGCTTGTGGGTCAGGAAGAAGAATGTGTTTCAGTACCCATCATCATCTGCCCCTGAAAGGGTGTCCCCTCTGCACTCTTCTTCTGTGTGAGATGCACCCTTATTCCTAAGTCCATGTCCCAAGCTCCCTGAAGAGAGGAGCTACCCATCCCAGCTGCCTGCTCCCCGTCTTACAGTCATCAGTATTTGGGTGGCCCCTTGACCATAGACTAGGTGTGCGTCATTCATCCCAAGGGTAAATGTATCCATCCCCTTACATTTACTCAGTAAATATGTGCGAGGTGCTAAAAATATAAAGCTGTGTCTTAACTTAGGCTGCCCTAGCAAAGTAGACAGGGTGGCTTACACAGCAGACATTTATTTTCTCACTAGAGGCCCGGTGCATGGATTCGTGCACCGGTGGGGTCCCTTGGCCTGGCCTGTGACGGGCGATCAGGCCAAACCTAGCTCTCTGATGTCCCCCGAGGGGTCCCAGATTGCGAGAAGGCGCAGGCCAAGCCGAGGGACCCCACTGGTGCACCATGGGGGCCGGGGAGAGACCTCGGGAGGGCTCCAGGGCATGTCCAGCCCGGCTCGCCCAGTCCCGATCGGCCAGACCCCAGCAGCAAGCTAACCTACCGGTCGGAGCGTCTGCCCCATGGTGGTCAGTGTGCATCATAGTGACTGGCCGAACAGTCGGACACTTAGCCTATTAGGCTTTTATTACATAGGATAGTTCTGGAAGCTGGAAGTGTGAGGTCAGAGTGCCAGCATGGTCTGCTTCTGGTGAGGGCTCTCCTCCTGGCTCAGAGGCGGCCACCTTCTGGCTGTGTGCACACACAGCAGAGAGCAAACAAGGCTGAGATTTCCAGTGTATCTCATCCCATCAGGAGGGCCCCTCTGTCATGGCCTCATCTAAACCTAATTACTTCCCAGAGGATCGGAAGAGGGGTGGGCTGCTCAGACGAGGGCTGTACTGAGTTTTACAGGATGGAGAGGCAGATGGGGGAGGGTGTTTCCAGCAGGCAAAGGTGTACCAGCCAGAAAGAGCCGGTGCTTCTGGAAACCCAGATGTGCTTCAGTGCGACAGGAGCACTGTGGACCACCTCAGGGATGCAGGACACAGAAACACTGGCTGTGAGAGGCCAACCAAAGCCAGAGACACAGTGGGTATCTCCACCCAGGACCCCGTGTTGCGCACTTTGCCATCCAGAGAAAGAGGGCAATAATCACTTAACATTTTGGTGCCTGTCTTTCCACTAATAAGGCTTCGCGCACCTCATTAATCCAAGTTAGAGTCCTGGTTTCCAAGAGGTCAGGGCCCTCACAGTTTGCCTACCCATCTGCTTCTTTGGTTGATCAGACACAAGCTGCCAGGGACCTGTGCTGACACCATCACCTGGGGATAGCTTCCAACATCGTTGTGTTTTGAGAATGTGCTAGGATCGCTTTGCTATTGCAGCCTCTCGGCCGTTATCTCACGCCCTGCTGCCTGGGTCCACCTGCTGGCGACTGCCCAGCTCAGGACCAGAGGGAGCTCAAGGTTGAAAAGGGGTCTGGCTTCCTTAGAGCTGATTTTGATTTGCCTTTACCAGGACCAGCGGGGAGAAGGAACCACACGAATTCAGACAGTGGCTCTCCAACTTTAGAACTCACGAGTCACCCAGGGCACCTTTGAAAGTGCAGGTCCCAGGCTCCTCCAAGGACCGTGATCCAGCCGGCCTGGGGCAGGGCCCCGGAATCTGCATTGTACCCCGCGCAAGGAGCTGGGGAGCGCTCCTCAAAGTCCACAGAGCGCTGAGTGTTACTGCCTCTTCTGTTTCCTCCAGCAGAGAGCAGTGGTTCTTTGCAAGGGGAGAATTAACATTTACTGAGTGCCTATTACGTGCCCTACATTTTATTTTACTTCTTTAATATATTTTTATTGATCTCAGAGAGGAAAGGAAAGGGAGAGAGAGAGAGATAGAAACATCAATGATGAGAGGGAATCATTGATCCTTTGCTTCCTACACACCCCACACTGGGGATCGAGCCCATAACCCAGGCAGGTGCCCTGACAGGGAATCAAATCGTGACCTCCTGGTTCATAGGTCAATGCCCAACCACTAAGCCACACCAGCTGGGCTGTGCCAGACATTTTATATAGATGATCTAGCTCAGTGGTCGGCAAACTCATTAGTCAACAGAGCCAAATATCAACAGTAAATGATTGAAATTTCTTTTGAGAGCCAAATTTTTTAAACTTAAACTATATAGGTAGGTACATTGTTATTAACTTAATTAGGGTACTCCTAAGCTGGCCTTTGCTAAAAAACATCCTCAATCTGATTGAAGTACATTCGCTGAGGTCGACCCCTTCCAACTCTCCCATCCACACTCGTCTTGTATACTTGTTTCGTCTGTCTCCTTTCCGAAAACCGACTTCTGCGCATGGGCCACGAAGTTTCAATCGCACCGTACGTGCGCACCCGCACGTGGTATTTTGTGAAAGAGCCACACTCAAGGGGCCAAAGAGCCGCATGTGGCTCGCAAGCCGCGGTTTGCCGACCACAGATCTAGCTGAATGAGTCACAGGAAGTTTAAGTCACTTGTCAAAGATGGCACAGCTGGTAAGAGAGAGCAGCAGTGAGATTTGCCCCCTGGGCTGTGACAACCCCAGCAGCAAGACCTCCAGGAATGGAGGCCTCAGCAGCCCCCTGCCCTCAGCTGCTGAAGCTCACTGTCCTCTTGCCCAGGTCATCACCCTGGTACCCTTCAACAACATCACGCTGAAGCCCAAAGAAGTCCGCAAGCTGGAGGTCATCTTTGCCCCGAAGAAGCGTGTCCCCCTCTTCTCCGAGGAAGTGTTCATGGAGAGCATGGGGCTCCTGCGCCCCCTCTTCCTGCTCAGCGGCTGCTGCCAAGCCCTGGAGGTCTCCCTGGACCAGCAGCATATTCCCTTCGGACCAGTCGTGTATCAGACAAAAGCCACGCGTCGCATCCTCATGCTGAACACGGGCGACATGGGTACAAGGTAGGAGCTGGGGCAGAGTGCTCAGACCCTGGGTTGGATTAGACACTTGTCTTACAAGTGTGGCCACTTTTTATTTCTTCTCTTTGCTTTTTACATCTCTTTCCTGCCTTCAAAATGTAACTGTGATGGCCTGATGACTAAAATGAATACTCTAGAACATTTGCTCAGTGCCTGTTAGATGCCCTTTGCATGGCTCATCTCATTTAATCCCAACAATTCTACGAGACCAATACTATGACTGATCCATTTTACAGACGAGAAAACTGAAGTTAAAAGAGATTAAGTATCTTTTCCAAATTCCCATATTTAGCAAGAACTTACCAGGCGCAGGTGCAATGCTGAGTATTCTTACATAGAAGAGCCCATTTGACTGTCCCGGGACCCAAGGTAGGTACTGTGTTGTCCCCATTTCACAGGTGAATTTGCGGCTCAAGGAGGTCAGACAGCTTGCCTGGGGTCACACAGCCAGGAGGTGGGAAAGACAGAATTGGAGCCCAGGTGCACCTATGGCAGCTCTCCTTGCCACGCTCTTCCCACTTCCTGGCAGGTGCCCACCCAAGTCACTACTCAGGCCTGCCACCAAAGCCGTGCGGGCTGCACACCGCACACCTGCAGGGCACCCCTCACACAAACTCGGTGCGGCAGCCCTTGCACTGGAAGCACATTGGGCTGCACTGTCCACCCTCTGTCTCCTGCCCGGACTAAATGCCAGACCACAGAGTGATGACCACTCAGAGCCGTCGCATCCCAAGGCCACCAAGAGCAGATGCAACTCTCCCAGGAAGGGATCATCTCCACCCTCCTGGATCTGGCCGGGGAGGCCATGCAGGGAGTGGTTAGGGCCACAACCTGAGGAAGGTTCCAGTCCTAGCTCAGCCACTTGCGACCTTGAGTACACACGTGGAAACATGTTCATGTGTATGTCCCCGATGCAGCCACTTCCCATCCTGCTCAGCTCTGAAAGGGAGCCGAGTTACCTTACCCAGGAGGGACCTGGACCCTGCCCACCGCCTCTGCTGTACCGAGCAATCTTTCTCCTCCCAGTCCCATGGAGTCCACAAGGGGTGAACCTCCAGTCTCTTGTTCTCAGCAGCATTGAGGACACCCCCAGGACATTCCCTAGTAAACTGTCTTCCTTGTCTCCTTTTGTCTTGGAAAAGGTTTAAATGGGATGTCAAAAAATTTGAGCCTAATTTCTCCATCAGCCCAGAAGAAGGCTATATCACTACAGGCATGGAGGTTTCTTTAGAAGTGACCTACCACCCCACAGAGGTGGGCAAGGAGAATCTCTACAAAAACCTGCTCTGCTTCATCCAAGGAGGCCCTCCTCTGAGCCTAACCCTGTCTGGAGTCTGCGTGGGACTACCTGCAGTGAAAGAGGTCAGTAAGTGCTGCCCACAGAAGGGCCATGGCCAAAGTGGGCCTAGCAAGCCCCACAAGTGAACTCAGCAAGGCCTTCCAGAGGCAGATGCTCTGTTCAAATAGTCCTCGGTGCCCACCTCAAATATTCAGACTTGCCCCCGCCCCCACAGGGCCTTTGCACATGCTCTTTCCACTGCTGGAATGTTCTTTTTCCCTCTTCATTCAGTTAATTCCTATTCATTATTCAGCTCTCAATTCAAGCATCACACTCTCAAGGAAGCTTGCCTTGACATCTCTGGCTAGATCAAGTTCTGTTATAAGCCATGAGTGAGGGGTGAATGCCTTTACTATGTGTTGTTGTTGGTTTTAATAGCCTTGGGTTAACCCTCTGCTAGCTCTGTTCCTAGAAACCTAACTGTGCACTGCCCACTATGTTCCTGGTAACACTGCTTATGGTAAAAATGATACCTGATCCCCATCTCTCTAATTTTGCTATTTCAAGAATGGTATGTAAATGGGAACATACAGAATGCTGTAAACATGCATAAACAAATCTTGGCAAGAACACATGCTTTCATTTTCTTGGGTACTTAGGCGTGAATGGCTGGGTCAGAGGGTAGATATATGTTCACTTTCTTAAGAATCTACCAAAGTGGTTGTGTCATCTCACATTCCCACTAGTAATGTCTGACATTTCTATTTGTATCACATCCTTATCAACACTTGATATGGTCATTCTTTTTTATTTTAGTCATCCTAATAGACATGTAGTGGTATGTCATGGTAGTTTTTCATGTGCATTTCCCTAATGATTAATGATGTTGCGGATCTTTTCAGATACTTATTTGCCATCCATATGTATTCTTTGTTGAAATATTTGTTCACATCTTTTATTTGTAATTGGGTTGTTTGTTTTCTTAATATTGAGTTTTCAGAGCTCTTTATATATTCAGGACACAAGTTTTACATTTAGATCATCAGTCTGTTTAAAGCTCATTTTTGTATGCAGTACAAGATATGGATCAAAATTCTTTTGACTTACATGGATACCTAATTATTCCAGCACCGTTTGTTGAAAAGATTATTCTTTCTCTACTGAATTGCCTTTGCACTTTGGTGATAACCCAAAGGATCATATTATGTGTGTGTCTATTACTGAACTCTATTCTTGTCCATTGATCTATTTGACCCTCTTAACACCAATACCACACTGGTCCATGTTGTTACATTCAATGGCCTGTTCTCACCCTCATCTTAGTTGACCTCCTGGTAGCGTTTGACACCCTGAGCAAGTACCTCCTACTTCACACAGTTCCTTCAAATGGCTTCCAGGACGCCACCCTCTCCTGGTTCTCTTCCTGCCTGATTAGCTGCTCCTTCCTGTCTCTTCTCATTCTTCTTAACATCGGAGTGTGCCAGTCAGGAATTCGTCCTTAAAGTCCTGCTTTTTTCTAAATGCACTTACTTCCTGATAATTGCATCCAGTATTTTCGCCTTAAAAAAACCTGCTAAACTGACAACTCCCAATATGCACCTCCAGTCTGAACTTGGCTTTGAACTCCGAACTTGTCAATTCCACTGCCTGTGTAAGGTGCCGCTTTTCTTCCAGACGGTAAATTTCACCTGCCAGGTGCGCTCCAAGCACACGCAGACCATCCAGCTTTCAAATCGCACCAACCAGACCTGGAATCTGCACCCCATCTTTGAGGGCGAGTACTGGGAGGGGCCCGAGTTCATCACTCTGGAGCCCCATCAGCAAAACAAGCCCTATGAGATCACCTACAAGCCCCGCACCATGAACGTGGAGAACCGCAAGCACCAGGTAGGCTGAGCACCCCATCAGTTCGTTTCCTGGCGTGACTGGAAGGAGAAGTGGTGTGACAGAAGTTAGGAGACAGCTTGGCAGCTCAGAGAATGTTCGAACGAGAAGGGACCCTATCTTCTGGTATCTTCACTCCCAATACTATGCAGATACGGCCTTGGCTGCCATCATAAACATACCCAGTTTTTCATTCTGTTAATTTTCACTGTACATTCTATCATGAGCATTTTTCTATTTAATTGGGTAGTCTTCATGATAATAATTTTTTTAAATATTTTTTTTATTTCAGAAAGGAAGGGAGAGGGAGAGAGAGAGATAGAAACATAAATGATGAGAGAGAATCATTGATCAGCTGCCTCCTGCACAGCCCCTACTGGGATCGAGCCCATACCCCAGGCATGTGCCCTTGACTGGAATTGAACCTGGGACCCTTCAGACCACAGGCTGCTGGACTAACTACTGAGCCAAACCAGCTAGAGTGATAACCATTTTTAATGGTTGCCTAAAATTTTGAATGAGGGTTTCATCATTTATTTAACATTCCCCAGGTGTTGAATATTTAAGGTAGCTCCATATATTCCTATAAATGGTTCTAATATATATGCTTATGTATGTATGTAACATTTTCCCCTGGAGGGATTTTTCTAAAGTAAGACCCCTTGTCTGTGATTCCTGGTTAAAACACATGGGAATATTGTTATGAATCTTGAAACAGCTGCTTCCCCAAAGTGTTAAGCTCATTTGCAGAGCCTCCGTTAATCCCAGGTCACTACCATGCCTGAGAGGTGCCTAATAAAGGCCCCTCGGTATCATTCTGATTGTATTTCCTCCTCTCCTTAGGGGACCCTCTTCTTCCCCCTGCCAGATGGAACCGGCTGGCTATATGCACTGCATGGGACTGCCGAGCCCCCCAAAGCCGTGGCCAGTATCTACCGTGAAGTGCCATGTAAGACGCCCTACACTGAGCTCCTGCCAATCACCAACTGGCTGAACAAGCCCCAGAGGTAAGGGAGTGGGGCAAGGGGTTGGGGTGGGGGAGACAGAAGGAGGACTTCTACTGTCTAGCCTGGCCCTTCCCCTAGTCAGGGCCTCTGGAGGACATTGGCTAAAAGGGCCAGAGACCGAGTTCCCTGATGTGGCCAGGCATTGCCTGAACGCTAAGCCTCCAGAGACCTTCTCCTGTTCGTGCTCTCTGTGAGTGGCTGGTTACCTATGAACCTCCTAGAACAGTGCCTGGCACAAAATAAGTGCTCAAGAAATGTTAGTTATTACTATTGTCATAACAATAATCATGGTGGTTATTATTGAGTGTTCAGTCTTGTTACCTAAGTCACTGGCCAGAGAAGGACATCCCTTGGACCTTGGACTTGAAGTGGAAGTAGAGAAGAATGCAAGGACTAGAGGACCTTGAGGCCAAACAGTCTAGTCCCCTTCTTTTATAGTTCAGGAGCCAAAGGTTGGGAGGAGAGGCCCCTTGCTGAGCATTGTGGGTCAAGGCCCACACCTAAGTTCTGCCAATAACTAGTCATGTTACCTGAGCATGTTATCTCCCTTCTCTTGGCCTCATTTCCTCGCTAGTAAATGGAGATGGTAATGACATGCACCTCCTGCAGACATCACAGGGATTAAAGGCCTGTAACACATGCAGAGCACGGACTCAATAGCTGGCACATAATAGGTGGTCAGTGAATGGCAATTACTGTTATTGTTAGAGACAGAGTGAAGGCAATAACCCTGGACCCATGTGTTTTACATAAAATCAAGAGTAGAGATAGCACCTTTCGTTCCTTTCTTTGGGCAAATATCTCATTTTTCCTCTCCTCCCTTCTTGTGCTCCTGTGGCTCCCCCCAGGTTCCGGGTCATTGTGGAAATGCTGAAACCAGAGAAGCCAGACCTAAGTGCCTCCTTAAAGGGCCTTGATTACATTGATGTACTGTCTGGATCCAAGAAAGACTACAAGCTGAACTTCTTTTCCCACAAGGAAGGACTATACAGCGCAAAGGTATCCATATGTCAAAGGCATTGCCCTGGAACCCTGGAGGTCTGACCCTGAGATTGACAGTCCTGGTGTTAGGGAGCGAAGAAGTCCTCCAGAGCCAGCCTATCCTTATCCTGTCCAGCTGACCATTTAAAGTGACCTGGCAAAGGCAGTTAGGTGCCCCAGGCTCTTTAAGATGAGACCAGATTGCAAGGCCAGCCAGCCATCACTTAGGCCCGTGCCAAGCTTTCAAGGAAGAAGAGACATGAAAACTCTTATGCAGTTTGTAACACCGGACTGGCAAATACCAGGCCACACAAATAAAATATCCCATTTTCTGAGTGCTTATAGAGTGTCCAGCGTTGTGCTGAGCACTCAACACACATAGCTAGTAATGTCAGAGCCAGGATGCAACTCAGAGTCATCTACTCCAAGACACCACGGGATCTTTCATATAGGAGCTGTTTTTCCTAATTCATTCATTAGTTCAATAAACATCTATTGAGCATATATGCCATAGAGTAGGTGCTGCTGACACAGCAATCATCAAAAATAGACACAGCCCCTATTCTCATGGAACACACAGTCCAGTGAAGGGAGATGGACATTAATCAAATAATTGCACTATGAATGCATTATTACAAAATGAGGTATGTGCTTTGAAGAAAGGGGGCATATGTGAACTCACAAGAGAGGTCAGGGCTGAAGATAATATATGGGAATTATCCATTTATCGATAGTATTTAAAACTATGTAGAGAATGGAATTACCTAGGGAAAGATTTTAATGTGAAAAAAACAGAAAGTAGGAACACATCTGCCCTGCCAGAAGAGATACCGACAAAACCCAGCCAGCAGCATGTCATCTCTCCTACAATCACTGAGTTAGGCTACTCCACTCAGATCACATTCACAAACAAGTTAACAGAGAACCTTAAAATCAAGGAATCACAAAATATCTGAAGGGGGGGGGAAAGCCACCATAAAATAGAAATACCAGCTCAACAAAGAAGAACTCCTGAGATAAGAGGTATTAAAGCAAACAGAAGAAGACCTTCAGTGAATATTATCAACTAGAGGCCCGGTGCACAAATTCATGCATGGGTGGGGTCCCTTGGCTTGGCCGGTGATCAAGGCCTATGGGGGAGTGGGGGGCTGAGTGGGGGGAGGGGCCGCAGAAGGTTGGCTGTGGGAGCGCACTGACCACCAGGGAGCAGCTCCTGCATTGAACATCTGCCCCCTGGTGATCAGTGTGCGTCATAGCCACTGGTCGACCAGTTTTTCTGGTTGTTCCAGTCGTTTGGTCATAACAGACACTTAGGCTTTTATATACTAGTATATAGATATCCTTAAAGGAATGAAGGAAGATAATCATACCCATGAAATAAGAACAGACTGTTGTGGAAGAGAATCAATTGGAGACCCTGAAAATGAAAAATAGGATATTTGGAATAGAAATCCATAAAGGTCCTGGCTAGTGTGTCTCAGTTGCTTGAGTGTTGTCTTGTGCACCAAAAGGGCACCAGTTCAATTCCAGTTGGTCTGGCACATGCCTGGGTTGTGGCTTGATCTCCAGTGTGGGGACATGAGGAAGGCAGCTGATTGATATTTCTGTCTCACATCGATGGATGTTTCTCTCTCTCCCTCTCTCTCTTTTCCTCTCTCTCTAGAATCAATAAAAACATTTTTTAAAAGAAAACCATAGAGGACAGCTGAATAGTGTAACGAACTCTGGGGAAGAATTATTTGTAAGTGAGAAGACAGAACTGAGTAATATCACCAGGCTTTAGCACATGAGTACAAAGAAATTGAAAGATGAAAGGAAAGAATAACAGGTGTTGCCAAAACCGGTTTGGCTCAGTGGATAGAGCATTGGCCTGCGGACTGAAAGATCCCAGGTTCGATTCTGGTCAAGAGCATGTGCCTGGGTTGCGGGCACATCCCCAGTGGGGGATGTGCAGGAGGCAGCTGATGGATGTTTCTCTCTCATCGATGTTTCTGGCTCTCTATCTCTCTCCCTTCCTCTCTGTGAAGAACAATAAAATATATTAAAAAAAAAAAAAAAAAGAATAACAGGTGGTGAGAGTGTGGAGAAATTGAATCCTTAGCTGTGGTAATATAAATAGTGCAGTCACTTTGGAAAACAGTCTGGCATTTCTTTATTGCTTAAACATAGAGTTACCATATGACTCAGCAATTTCACTCCTAGATATATACCCAAAATATAAACTACTTAGAATGATTTTCAACCTAGAACTCAAAACTATTATGAGAGCAAAATAAAGATATTTTTTAACACACAAGGACTTAAAGTAACCCACCCATATACACAATCTTTGAAAAAAATACTACAAACTAAAACTTTTTAAATTAACAAAATTTAAAAAATAAGTAAATGAATCCAAGAGAAAAGTACAAGGATATAATGAACAAAGAATCTAAATTGATGGGTAATTTCAAATAATTGCTGAAAAGCAATCTGAACTACTTCATATGGCCTCAAGTTAGGAAGGGAAAGAATAAAATAAGGCAATGAAAATAATGTTCTCATTCTGTTGGAAGTAAATGGGGAAATAAGAGATATTTTCTCTTTTATAGAGAAGCGTAGGGAGAAAATAGAGATTTTCATAAACTGTAGGTGTGAACAGAAATATATAAATAAATATATGTATTAAAATGTAAGTGTAAAGACTTTTGAGTAAAAATGACAATGAGCCCAGATCACAGAATTTCTTTACAGTAATAAGTATTTAAATTGACAATGACAATAACAAAAAGGTTTTTTTAATCAACAATAACAACAAATTTTTTAAAAATCAACAGCACCTTTGGTTATGATGGAGTACCTAGTCCTCCCACCATATAAACCATAAAGCTGGACAACATGTCTGGGGCACGTCTTCTCAGTCATTGGAAAACAAGCAGCACAATACTGCAATTCATCAGAGAGAAGGAAATGTATGAGCCCCGTGATTGTCATGGCTCTCTGCCCAGGGACAATTTCCTGACTGCAGTGCAGTGAGCTGGAGTCTAAGTAAAGCGCAGCAGCCCGGTGAGCTGAGGTGACAGAAATCAGAGTTTGGTGCAGCCTGAATAGCCGGTCCCTGCACGGTAAGGCAGCAGAAAGGAGGGAGCAGGATAGGGAGGGAGTGGGAGTACAAAAGTCTATACAGGAATTCCCCTTGAAGTCCTTGGCTGAAGGTGGACTGTCCATGCACAGGAAGAGACTACATGAGAGAGCAGCTGCTACAGGGGTGATAAGGACTGAAGGTGCCCTACATGAATCAGCGCCGGGGAGCATGGGAGGTCTGGCCCAGCCAGAGTGGAGAGGCTGCATGAACAACACCTCCTTAACCCTGGTAACCCAGTTGAAATCCCTGAGAGGCCAGAAGAAAGCACCGTGTCCATAGGATAAGATCTTCTGAGGGCCAGCCTGGAAAAGCCTTACACTAAAAAATTTGGATAGCGAACCCCACCAAGTTGGAAGGTCTTGAGGAACACTGTGAGGTTTCCACATATCTGCTCTAACCAAGCATAAAACCAAACCTACACAAGTTTAAAGTGTCAGTGATTGAACTGCCTCCTAGAATAAAATCAACACTCGTATCAGGAAGATAACAGAATCCAGAATCTCTACAATGATCATCAACAGTGTCCAATACACAAACAGAAATTACTAGACTTGTAAAAGAGCCGTCAATGGAAACTGACTCCAAGATGGAACCGATATTGGATTTTGTAGGCAGAGACCTCAAAGAAGCTATTATAAACATGTTCAAGAACTGAAAGAAAATATTTTAAGTAATTCAATAAAATATTATCTTAATGAGTGTACCGATAAAGAATCTCAGCAGAGAAATAGAAACTATGAAAAAGAACCAAATGGATACTCTAGAACTGAAAAGTACAACAAACTGAAATGAAAAATGCATTGGATGTGCTCAACAGCTGATGAGAGATGTGAGAAGATACACTGAATGTGAAACAAATCAATAGAAAGTTTCCAATCTGAAGAACACAGAGGAAAAAGATAGAGGAGAAACAACCAGAGCCTCAGGAACCTGTGAGAAAAACATAAGGTGGTCTAATACATGAGTATTATGAGTCAGAAGAAAAGAAAATGAGAATGGGACAGAAAATTATTTGAAAAAATAATGGCTGAAATGGCCCTGATTTGGTTTTTTTTGAATGATTTACAGATCCAAGAAACTTGGCAAAACCTCAAGCAGGAAAAATATAAAGGAAACCATGCCTATGATCATCATAGAAACACTGCTGAAAACCAAACATAAACAGAAAAGCTTAAAGCAACCAGATTTAAGATCTATTACATACAGGGGACAACAATAAAAGTGCCCCCTGACTTCTCTTCAAAAGGAATGGAAGCCATCTACGAAGTGCTGAAAGAAAAAGAAATGATCAACCTAGGATTCTTTATTCACTGAAACTATCCTGTAAATGTGCGAGTGAAATAGGCATTTTCAGATAAAAGAACATGAGAGAATTCATTGCCAGGAGACTTGCATTACTGAATGCATTAGCATTATTGGAATGCAAATAGGTATTCTTCATTCCGAAGGGAGATGATACCAGATGGGAACCTGGGTCTGCTGGAAGGGAAGAACAGCACTACACATGGTAAATAAATAGGCAAATATTCAAACATGTTTTTCTGCTCATAACTCTGTTTAAATGACGACTGTCAGCTTATAGCAAATATAACATTGTAAAGTGGACGTTCTCCTATACGTAGAAGTAACAGGTCCGATGACAAATGCACAAAAATGGGACGGACAGGTCAATGAAGTTCCAGGTCAGCAAGGTCACCACATTGTGCCGTGGGAAATGTGAGGTAGGAGGCATGAACCGTCAGTTGGAAAGTGGAAAGTGATGAAATGCTCACTCTAAATTTTGACAAGTTAAAACTTCACGTTGTCAGCTCTATAGCAACCATGAGAAATCTTTCCTTTAGAAAGATAGCTAAGAAGCCATTAGAGGAAATGAAATATATTCCGAAAGAGTGCATACTGACCCAACAGAAGACAGGAAGGTAGCAACAGAGGAATAAAAAATGATTCCAATGGAAAGAAAGAGCAAGGAGGGCAGACTTCAGCCCAAACATATAAATAATTATTTTAAATGTAAAGGACTGAATGCTCCAGTGAAAAGACAGAGGGTGTCAGGAGCACTCTAAATCTTAACACAGGAAGAGGTTGAAAGTAAAAAGCCAGACACATGAAGAACTATGGCCACCTAATAATATGATAAACAACAGAAAGTGTTAAAAAGGGCAAAACCATCAAATAGACTCTACTTCATGAAGTAGACATGTGAATGAGCCATAAGCACCTGAGAAGATGCTCATCATCAGTCATCTGGGAAAAAAAACTTTAAAACATTTTTTAAAATATATTTTATTGATTTTTTACAGAGAGGAAGGAAGAGGGATAGAGAGTTAGAAACATCAATCAGCTGCCTCCTGCACACCCCCCACTGGGGATTTGCCTGCAACCAAGGTACATGCCCTTGACCAGGATCAAACCTGGGACCCTGGAGTCCGCAGGCTAATGCTCTATGCACTGAGCCAAACCGGTTATGGCCCAGGAAAAGAACTTTAAAAAGGTGAGCAGCCTGTCGATGACAAGTCAGTTGCAGGGGTGAGGGGACAATATACGACAGTTACAAGTGTGAGCTCCGGAACCAGTCCAACCAAATCCTGGTTCTGACACTTCTCTGCATGTGATGCTGGTCAAGATACTTCATGTTGTTAAGCCTCGTTTCCATCATCTTAAAAAAACAACAACACATCATGTTGCTTACAAACTGTGTGAATTAAACAATTAAGTACTTCTAGTGCTTGGCACAGAGAAATCATTAAGTGTTAGATGCCATCGTCGTCGTCATCATCATTGTCGTCGTCATCTACTCTGGCAACAACGGGAATAGGAGTGAAACCCACTACAACCTCTCCAGGTCATGCTTGTTCTCAGGGCCAGCCAGCTGTCCCCACTGAGGAGACGTTCACCTGCAGCACTAGCCAGGGCTGCTGTGGCCTCCAAAGCAAACACAGGCTGTGTAACCTCCTCTCACCTGGGAAGAGCCAGAGCATAGAATCTAAAGAACATGGCCGGCTGGTGGGGATGCAGACAGGCTGGGAGGGCCCACGTCAGCCTGGCACCCACGCTTCCCATGCCCAGGCATTGCTCGCAGAGAGAATGACCCCCGCTAACCCCTCTCCTCTGCCCTGCTTCCTCCCACTCTCCCGTGAACTCAGGTGATCTTCCGAAACGAGGTGACCAACGAGTTCCTATTCTACGTGACGAGTTTCAGGGTCATCCCTTCAGGCGTCATCAAAACCATCGAGATGGTGAGCCCCGTCCGGCAGAGCACATCAGCCTCCGTCAAGGTGGAGAACCCCCTGCCCTACTCAGTGACCTTCGCCACGGAGTGCAGGGTGCCCGACATCAACCTGCCCTCCCAGTTCGTGGTGCCCCCTAACTCGGAGGTAAGACCCGACTGCCCGGGGCCCCTGATAGCTGTGGTAGAGGCTCTGCCCCCAGGGCCGCTGGATCCACGTTCTGCATCCCTGAGGTCGGGCCAGCCCTGGCAGGGGTCTATAGTGTGCTTGACCCTTGACCTATATTTAGATTCAAACAGATTCCAGATCTCGAAATACCTGGAACAGAAGTTGGGAAGAGGACAGGGGAGGAAAAGTGGGCTGGTTTGGGCAGAGGTTCCCGGAGCTCAAGATCAATGTGAGCACTGCAGCGTGAAGCGCCATCTCTGCCACCCCCCTGCTCTGAGGTCCCTGGGGGGCAGGGGAGAAGCGGGACCCGCCGCATCACCGAGGCCCCTGTCTTCCCTCGCAGGGCACATTCTCATTCGAATTCCAGCCCCTGCGAGCTGGAGAAACCTTGGGGAGACTAGTTCTGCACAACAATGATCTGGGTTACTACCAGTATGAGCTCAACTTGAAGGCTCTGCCAGCGCTGCCTGAAAAGCCCATCCACTTCCAGACTGTTCTTGGCAGCGGCCAGAGCATCTTTGCCAAGTTCATCAATTACACCCGGCAGAAGACAGAATACTACTGCAGGGTGAGCAGCCCCGGCCCCACCCCCAGGCCCTTCCCTTGCCAGAAGGCTGACCTCAAGAACAATGGGAGGAGGACACAGGGTGCGGCACTGTGAACCTCGGGGGAGTCGGTGCATCCTAGAGCCTGGGAACTCCCAGCTAGACGGAAATAGTACGAGGCCTGGGTTCTTCCTTAAAGACTTTCTATCTTAACAAGCTGGGAGGAGGGGTGGGGAGATTTGCTCCCCAGCACATGCTCCATAGTCAATCAAGGGGGACAGTAGAGATTAGTGGTCATGAGTATAGGCTGTGGAAGCCAACAGACCTGGATTTGAATCCTGGCTTTACTATATTCTTTGTTTTTAATGTATATTTCTATTGATTTCAGAAAGGAAGGGAGAGGGAGAGGGAGATAGAAATATCCATGACAAGAGAGAGTTTTAAAAGTCTGCACGCCCCACACTGGGGATCGAGCCTGCAACCTGGGCATGTGCCCTGACTGGGAATCGAACCATGACCTCCTGGTTCAGAGGTCGACGCTCAACCACTGAGCCACGCTGGCTGAGCTTTACTATATTCTTTGTATGAATAATTTACTAAATCTCTCTAAGTTTATCTCTATAGGGTGATAATACCCTGACCTTACAGGATTTCTATGAGGATTTTTAAATACATACATAAAACCATTTTCATAGAGCCTGGCCCACGGTAAATGTCCCATATATGTTACCTAGTATATTAGTTGGAATGTAGGCTTAACTCCTGAAACAGAAACCCAAAATAACAACAAAATAGACGTTTATTCCTCTCTCAGATAACTGTGGGCATAAGCAGTTTGAGCTGGAATGGTAGCTCGATGACATCAGCCACCCAGGCTCCTGTCCCTCTGTAGAGAGTTGCTTTGGTCCACATGGACCAAGACAGCTTACAGTGACATCCACATTTTAGCCAGGTACAAGGGAAAAGGGAGGCGGGGGAGCCTGCATATATCATTTCCACTCACATTCCATTGAACAAAACTGCATAGCAACAAAGGGAGCTAGGAGATGTAGCCTTTACACTGGGTGGGTGTGTGCCCAGTCAACATCAGAGCTACAGTCAAGGGACATATAGGCACTTGGTCAGTCCTATCAGTCAGGAGAAGCTAGATTATGCTGTAATATACAAAGAGCCTCAATATCTCAGTGGCTTAAAAGCACAAAGGTTTGTCTCTCATTTGCACTGTCTATGCAGTGAGACTCAGAAGGGGACTCTGCTCATCACAGCCACTCAGGGATCCAGGCTGACGAGCAGCCACCATCTCACGTGTTCCCGGGCACAGTACCAGAGGGGTGAAAAGTCCCTACAGGGACTTGCATGGGCAACTGAAGACACTGGTGTGGAAGTGACACCTTTCACTTCTCTCAACTGATTGTCTAGAACAGCGGTTCTCAACCTGTGGGTCGCGGCCCCTTTGGGGGTTGAACGACCCTTTCAGAGGGAGGGGTCACCTAAGACCATCAAAAAACACATATATAATTACATATTGTTTTTGTGATGAATCACTATGCTTTAATTATGTTCAATTTGTAACAATGAAAATACATCCTGCATATCAGATATCTACATTACGAATCATAACAAAATTACAGTTATGAAGTAGCAACGAAAATAATTTTATAGTTGGGGGGTCACCACAACATGAGGAACTGTATTAAAGGGTCGCGGCATTAGGAAGGTTGAGAACCACTGCTCTAGAACTAGTCTCACCCGTCCATGAGGATCTAGATCAGTGATGGCAAACCTATGACACGCGTGTCAGAGGTGACACGCGAACTCATTTTTTTGGTTGATTTTTCTTTGTTAAATGGCATTTAAATATATAAAATAAATATCAAATATATAAGTCTTTGTTTTACTATGGTTGCAAATATCAAAAAATTTCTATATGTGGCACGGTACCAGAGTTTAGTTAGGGTTTTTCAAAATGCTGACACACCGAGCTCAAAAGGTTCGCCATCACTGATCTAGATCATGCGGTCTTCCATGTGTATGGAAGGAAAGAAGAGCCGGTTATGGGGAGCAACAGCAATGACTGCCATACTAACATAATCCAGCCACATGTCTTTGGGCCTCATTTTCTTTATAGTAAAACCAGAGGCCCAGTGCATGAAATTCGTGCACCGGTATGGTCTCTAGGCCTGGCTGGTGATCAGGGCTGATCAGGTTCCCGGCCTCCCTGCCTCCCCGCCTCCCCTTCCCCTGCTGCAGCCACTAGTCACCCGCCATGTTCTGCACCGCCCCCTGGTGATCAGCACACGTCATAGCGAGCCATCAAACTCCCATTCTCCTGGTCGAATTCCCGAGGGGACACTTTGCATATTAACCTTTTACATATATATAGATAGGAATAACAATTAAAAGTGCTACCTATCTTCAAGGGAGTTATATAAGGACACACAGCTTTTTATAGCCTGCTCGACTGAGAGTGGAGGGACTGGGGATGGACCTGGGCTGCTGCTATACCCACCAGGACCCCGTGTGAACCAGGTGTACTTGTTCTCCTTTCAGTCCGACTGCGTAGACTTCCACACGGAAAAGGTCATCAGCGCGCCCGCGGGGGCTCAGGGCGGCACGGAAATCAGTGTGGAAGTCTATTTCGAGCCCAGCCACCTGGGGGACACCAAGGGCACCCTGAGCCTGTCATCCGTTGCAGGCGGAGAGTATATCATCCCCCTCTTCGGAGTGGCTGTGCCCCCAAAGCCGCAAGGTCCCCTCCAGATCCGAGCCGGGTACAACATAGTCATCCCCTTTAAGAACGTCTTCTACCACACAGTCACCTACTCCTTCATCGTGGAGCACCCGGCCTTCTCCGTGCGGGCCATGGACTCAGTCCGGCCCAAGAAGATCAACAACATCACCGTCTACTTTGACGGAAACCCATCCGGCAGCAAAACACCCATTACCAGCAAGCTGATTGTGTCGTGCTCTCCCGGCGAAGGCAGAGAAACAGGAGTTAAATGGGTTTATTATCTGAAGGGGGTCACCCCTTAGTTGTAACCAGGGTCAATTGCATCCAGAAAAAGCCGTCTCCTCCGCTTTAATATCTACATATTGTTCTAGCCTGGTGAATAGAGAAAATAATCAGAACTCTAAAGGTAGTGTGTTATCCTCCTCATGCACTTCTGTCCATATTATATGTATTCCGAATACATGAATGAAATATATATTCCATATTAAACGTGGTAACTATACAAAACAGAGCTATATTTTACTTTGCAAGGGCAAGTCTCTGAATTTGGTTTCTTAACATACCCGCAAAGCTCAAGTACTATGTACGTAATCCCCCTTTTTAATAAGACCACACGGGTGTCACACTCATGGCCTTCTGTTGTACAGAACTTGGCAGTGCATGACGCTGGGGCACCACAGCTTTTTAAAAATCCATGATGGCTTGGAGAGCCCTTAGACTTGACTCTGTTTTGATTGGGTATTTTATTTTGCTTTCACTATTTTCAAAGCCACAAACAGGTAAGTGTAACAACAAGGCATCATACAGATGCAGATGAGTTACAACTATGAAGTGATGGCCAGTGTGGAACCAGGAATATCAATTATCCACTGGTCTAGAAGCATCTAAGCATGGCAGGCCAGAGGTGAGCACAGAGAAGTCCATGGTGGCCATTGGGCTTAATTCTAAGCACCACTGATAGTCCAGTTATGAATAAATAACCTCATTTAGTTGGCATTTTCAAGCTAGAGAAAAGAAGCCACCTCTTTCTGGGAACTGCTGAACTAAAGGTAGGACAAAGATTGTCTGAGGCCTTGAGTAAGAAGCAACCTAGTCCAAAATGTGATCTCAGGAGAAAAGAGTTCCTCTGGTAAAAAAAAAATATATATATATGTATATATATATATATTCTTACTATTTCAGTTATTAAAAAGTGTATCACATATGGCCCTGGGGAATTTGGTTCACCTTTAAGAAAATGTCAAACCAACCAGCCAAAGAAACAGATGAGATATTATATTACATATGGGTCCAGTGGAAATGAATATGCACAGGAGAAATAAATCCAAACCATTCCCACTGATTTGATTTTTTTTTCATTGTTTTGTATCAACCATCATCAGAATCCTAAAGACATCCACCTTGCAAGACATTTGGAAATGTCCTTATCAGTGTTGCTTCGTATCAAGGTAGGAGGTGGAAACCATTAAGTGATACATTTTCTCTGGAGGTGAATCTTCATTCATTGGACTTTGTTGGCAAAGGTTTTAAAAGCTGTGAAAACCCCACTAGTGAAGAAAAACACATTTTTCACAGATTTTTTAGGCAGGGTTTTTTCCACGACTTACTGAGTTTGGATTCGTTCCTGTATTTGTTTTATATAGCTGCATAACAGATTGCCACAAACCTAGCAGCTTAAGGCAACACAATTTCTTATCTCAGGTGTCATGGGTCAGGAATGGACTGAACCGGATTCTTGGCTCAGGGTCCCCCAGGCTGAAATCTAGATGCCAGCCAGCGGCATCCTCATCTGGAGGTTAAACTAGGGAAAGACCCACTTCCAAGCTCCCTCAATGTGTTGACAAAATTTATTTCTTTGCAGCCATATGATTGAAGTCCTCCTCTTCTTGGCAACTGATAACAGGGAACCACTCTTACAACTAGAGACCATCCTAAGGTCCTCACCACATGGCCCATCATAGACAGTTCATTGTTGTTACTGTTTATTCTTCAAGACCACAAAGAGAATCTCCCTCTCATTTGAAATCTAACTTCTTTTAAGACCTCGCCTGATTAGGTCAGACCCACCCAGGATAATCCCCCTTTTAATCAAAGCCAACTGATTAGAGAACTTAATTACATCTGCAAAATCCCTTCTGCTATATAACATAATAATTGCTAGAGTGACAGCCCATCATATTTACAAGTCTTGGCCACACTCAAGGGGGAGGGATTATATAAGGCATGCACCCAAAGGGGTGGGAATCTTGAGAGCCATCTTAGAATTCTGCCTAACATAGCCCCTTACTTGTGTTCCATCGATTCTAATCTATGGATTGAGGATAATACTCTATTTCCAAGGTTGTTATAAGCTTTACAAGCATACCTTTCACTCAGAAAAAAGTACCACCATGTGTTATGTTCATATTTAGTACTCATTGGGCTCTACTGTGGTCTAGCCCCTGTCCTAAGTCCCTGTCCACTATAGAAGGTTACAATAAGGAACGCTGATGCATCTCCCTGTTACTGCATCTTTAGCCATGCTGCATCCAGAAAGTGCTTGTTAAAAGCTTACCACATAGCTTCAATTTCTGCTCCACCATTTAGTGTGACACTCACGGCACTTGGAGGGGCTGCTGTATAGTGGCTCCATCTGTGGACCTACACCCAGATTTGGGGTTTCTGCTGTCTGGAATCGAGCCCTTTCAGGTATCAGCGCCTGGTAAACACATTTCCAGTCCCAAATAGTGGGGCATCAGCCACTGTTGGTACCTGAGATTTTAGGTGGTAGACCGGTAGTTCCGTTTTTTACTGAGAATTTAATGTTTTAGAAAAATATACAACTATTCAAAAGCATGATTTTGGGTCATAAGCAAGGATAACGTAGGAATTTAAAAGATTTTAAGTGAGTTGATTTGAGAAAAATATTTTTAAAGTAAGTGGCTAGAATATGGCAAAAATCATGATGGTGTCACTCCAATTTGGGAACCATTGGCATATGTGAAATCAATGACTAAGTAGTGAATGAACTGGTGGATTCCGTGAGCATTGAATAAATTATGCTAAGTCATGCTCCAAGAGCCCCTGCCCTCTCACGAGCGTCTGCGGAAGCCCACCAGGCCCCAAGCCCACCACCTGCGGGAAGCTAAGGGCAAAGGATACCCACCCCGCCCAGCTGGTCGCAAACCGGACTCAGGCCATGGGGGGAAGAGGTGGAAGGCCGGAGTGAGAGGAGGAGGCGGGGCCTCGGGGGCGTGGCCAAGCCACGATGGGCTGCGCGAGGGGGCGTGGCTGGCGAGGGGCGGGGCCTCCAGGCGGAAGGCGGAAGCGGCTGCGGAGTCACGTGAGCGGTGTAACATGGCCGCTGCCCCTTGAGCGCGGCAGGTGCGGGGCTGGAGCTGGTCGTGTGAGTCGCCGGGGACAGGTGTACGGGGGCGGGGTCCAGGCCCGGGTTCCGAATCGGCGCGCGCGGCGGAGCGAGGCAGGCGGGCCGGGGCGGCGTGGCCCATGCGCCAGCGCCGGAGGCAGCACGGAGCCGCAGACTCCCCTGGTCCCCGGCGCAGCCCGGGCAGTCGCGGGCTGAGGAGTCGCGGGGCTCCGGGGGGCACCCCGAGTTGCCACCATGAACCCCGAGAAGGACTTCGCGCCGCTCACGCCCAACATCGTGCGCGCCCTCAATGACAAGCTCTACGAAAAGCGGAAGGTGGCCGCGCTGGAGATCGAGAAGTGAGTGCCGCGGGCATGCAGGGTTGGGCGCGGGGGCGGAGGCGGGACCCGCCCTGGCTACGCGGGCGCCCACTCCCTGGGGGAATGGCTCACGCCTCTCCGCCAGGGTTGCTGCCCCGGGGCCAGCCTTCTACGCTGCGTTACAAGGCAGGCGATGGGGGGTCCCAGCTTTGCTGCTGACCGGCTGTGTGACTTGGGCCAAGTTATTTAACCTCCTGGTGTCCAAAGGGCTGCCGTGGGAATGAAGTGACTTAATGGATGTGTAGTGCTTAAGGCTGCAATGAGAATGCAGCGCCATGACCTGTGCTCAGTGCTTAGCACAGTGCCTGGCACAGGCGTCCTCAGTGTGATGGGAGGGAGGTGGGAAGCATGAGAATTTGCTAACGAGTTGACCTGCCGTATTTCTCACTCATTCTGAGAAGTGAAAGGGACAGTTAGGTGACCACTGTTAGGAGAAATCAGGATCTCAAGGTTCAAAGGGCCGTTTATTTTATCCCTGTCATGTCACCCTTCCTTGCAAGTGGAAGTAGGAATAATTCGATCTTTCTTGCTTCTGCAGTCTTATTATAAGTGTGTGTAACATGATAGGACATTGTGCTCTATTTCCCAATGTACAAAACAAAATCTTTAACTGGGAATGTCTTATGATTTTTCTTCTACTGTTTTACATTTTTGTTTTCTTCCCGTCAGATCTTGGTGATAAAGTCAGGTGGTTGAGGGGGGGATTTCAGAAGAGTGAGTGGAAAGAAGCAGGCTGTGAAACTGCAAGACCACCAGTCTGGGAGTTACAGAATATGGATTGTATTTCTGCCCTGTCTAGTAGGGTGGCTAGCCACTGGCCACGTGTGGCTATTTACATTTAAATTATTGAAGGTAAAATAAATGAATGTAATCCGGTTCCTCAGTCACACTGCCCATATTTCAAATGCTCAACTGCCACATGCTATTTGGCTACCATAGTGGACGGTGCATATTTTAAAACATTTTCATCGCTGTAGAATGCTGTTGGATGGCTCTAATCTAGTCCATAATGTGACACTCGTTCTTTTTTTTCTCTTTATCCTCACTCAAGGATATGTGTTTTTTTTTTTTTTATCAATTTGAGAGAGAGAGAGAAACATCGATGTGAGAAAGAATGATCACTATGAGAATGAAACATTGATCAACTCCTCCCGCATGCCCCCCAACTGGGGATCAAATCCAAAACCTAGGTATATGCCCTGACCGGGAACCAAACCAGCAACCTTTTGCCTTAGGAAACAATAGTCTAACCAACTGAATCACCTGGCCAGGGCATAACACCCATTCTTTGACCTTGGGCAAATTCCTTAACCTACCAGACCACTGTACCGATTTTTCGGTAATTTCCACACAAAGGTGGAATATTGGCGCTAGATGAAAGGTAGACCTATTTCCTACAGTGTCTCCAAGTTCCATCTTATTCTAACCACTTGTTTGCATGTAACTAACATTTTTCTATATCATGTTGGTTTTTTCTCTTTAATGCTCAGGAGCCCAGGTATAGGGGACAGTTAGGTTCAGGGCCTCAGGTCTGGTAGGATTAACTCACAGTTTCTTAACCTCAGCACTACTGACATTTTGGAACAGATCATTCTTGGGCTGCCCTGTGTATTGTGGGAATTTTAGCAGCATCCCTGGTCTCTACCCACTAGATATACCAATAGCACTCCATCAGTTGTGACAACCAAAGATGTCTCCAGACCTTGCCAAATGTCCCCTGGGGGTGCAAAATTGCCCAGATTGAGAACCACAGCCTTAACTGCTTTGCGTTTTAGTTTCCTCTTCAACTACAGAGCTTGCATTCTGCTAAGAGGACCCTCCCATTCAGCTCTAACATTCAATATGTCCAGAACCACCTAGCTTCTTCTCTCATCAAGGACTAATTTCTTGACTGCTCTCTTTTCATACTGCTGCTGGATTATACCCTGACTGTTACTAATGCTGGCAACTCTCAGTGATGAGTATTGCTATACTGAGTAAGAGAGCAGAGGTGATGTGCAGACATGCCTCTATGTCCATGGGTTTTATTGGCTTTGAAGATGCATTGATACCTGGTTTTGTCCATCACTCACTCTGCTCAGGAATGTCTGGTTTTATCATTGCTTGAATCATCTGCTGAGCCCTTGAATAGAGGCATTTCTCTCAGCCCTGTTGTTGCCTCCAGCACAACCTGTATAAGTGCTTTCATTCTGCAAGCTGTCCTGTAAGGGTTTTGTTTTTAATTGGGTTCCGCTTATATCTGACATTGCCCTTGTTTTGTGGAATTTAGAGAAACCCCCAATGGCCTTAACTGGACTAGGAACTCCTTAAGAGCAGAAACCCTGTTGTATTTATCCTCAGCACTTAGCACAGTGTCTGTTGGTATTTGACAGTTGGCATCTAAATGAATGGATGACCATACATTTTCTGTGGGGAAATAATATGGCAGTCTACAGGCTTGGCTACTCCAAAGCGTAGCCCACAGACCGGCAGTATGGGGCTCACCCCGGCGCTTGTTAGAGATTCTCCAGCCTTTCCCCAGACCTGTACAGTCTCAGTGGGATTTAGGACTTCAACATATGAATTGGAGGGGGCCACAAAATTCAATCCATACAGTGATTTTTTTTTAAGTGATCACGTGTAGCCCTAGCTGGTTTGGTTCAATGGATAGAGCATCAGCCTGCAGACTGAAGGACCCCAGGTTCGATTCCAATCCAGGGCACATGCCTGGATTGCGGGCTCAATCCCCAGTAGGGGCCGTGCAGGAGGCAGCCGATCAATGATTCTCTCTCATCATTGATGTTTCTATCTCCCTCTCCCAATAAAAAATATATTTAATAAATAAATAAATAAATAAAGTGATCACGTGTAAAGGGCTGCTTGCCTGATTTGTGGAGAGAAGGGGAGAGAAGCTTCCTTTTGTTTGGCCATTGTACACCCCTCATCTCATTTATTCTGTATGACTACCCTATGAGCTAGAAAATGTTACCCATTTCAGGAATTTGGAAACAGACTCCTGAGGTTAAGTAATCTTGAAGGTTTCACAGCTAGAACCTACATTAAAAACTGTCATACAAGTTTTCCCAACCACAATGAGTAGTTTTTCCCAAAAAGGGAAGCCAGCTCCCCACAGAGCCTAAGGACATCAGGAAAAAGCTAAGAGACCATGTGACGGGAGCTTGTGGGTGAGAGCAAAGGTGGAGTGAGATGCAGATACAGAGGCAGGCAGGGCCTGGAAGCAGGTGAGGATCCCGGGCTTTATTCTCAGTGCAAGTGGAAGCCAGCAGAGGGTGTTAGGAAGGAGAATGACTGACATTTTCGCAATCTCTCTGGACACTTGTAGGAATGTGAAAAGGGAAACCAGTTAGGAAGCCTGTGCCGAAGGCCAGGTGAGAGACACTGCAGGTGGCCTGGACGAAGGTGGTAGTGGCAGTGTAGACAGAGAAGTGGATGCACAGGAGACACACTGGGAGAGGGAGTTGACAAGACTTGGAGGACTAGGTTGGAAGGGAAGCCATCAGGAAAAGGGGGGACTCAAGGATGATTCTTTGGTATCTGTGGGAGCTACTGGGTGGAGGGTGACATTTCCTGAGAGAGGAATCTGAGGGGTGACTGGAATCAGGAATCTAATGCTCACCTAGGGATAGTAGCACCATTCGTTCATTCATTCATTTACTCTGCATTGGTTGACTGCTCTGTTCTTAGCACTGGGATCAGCTACAAACAAGACTGCTTTTAGGGAGCTTACAGTGTGTGCAGAGCAAGATATGGTGGGTTGGGGGCTGGATGGGGATTAGATGGAGGAGACCTGGCTTAGTGTGTATGTGTTGGTAGTGTGTGTGTGTCAAAGATCCCAGTGTGTACACATTTTGACGACCAAGTCTGAAGATAGGTGAAGCCTCACCTCCAACCGAATCGCCTTCTTGATGCTGACGGGTTTGGAGGGTTGGAAGTGCACTTGCAGGCTATAGTCAGCCTTGGGGGGGAGCGGGGGGGGGGGGGGGGGATGGTGCCCTGCAGCATGGACACGGAGAATTCATCCCTGGTGCTCCAGGCCAGGCCACGGGCAGGGCTGTGACTGCAGGGAACTACTTTGGATTCTTTTCTCAGCGACCAAAAGACATTTTGTCAGTTTCTAATGATTTTGTCATATTATGGCAGGTCAAAGGAAGTACTTCTGGTTATTTCAATTATAGCTTATTTCAATTATAATTCACTAATTAATATTTATCAGGGAAGGGGCCTAACGGTATTGTTCAAAAAGGGGACGTATATTTCATGTTAAAATTTTCACACTTGAGCCCTGGCTGGGTGGGTTCAGTTGGTTGGAGCATCGTCCCATTCCAAAGGTTTCGGATTTAATCCCAGGTCAGGGTGAGTACGGGAGGCAACTGATCCATGTTTCTCTCTCACATCGATGTTTGTTTGTTTTTTTCTCTCTCTCTCCCTATCTCTCTCCTCCTCCCTCTTTCTTCTCACTCTAAAATCTATTTTTAAAAGCCATCTCTTTGGGTGAGTATTTTTTTAAAAATGTTTTCACACTTGAACATCTCCATGGTGGTTTTAACTGCCACGGTCAGTTTTCCAAAGTCCATCTGCTCAGGTGACAGAGCCAATACTGCATATGGCGTTCCAATGAGGGATGGAAATTCTGAATAAGAGAGGGTGATGGCAGGCCTCTCCAGCACTAAAAACGCAGAGAGGGGTGCTTGGCTCAACTGAAGGACCCCTGGACTCTAGAATCTCACGACCAGGCTGTGTTCCGTGACCAGGGTCAGGTGGCTAAATGTGTGAGCCTGTTGTGCACAGTCCTGGAGAGCTTTTACCCCCACAGGCTCGCTCTGACATGCTCCACACAGTTTTCTAAAGGATACGGCACTTAGGCTAAGATTTTAGAGTGGCCGTTTCAGGGTTTGTGGGCTCTCAATTTCAGGGAATATAGTCTGATCAGTCCTGACAAAAAGTTGGTCAGACCCACCTGTGCTCTCCAGGAGAGTTGA